CAACACTCACACTCTCTCGCAACACTCACACTCTCTCGCAACACTCACACTCTCTCGCAACACTCTCTCACAACAGTCTGTTGAACGACGAGAGTCCATCGCCGGCTTAGACCTTCCCCATCAAAGCAGTAGTGCATCGCCTAGTAGGACTCGTATTCTCTATCTAAGCTATGGACTAAAAATATCGCGTTTCTTTTCATTCTCCTGGTGCTTTAATTCAACGTCAGTGGAACTACAAAGTCCTCCAGTCAGATCAAGGGTGGGGGTTGACAACCACCACTTGGCGGGGGCGGGGCCATTGCTTGCTTGCCACCGATTGGGTGACTCAACCGCAAACAATTTAATTCACCATACCACGACATCTGAACACATCTTCAATCACCCCTCCAAGTCCAGGACTACAATTCGTTTCGACACTCTCCCTCTAGCCATGACTGACCCCGAGCCGCTGTCAGTCGCTGCCCTCAGCGTCGCCGATACCGAATCCGTATCAAAGGCCACCGAGCAGGAAATCAATCCTTGGGACGTACAAGCAGCGGTCGACGAGCACGGCAACGTCAAGCAATTCGACTACGCAGCCATCTCGCAGAAATGGAACACCAAGCTCATCGACCAGGCGGTCCTGGAGCGATTCGAGCGCGTCACAGGCCACAAGCCGCATCGCTGGTTGCGACGAGGGCTCTTCTTCTCGCACCGCGACCTTGACCTCATCCTAGACGACTACGAGCGCGGCGAAGACTTCCTCCTCTACACGGGCCGCGGCCCCAGCAGCGACTCGATGCACATCGGGCACACGATCCCCTTCGAATTCACCAAATGGCTACAAGACGTCTTCGACGTACCCCTCGTCATCATGCTCACAGACGACGAGAAGTTCCTCTTCAAAGAGAAGCTCAAGCAAGAAGAAGTCTACAAGTTCGCACGGGACAACGCAAAAGACATCATCTCGATTGGCTTCGACGTCAAAAAGACCTTCATCTACATCGACTCCGAGTTCTTCACATCAGGCTACAACCGCCACTTCAGCCTCAACACGACGGAATTCGAAAAGCTCATCACCAACAACCAAGTGCGCGGCGCCTTCGGCTTCAAAGGCGAAACCAACATCGGCTCCAACGCCTTCGCCGCCAAACAATGCGTCGCCGCCTTCGCCTCCTCCTACCCCTTCATCTGGTCCGCCCCGCACACCACCTACACGCGGTCGCGCGCCCTCGCCTCCACCCGCTGCCTCATCCCCTGCGCCATCGACCAAGACCCCTACTTCCGCCTCGTCCGCGACAACTGCGCCCGCATGTCGCTGCCGTCCCCCAAGCCCGCGCTCCTGCACTCGAAGTTCCTGACCGCGCTCCAGGGCGCCGGCGGCAAGATGAGCGCGTCGGACCCCAACTCCGCCATCTTCATGTCCGACACCGCGAGCCAGGTGAAGAACAAGATCAACAAGCATGCGTTCTCCGGCGGGCAGGAGACACTCGAGTTGCACCGCGAACTCGGCGGCGACCCGGACATCGACGTCCCGTACCAGTACCTGTCGTACTTCGAGGACGACGACGAGAAGCTCGCGGGCTGGGCCGCCGCGTACAGGAAGGGCGAGATGCTGACGGGCGAGATGAAGAAGGAGTGCGTGACGATGATGACGGCGTACGTCAAGAAGTTCCAGGACGGGAGGGCCAAGGTCACGGACGAGGTGCTGGAGGAGTTTATGAGGCCGAGGCCACTGGAGTGGAGGGGGAACCCGAAGGTCGAGCGGAAGGTGAAGAACGTCGTGGAGGAGGAGGCGGCGGGGAAGAAGGCTGATGGTGCTGCCGCGGGTGCTGCGGGCGAGGCCGTGGGGGAAGACGGCAAGCCGCTCACGAAGAACCAGTTGAAGAAACTGCTCAAGCAGCAGGAGATCGAGAAGAAGAAGGCGGAGAAGGCTGCCGCTGCCGCCGCTGCGGCAGCATAGAGTTCGTAGATTTTCGGATGTCAGAGCACCAAGAGAATAAAAAGAAACGCGATATGATCAGTATAAGTACACGGTAGAAAAATGGATCAAATTTCAACACCTATGCAATGCCTGTTTCCAAGCACGGCAGCATAACTAAAATCCAGTCAAAATCTCTGCACTTTGATTCTATTTCCACCATTTCGGATGCTCAATCATGATCATCTAAATGGCCCATTTCAACATCACCCTCATTTTCGCCGTATCTGAAACCCTGTTTGAACTCCTCCGAACACCTTGATCGCATCCACATTCTCAGGCTTGCCCCAAAGGCCAAAATAGCTTATTTGGTACTCTTCTTTCGCTCTGCCACCTTTTGAAGTCCATCAAAAACAAATACCCTGATTTCCAACACCAATTCTTCCGGTTATAATCGTGGCTGGCGTGGCTCGTCTTCAATACTGGCCAAGTCCCTTGACTCCGCACGCGTCGAAAGGCCGTTGCAATTAAGTTTCAAGTAAAGTTTCCCTAAATTGCTGGTTCTTCCAATCATCCAGAGGTGATCGGACCCGACCCAGAGTTGATCCGACCCGACAACTTATATTCAACGTCAAAAAACTTAAAAACAACGTCGGTGGAGCCCATGAATCTCCAATCAGATCAGGGGTGGTGGGGGGTGGACAACCAACCACGATGCAGGGGCGGGGTCATTCAAATCGGTGACGTCGAAGGGGGGTGGTCGGTGCCGGTGGGTGTCGTCGGGGCGCTCATGTCGAGGACGGGTGCTTCGACGACCAGCATCCCTGGATCGTGGTGTCCATTGCCTTCTCCGTGTCCGTTTCCATTCCCATTTCCATTGTAGATTGCGGCATCGGTGATGGAGCGGCGTTGTCGGCGGGCGGGAAAGAGCGGGGTTGGTGTGGATTTCTGACGGACGCCCATGGCTGCCGTGCCGACGCTGGCTTGTCTGTGGTGGGAGGCCATACGCAACGCAATCCATGTTGTATGGCTTACAGCTCGAGGAGCGTCAACATGAACTTGATGCCCTGAATCTCCTGCTCTTCCTCGATGATGGCGCGTCTCCGAGGGTCGTGGGGTGCGGCATTGACTTCCGAGCCGACGGGTTTCGCGCGTAGTGACTTCTCGAAGAGGCTGCCGTTGGACTCGATGACGTCGTGGATGTTTACATCTGAACTGTCCTGTAGAACCCGGTACTCAACCTTCACATCATCCGTGGGGACCAAACCAGCTTTCTTCCGCACTTGCTGAATACGATTCACAAGCTCTCTGCACCAATGCTCGCGTCGAAGATCATCGTCGGCATCGATGTCCAAGATGATTAGGACATCTCCGTCGGTATTATTCTCGTATTTTTGCGGGTCGAGGTCTTTGATGAATCGACGGATCACTAGGTCACCGGTGTCAACTTCAATGCCGCCGATGTTTGCGACTTTCTCTCCCAAAAGACGACGACATTCGTTGCTGGACATGGTGGCGAGACCGTCTTTGATTCCTTTGGCGTCCTTCTTGAACTTCTTCCCTAATATGGCCCAATTAGCAGTAACACTCCACTGCACATGGTATTGAGCTTCGTCAGATGTGGTGATCAGTTCGCGAACATTCAGCTCACGTTTGATGTAATCCTCGAGCGATCGAACGTCCTCAAGATACTGTGGATCCGAATGAATCACCACAAGCGTCCTCAGAGGATTCTTGAACCCAAGCCTGCGACGTTCACGACTTGTTCTTCCGAGTTCGATGATTTTCTGCATGCGGGCTACTTGACGTTCGATGGTAGGGTTCAGACATTCTGTCTCGACTTGGGGGAATTCCAGAAAATGGACGCAACGCGTGTCCTTGGCCTGCAGCTCTGGTGGAATGTATCTGACGAGGTGGCGATATATCTTGTCGGTGATGAAGGGCGCGAAAGGCGCAAGAGCTCGGATCAGAATGAACAACGCATCGAACAGCGTGTTCAAAGCTGTAATGGTCTCAACCTTTCCGCCGGATCCTTTCAGCTTATCTCGATTGAGTCGAATGTACCAGTTGGTCAAGCATTCGAGGTGTTGCAGGATTCGAGGAAGCACGTTGTAAAGACGGTAGCCTATTCAGGTATGTAAATCAGCAAATCGACGTTTAACCATGCCTCCGGTAGGACTGACCTTTCATTTCCTGCTGGATGTGCCCTACTAGAGCGTTTGAGCTGGCAATGATCCACTGATTCATGATGTTGGCATCGGACGATGCCGCATGACTTTGATGCGAGAAGATGTAGTCATCACCTTCCACCTTTTTCAGGAGGTTCACTTGTTGTTCGAAGAACATGTAACTGTTCCAGAGGGGAAGAAGAACTTTGCCAACTACTTCCTTTACTCCTTGTTCTCGGAAGCGCAATGATTCCGCTCGAACAACGGGCGAATTGATGAGATAGAGTCGTAGTGCATCAACCCCGTATTCAGCAATAATGGCGGAAGGGTCTGGGTAGTTTTTCAACCTCTTCGACATTTTCTTTCCGTCTTCGGCGTGAACGATGCCGTTCACGATGCAGTTTTGGTAGGGCGAAACGCCGTACAGGTGAGTGCCCAATACTAACAGAGTATAAAACCATCCTCTCGTTTGGTCCAGGCCCTCTGTGATGAAGTTTGCGGGGAAGATTTCCGCGGAACTGTCAAGACTATCCTTCTCAAAGGGATGGTGACGAGAAGCGTAAGGCATGGATCCAGACTCGAACCAGCAATCGAATACTTCGGGGATGCGACGCAGTTGACCTTTGCCGCGCTGACTGGGAATGGTAATCTGATCCACAACGTCACGGTGGAGATCAGTAAGCTCTCCTGTGTAACCGCTCAGGCGTTTCAGTTCCTCGACGCTTCCAACGCAGACGACTTCTTCATAGTCGCTGCTGACCCATAGCGGGATGGGCGTGCCCCAATACCGGTTGCGAGACACGTTCCAGTCATGGGCATTTGCAATCCAGTTTAGGAACCTCTTATCTCGTACAAAAGACGGCACCCAGTGCGATTCTTCACCAGCCTTAAGCATTTCCGGAACTATAGACTCAACCTTGACGAACCAAGTCGAGACGGCGCGATAGATGAGTGGGGTGTCTGATCGTGGGCAATGCGGATAGCTGTGCATCAATTGTGAGTCTTTGACGATTCGGCCCTCTGCTTTTAGGTACTTGATGATCGCTCTGTCTGCTTCTTTGACATGCTGGCCAGCGAAATGGGTAACCTCGTCGGTATAGTGACCATAATCGTCGACAGGATTGGGCGGAAGCACTGTGTTCGAGATGATTCCATTCTTGGTCGCGACGTCGTAGTCCTCAGCACCATATGCTGGGGCTTGATGTACCAAACCTACTCCCTCACCGGCCTGCACGTAGTCGTCGGTCAAGACACGGAAAGCCGTATCTTTGAATTGCTCATAGAAGTAAGGAAAGAGGGGTTGATAGCGCCGCCCGCGTAGGTCTGATCCTTTCAACTTCTCTAGTACAGTGAAAGCACCCTCACGTTGCTCCTTGTCGTTATACAGGAAGCCGAGGCTTGATTCGAGAAGCACATAGTTCTTGCCGGCCTTTTTGTCTGCCACCTTGACATACTCCAAGTTTGGGTTGGCGGCGATAGCAATATTCATTGGCAAGGTCCAGGGCGTTGTGGTCCAGATCAGAAGGCTGGTTTCTGGTTCGTCGACGAGCGGGAAGCTCGCGATGACTGTGTGGTCTTGCCGGTCCATGTAGTTCTGTGCCGTTTCGAAGTTGCTCAGCGGGGTTGCCAAAGCGGTTGAATATGGCATCACCTTGTATCCGCGATAGACGGCGTCTTTGTCGAATAGTTGGCGGAACACCCACCACACTGACTCCATAAAGCTGGGATCCATGGTCTAAGCCACCGTGAGCCAAAGCATCGAACAAAAGCCGCGTACGTACCTTGTAGTCGTTATCGAAATCAACCCATCGGCCAAGCCGAGTGATGGTTCGTCTCCACTCATCTGCGTACCGCATCACGATGCCCTTGCATTCTGCATTGTATCCAGCCAGGCCGAGCTTCTCAACGGCATCCCTGGCTGACATGCCCAACTTCTTGTCGATTTCATATTCAATAGGCAAGCCGTGGGTGTCCCAGCCGAAGCGGCGCTCGACCAAATAGCCTTGCATAGACCAATATCGGAGGACACAGTCTTTGATAGTCGAGACGAGCAAATGGCCGTAGTGCGGCATTCCTGTAGCAAACGGCGGGCCATCGTAGAAGGTGTATTTGGGACGGTCAGCCGAGAGGACTTGCAGTGTCTCAAAAGCGCGGATCTCGTTCCATAGTGCGAGCGTTTCCTCCTCTGCTCTGGCAAAATTGATAGCCATGATTGAAGCCGATTGAGGGAAACAAAGGTTGGAGAAATGAACGAGGTTTGGCGGGGCAATATTATGAAGGTCCCTGCTGAGAAACATGACTCATCTCCTCAACCATTTTTTGATCTATGCTCGAAGAACATTTTGTACACCGCTTTGAGATTGAGGATCCATGGTTCTTGCATTCTTTTTCGGTGGTAGTGCTGCGTCGACCTCGAGTATCAAAGGACTTGCTTTTCGTGTCCTTCGGCGGCAGGCCTTACGCCTGAGATGTCTTCCAAAAATTGACGACCTTCTTCAGCCAAACTCCTAGGTAATTCTTCATCCACTGGTGTCCCGAGCTTGGTCAGTTTGCGGTTATGTCCATTCATCGCGACTGTCTCGGGCAGGAATAGTACAGCAACAAACGATACTGCTGATGCAAACACACCGACCAGGAAAGGTACCCAGATATGGAAGGGCATCACCACCGACACTATTGCGGGAATAATAAGGTGAGTGCCGTAATCCACTATTTCGAGATAGTAAAATAGCTTGGGTCGCTCCTCGTCGGTGGCAACGTCGGCCATGATCGAATAAATGATGGCGGAGACTACCTTACCACCACCACACCCCCAGCTGGAGGAATATCTTGGATTCGTGGCACCTATCCGTGCATCGTATCTCTTCGTCCGAGGTCCATGCGTGTATGGCCTTGCATTCGGAGTCTTCATTGTTGAGCGGTGAAGGTAAAGACGAATACCGCATTCAGGACAAGTACCTTCACGGTGCTGTCACGGCTCGGCACGATCGATCTGGCTCCCGACATGGCCATTATCAGCTTGGGTCGGCAAGCAATTGAAAAATATGGTGGGCATCTCGGGCTGCTTCTTCGGTTGGAGAACGTACGTGAAGATGAATGCACGAGGAGGAAGGACATCGGGGAAGTATCCTGTCGTACTTCTCAGGTATTAGCATGCGCCATCCGTGCTAAGTAACCCAGGAACGTACCAAGCATGCCAATTATCAGATGGAAGAGAACCTTTGATGCTAAGTTGAGCCCCAGAACAATCTTCCGCCCATATTGGTCAGCTACGATTCCAAGTGAAATTGTGACTGCCAGAGCTCTACTCAAGATATTAGCGTCTGATCAATAGATAGTCTTTCGGCACATACAGATATCCAATGCAATCGCGAAGAGCATGCTGTCAATGAAAGCAACCTCCTGCTGCACCGGAGCAACTTTGCATAGGCTTTCTAAGACATTACAGTCATGGCCGATGTTTAACAGGTCTTGGGTGCGGTAATAGTTACGACACATGCACAGTTCAAACAGACGCAATGCAGGAGCTGCCATTGGCGCCCAAAACCTGGCTGACGAGGGCTATCGCGAAACATGTTGACAGTGCAATTCGGCGAGCCTTAGATAGGGCATCTGCGGCGTACGGCTATCGAACAGTAGAGGGCCGAGTGAGTGTCAGTGGCCGTGCAATGTGATGAAGCTGGGAGCATTTTGTGTTATGTGGGTAGAGGTGGGGCTGTCTCCGGTACGGGCCGAGCCTACAACACTATTTTCATATTTTCAATTGAACTGCTTCCTGTGTCTGTTAGTATCATGTATCTTTTAAGCTTAAGCAGCTCTACTACAACTTATCAGAGGCTGTAAATGCACGTTTTGTTCCGTAGCAGGCGGCCAGCCCGACGCGTTCACCCTCTGTGCCTCTGTACAAACCTTGCAAGCAGGGCACAGGGGAACTGCTGAGTGTGCCCCGCACTATTGAAGGTTAGACTGGCAACTGACTACTTGTGATTACACTGTTCCAGTATCCTCTGTGCCTCTTTACTCTGATGTACCCAGTCAGTGCCAGTTCAGATATGACGAGGCTACATGAAGCAGGCAGGCGGCCAATATGATATTAGCAGGTGTATGACCCGACGTGCCTGCTCTCTGTATTTGTCTACATAATTGTCGAGCTTGAGCGTGGAGTGTCAGGCCTGCCTGCCTTGGTACGGCTCGCTTGCGGAGTTACAAGTAGTCTGGCGCCTGGCGCCTCGGAAGTGGCAGCAGCGTTGCCCCATGAACAAGTCTAGCACGGAGTAGTAACTTGTAGGATACATAATTACCTGCAACAATTACGATTCCTTTTGCCTTATCTACTAACTACTTGTTACAGACAAAATAGAACATACAAATGAACCGGAACGAGTAGTTTTCTGCTCTAGTGCTATGCATCAGCTTGAAGAAGCAGACATTATCGAAAGCTTCTTCAAAGACAATGACCATACACCTGGTTTTTTCTTTCAATGGATGCCTGCCAACGAATCCTCCAAGATGTACATTGTCCTTGACCTTCACAATGAAAAAAAAATGCAACTGTTGATAATCTAGAACTATAATATCGGGTGTTCCGCGTAACCAAGATAGGGGGCAACTTGTAGGTTGATTGACTCCCAGCAGAGCATACAATTGAGCATTGTATCTAGCATCTTCAATGAAGTTGACAGTAATGCGCCCTCCGTTAGTGTTGAGGTGTTCGACGACAATTTGCGTGTGCTGTAACCCTGATATTGCACATACTATCAAGAAGAGCATCCAACAGTATATCAATAGTTTCGTCGCTCAACTCTGTCAGAAAATCATGTTGTTAGACACGGCTCTGATGTTTAAATCATATTACATTGCTACAATCGGTTTATACGCTCTATCTCTTGGACCAGGAAGCTGCAGAGGCATTCACCGAGTATGTACAAATCTTGCAAGCTGGACCGTAAACTGGCTACTTGTGATCACAGTATCCTGTACCCAGTTCAGGTATGAGGATGCTACATGAAGAAAGGAGGCGGCCACTGCACAGTAATCGGGGCATATGGATACGCTTTCCCACTCTTGCGACCAGAATCCGGATACGATGCTTGCCTTCTTAGCAACCGACTTATCCGCGTTTGCCTTTTTTCAGGTAACACGAAAATCGTCTGCCTTCTTTCAGGTAGCACAAATATCCTCTGCCTTCTTTTGAGTAGCACGAAAAGTGCATGCATTCTTTCAGGTAGCACGAACAGCGTATGCCTTCTTTCAATGAGTACCAAAATCGTCTGCCTCGTTTCGAGAAGCACAATAGCAGTGAAGGGAGATTCCCACATTACGTACCTAATCCTCTGCATACATCAACATCGAGCTTGAGCGTGGAGTGTCAGGCCTGTCCGCCTTGATGCGGCTCGCTTGCGGAGTTATAGCGCCTGCCGCCTGCCGCCCCAAGGAAGTGCCGCCTCAGGGAAGTAGCAGAGCTAAATGCTCTCTCACTGCCCCTATTATAATTTTGTAAGTAATAGAATACTACAGAGTAAATTTCTATATCAGAAGTATCTATTATTCAATTTAGAATCTTTCATGAATGCTTTGTGGTTGTAGGGGAAGCCGTTTTGTGCTGATGTTATCTGCTACTTCCCCAATCGACCGAGAGTCTGGCGCCTTCCACCACCCTCGTTGGCAGTAGGTGACATCATCGAAAAGGGCATAGGGGACTCACTCCAAACAATCTACACCTTCGCACCACGATGAAGCGCCCCCTCTCTTCTATCTCTGCATCCAAAAACGAGCACTACGACGATCGGACAGGCCGTATCAAGCGTACGAGCAACTCTTTCTGTGAACATACTATGGACGACTGGCTCCAGAAGGCGCCTGACGCGTTCGAACAAGCGTCAGATCGAAGCGGCAGCAGATACACTCGCAAGCACGACTACCGGTCGCACCCAACTAGTCCTACAAAGACAAACCTACAATATCGCGAGATCGCCGTGACAAACGAAAACGTCTATGTTGATTACATGTTCGATCCTCCACCCGCGATCCACAAGTTACGCCTTCACATTTTGGGGTAGCTATACAATGATCAGGGAGAAGAAAGGCTCAGTGATAAAACCTCACGCGGCACTGAATACCTCGAGGAGACGAAGGAGCACAAGTATCCGGAAAAGGACGAACACGGAAACCACGCGAGTGAACCCCACCGTGTGGTTACAAGCAGAGAGATCTCATTTCAGGTGAAGAAGTTGGCGCACCCACTTGCAGTTGATGCCACAATGGATGCCAGGTAACTGCCGTGTATCGGGGGCTAATCTGTCGGTGTCTCTCAGCGCTTCCAGCATACAACAACCATCTAAAGACTGGTTCGTCTGATAAACTATGGCAGTCAAGTCTTAAGCCCCGCCCGCCCTCCTTGAAGGATCTCCTTCCCGAGCGCTACGATTACCTCCTCCTCGTACTCCCGAAGATACAATGACCTCCTCCTCATACTCCCGAAGAGACAACAATCGCGAGGACTGGGCTGTCAGTCTTCAACATCTCGACTTCTGGCGGGAGGGAAACAACAGTGACTGATGAAAACTCGTTGAACCCACTATTGACACCAAAACCTGATAGTACAGTAGGCCTTGCACAATCTACATCCCCCGAACTCAAAAGCTGCTCCTGCAGGAATGTCAGACTGATGGCACAATGTTCAGCGACCCCCATTGGGTACAAGTTGGAGTTTGTTTTCCATCTTGACTGCTGATCCCTCATAGGTTGAAACCTACCTCATCTAAAATTTGCGAACTGATAGCTTCAAGAGAAGTCTATGCAGTAGGCCAACTACTAGCCCCATAAAGTCTACCGCATCCCATCTTTGCATAGCGTGGCAAAGGCTCATCTATTTAGCTAGGGGAAGTACCAAGAGGATCTACCGTACACCGGCCTCACAGGATTCGAGTACAAGAACCAACAGACCGGTGCGAATGACTACATTAATAAGCACAACCCAGCCGTGCTGTACGACTCTGTAGCCGACAAGGAGGACCGTCTTTCCAAGATCAAAAACTCGTCATCATGAACATGCCCCCTAAATTTCCACACTCTTGATTCATCACTTGTAGATTGACAAACAGAGCGAAGTGTCAGATAAAGAGCAATAAGATAGCATGTTGCCAACAGAAGACAACTGTCTCATGATACAGTTTCTTGCCCGACAATAGGATTAGGAAATATGTATAGGATCTCTACAAATACATCTTAGTATATACCTTGGAGATAAACATGGCATAGTGATCTTTGATAATACACCAAAACCGTATTCAGATCTTCGAGAACGCAGAGACTCTTGATCAGCCAAGAAGATCATAGTAGAAGTAGTGAGTACAGTGTAACTTTGTTGTGACAATTGTGTTTTCCTTTTCACTGGACAAGTGATTGATAGCCTGCAGGTTCCAGACAAGAGCAATCCGGCGATTGTGTAGGTCAACCTATGCTTACAGTGAATTTCGATGCAATTGCAAGTGAAAGACTGGTCTCTGGCCTCATTCACCTACCTCCCTCTCCATATGAACACCAGATATTTTATTCCGCCGCACTCACAACTCTCCCTGCAACTCTTCGCTGCAAGCCAAGCGTGCTAGCAATAAACACAACCTCTCGGGGGAGCACCTCAGAGGTTAAGAAACGCCAAACCATGTCAAGCATTCTCCAGGAAAACTCGGACCAGGAGCAACTGTCTAATCTATGGAACCTCCACCGCTTCATTTCAAGCCTCTTCATAGCTGAAAACCTAGCTCTGCGCAAAGGAGACTCGGGGAGCACAGCGACCGACGATATTGCTCAACAGAACGAAGATGCCTTGCAACTTCTCGCTGCCAGAGATTCCGCGACCGACATCGAATCTGACGAAGAGACTGGCGGCACCGGACAGGAAGATGCGGATGATTTCGTGATTGTCACTGGCAGCGATTACGACACCGATGACGACAGCGACTGGGAGACAGTGGTTGGTTCCGAACAAGACAACGACAGCCAGAATCGCGATGACATCTTGAGGAGCCCAATGCCCCAGCAACGTGCGCAGCCCAAGCGTCGACCTAGGCGTTGACCTCGTATGGGTTCCATTAGCAACTGTTGCGATACCGACGACGACGAGTGGGAGACAGTGACTGTTTCCGGATCCGACAGCCAGCACGGCGATGACATATCGGAGGGCCCAACCGCCTGGCATGCGTTCGGTCATGTGTACAGGCGTCAATTTTATTTGATTTTCGAGCAAGGGATTCGTGAGCTTCTCCGTGGAATTATTTTCACGCAACATGTGCCGCGTCCTGAGCCTGAGAGTTGGTACTATGCACTGGTATCCGACTGGGATAACGGTGTCGTGTTTCTCCCGCGAACTGCCTGGTTTGCGCCTCGTTGCTTCGCTGGTGATGTCTTCGCCGACGATCAAAACTCAGATGAGCTTTGTGACGCTGCACAGCTCCCCGAGAATGGGACACCATCGCCGCGAGAAGATGCAGCTTCGGAGGAGGAGGAGAAGCCCTAGGGGTAGGAAAGACTGTGAGCATACGACAGGCAATGAATTGTTACGTCGACTTAGAAACGTGACGAGGTATAGACCGGAAACAATGCGAGGGCTTAGACACGAAATTTAGAAGGAAATTTCCTTTTCTCAGATAGAGGACCCCCGAGTAATCGAACTTGTTCTCTGCAGTGAATCTTGTGATGAATATGTGTTTCCCCAATGATTGAACGAAGTAGAAAGATAAGTGTAATCTGACAGGAACCTCCTAGTTTCCTAGTGATAGCAATCGGACCATAGCTCAATCAGCTCGATTGGTGTGTTGACACTCGTGGCGACGGGATACAACTCATCAGCAAACATCGTCTCTCTTTTGTAGTGAAGCTTAGGATTCCGGTGCACATGATATAAAGTTAGAATCTAGAGATGACTATTGCCCCTAACATTTCAGTGATTTCTCTCCTGAGGATTATAGTTCTATTTTGTCTCTATGTGAAATGTGTTTGTTAATAATTAATAGTTGATCTCGCCCTGTTAGTGATTTGGATGTCGAAAGACAAAACTGAGCCAACAGCGGCATTGTATCGCTGACTGAAGGAGCAGATATGTGAATTTACCTGTTTTGCCCCATTCGAATCAAAGCTTGTGTTGTCTAATGAATAGAGCAGCGACAAAGGCAGTAAGCGAGGCCACAAATGAAAGGCCTATACAGGAGGTTAGTTACTGCTTAAAGGTTGACAGGAAGTAACATACCATGAGTCCAAGTTAAAGCTTCAACATAAGACCGAACAACCGCCTTCGCTACAACGGCCGACGCCCGGTCGATGTAATGAACATCACTCGTCGCTCCCTCAATGATCCTCTCTCGCTTCAGCGCGTCGAATCCTAGATCATCAAGTCGTTTGTCGAGCCCGCTTCGCAATTTTGATTGCAGCACAGCGCTGACTCCAGCCATGCCTCCAATCGCACCGACCGAGAAGGCGAGATACAACGAGGCGGCGGCTACAGCCATGTGTGAGGGGTCTATGGCTGCCTGTAGGCTGATGAAGAGTGCCGATTGTGCGATACCTGTACCGAAGCCTCCCGGGAAAATGTACAGGCTTTCCAGCCAGTTGGTGTTTCCGTGCCAGCGTAGAATCAGGAGAAGGTAGGCGGATGCCGCGGCGAGAGTAGCGAAGAGAACGAGTGATTTGTAGCGACCAGATCGTTTGATGATGATTCCGGATAGGATGCCGCCGACGGCATTGCCAAAGACGGCGGGGAATAGATGTGCGCCTGCTACTGTGTTTGATGCATTTGCGGTGATTTGGAAGTATAGCGGCACTGCTATCATGAGCTGTATTCAAAAGTTAGCTACGATTGAGGTTGTCTTTCCTGGAGTAATACATACTCCCATTTGGGCTCCCCCTTGACAACTCGATACAATAATCGAGGCTACGACATCACGCTGTCGCAGAAGCTCGAGCGGGAATATTGGTTCTTTTGCGATGTAAGCTTGGCTCAACAGGAACAATGCTGCGAGAAAGACACCACTGCTCAGGAGACTGAAGATAAGAGGGCTGGACCAGGGAACTTTGACGCCTCCGATTTCCAAGGGAAGAAGGAATGCGAGGATGGTGAGTGTCATAAGAGTCGCACCGATGAAGTCAATCCTTTGAAGTTTGCTCTGTTTAGGCGCATTGTCGTCTTTCTGGGTCTGCTGTTCGGACGGAATTGTCAAGACGATGAGAACCATTGCAACGACGGCAAAGGGGACTTGAAGTAGGAACGAGTATCGCCAACCCACGGTATCAGCAAGCCATCCGCCAACGGGACCTCCTAGGCTCCTGCCAGTGGTTGCGACAAGATTGACATAGGACCTCCAGGAAGCAACATCCCGAAGAGGTACAAGATCTGTGATCAATATCGAGACTAGAGAAGTCATTCCAGCAGCTCCCGCTCCAGAAATCACGCGTCCGACGATGAGGTGAGTCATGGAATGTCCAATGCCTACAAGAACCAAACCGAGACCGAATAGTGCATACGCGACGAGTAGAAGTTGCTTGCGGCCGTAGATGTCGCTTAGTTTCCCATACAGTGGCTGGGTTGCTGCTTGGGCGATTGCAAAACTTGTCAAAAGCCAGCTGGAGTCGTCCAAGGCATTGAACTCCGACGCTATCACGGGATGGGTCGCCAACAAGAGTGAGCCATCGGCATTCGATATGAAGCCACCTGAATGAATGAGCGACCCTGTAGTTCAACCCTCAAATCTGCTTTATACGTACCTATTAGGAGAACAGAAACAATGCGGCCTATACCGGAGGTCTTTGGTTCTGACGCTGGCTCAGCAGTATCGGAATCGAGAAGTGCTTCTTCATCATTATGATCCCGATCGTTCGAGACGGCATTGGGATCATCTGGTATGGCAAGTGGGTTTGGGAGAGGAGCCACATTCGGTTGAAGCTGTTGACTGTTATCAGACGATACGCTCCGAAGTCGGTCCAGCAATGGTGTACGCTCGTCACTGCTGGTAGTCTTTTTATCCGCCATAGCACAGAGTCCCCTGGTGGGATTTACTTTGTCGAGAGTTTCGTAACGAGTTCGGGTGGAGGGTGTGTTAAGAATTAAGCCATGTCATGAATAGAGGTGAAGGTTGAGAGATGAAGAAAATTTCAGATCAGATCGACAGGCATTACGCACGACTAGAGGAGCGCAGATTCGAGCGAAGGCCTGGACATGCGAAAAGTCATGCACCTGGATTGGAAAAGAGAAGATCGATAGCAAGTACATGTCGTACACATGACTTTAAATTGCGCGATCGGAAAAAGCGAACAAACCAAAACCTTCGAAGCGGCTGCTAGCGGCAGAAAATCCATGCAAACCTATAGTTATAGTCATTGTCTTTTCCATTCATCATCGGAAATCACGTACAATACTTGTGTACTCTGTATACATGGTCTGATTCCTTCTGTGCATTAGCTGTTGCTGCAATGTCAGTATCGGCTATTCGCCTAAACTCCTTTCAATCAGCTGTAGCAAGTAGACAACGCTAATGGGTGTTTCGGGTGAGCTGCCAACGCAACCTACAGTATTAGATACGAACGACTACCTCACGGAAAATCTTCTCGAAGGCTTCGCGACTCTGAATAAGCTACAACTGCCTTTATGTTCTAGACGCAATGATAGCGCTGGGTTACAAGGCTGCTAGCTTTGCACATGTTTTGCAAAGAACCGTAAACGAATGTTTGTTGCCGGTTGCTAACATGTAGTAGTATCCGAGATAAATTCCCAAGATATGAATATCGTGGACAGCTGCAAGATGAAGGCGGTGTGGCACGGAAAATTTTCCCTCTGCTGCTAATGCCCAATCCATTTGCACATGAGAATTGGATTGTCTTTGGAACGATTAAACATTCTTCACAATTCTCCATGTTGGTCGCTGTTTCGTTCGTTAGTCACTGCCTTGTGGGTGCTTCTTTCCACTGACTACTGAAGCCTCCTGCTCCTACCCAACCCATCTGTGCTACAGTTACCCCAGCTTCTCCACATTAAGAAGGCTCGTATTGTGTTCGAGATCGAATCTAGCGGGAAGCCATCGCCGAGATCAGTACCACCGGCGCCATTCGTACAAACGCACGTTCAGTCATGGCTGACGATGTCTAACGAATCATGGGAACAATCTGGCGTCGCCGTGACCTATCACTGAGGAACACCTGGGCTCGACACAGGCATTACCAGCTGGTAGCCTGTAATATGTGCGAACACCTCGTGTGTCGTCGAACCTTTCAGAGCCCCACTCTAATCATGTCCGCGGCGCGGAAAAACCGGGCGACTGCACTGGCAAAGTACCAGCTATACAGTACAATTGGATCCTAGTTGCGCCCTCCTCAGCGTATAGGAACTGATACACGTATGTATCTATTCATGCTTGAGCAAGCTAACGCGCTAGCAGGCCAACGACGTGACATGGCAACCCTCTCCCCAGCCAGTGAAGATCGCCATCGACGCTTGCGGAAGGACCAGGTCGAACAAGTAGCTTCCATGCCCTGTCAAACCGTTTTCTGCGCCTGTTTGAGCAGGCATCAAGGTTGTAAAAACGTCCGAATACCCACAGACCACGATCCTCACTGTAGGGCCCTTTCACTCCTGAGTCGACAACGCCGGGCCGGGCCGGAATACGACTGCAGTGGATCGGAGGATGCCACAAGAACATTGGTTTGCATGCAAAACAGGGCGAGTCATGATCAGTGGTGCCTGGGGGATTCCTACGGCACAACTGCTGGCGTGACATGGTGATTCCGAATCAACTCGTACAAGCTGGTATGTTTTGAAGATGAAATTACAAGTCATCCAGCTGGGCATAACGTACTGATTGAAAGAAATGGATACGTTCTTAGGCAAGCAAACTGCACTGACTAATTGCAGAGAATCGCAAACGTGGAAAAGAAATTTTAGCTTTACCCCATATCTAGTTTATACGTTTCCGAAACGATCTCGAGAGGTTTACAGTAGATTACATGGTTTCCAACGTATGTACCGGGCTTCCCGTACGCCTGGACCTTGACGTCTGTGCCATCGGGCCCCTGATCGAATTCGAGCTTTGGTATTGCGGCAGGGGATACTTGAAAACTGATTTCGGCACATGTAAATATGCGGAGGCCTTGGACAAAGAGATTGCCAACAGAGACTGCGAACATACAGGGTCAAGGAATCCAAAAGGACCATGGTGCATTCGGCCCTAACGAACGATCATAGATTGTGGACTATGTTCGACGTCGCGGGAACTTCTAGAAGGCCAGGGGAATTCACCCCAGGGGACTCTAGCTTTACCGGACGATTATAATGCAGCGACACCGTGCCTGAGGTCTTTATCATATGAAGAGAGCTTACATGTTTTATAGAATCGAGACCTTTAGCTCTAGGGCATTCTCTTAGTACAATCCTTCTACAATAACTCGAAACTCGTATCTCTCTGCAAGAATGTGGGACCAATCATCATATCTCTTAGCCTCTAATGTTGAGGCCTCCAAGAGACTTATGTTACAGTCACATGGACGAAAGCACATCTAGTTCACCTACGTAAGTCTCCCACAGTCCTGTCAGACCGTTGGAAGCTTGCACCCGATGAGTCGTGAAACTCCTTAACTCATTTCACCGAATAAGGGCCGAAAACAGCTTGAAGGTGAGAAACGTATTCACAACAGGATATCTTGTGCCGGCTTAGGAATGAATACTGCAAAGTATTAAAAAGTTCAATACGAACACAGGGGGCTTTCCAAGCACTGCTGTAGAAAGACCCCAGCTGGAATTATTGGTACACATTTGGTCGTATGAGAATGATCCGAATGCAGACGAGCGCTTGTTTCAGGCGTGCTATATGGCTTCATGTCATCTGTGAAAACGGCCAAACGCTTAGAAATGACAGTTTACTCAGGTGTCAGGGCACAGTAAGGCATAGGTAATTATCTGTCGATGGTCTCTAACTACGCATCAGGACTACCTCTGGGAACTCTTCAGATGGTTCTTGAAGAATCGGGTCCTCTGGTTGCTTTCCCAGCGCGAAGAGAAAGAAGCTTGATAGGTATTTACCCACGATCTCAGAGTGTCTAAGGCCTGGTCCAGGTCCAACAAGATAAGTAGCTAACTCAGTCAACTCGTCTCTGATGCCAGCAACATCCACCAGCGCATCCAAGTCCCAATAGCTCCCATGCGTGGTGTTCTTAACCGCGAACTCCTTCTTATAATCTACGTACTCTGAGCTCTCCAGAGCATTCCAAAACGTGTTCCAAGTTTCATCTTCATCAGTCAGGTGGAGCTCACTACCCCACAAGACGAACGACTGATTCCGTGACGCTGATCCTAATGGAGCATGGAGCACGGGGCCGAACATGATACCGTCGATATTGACACCCGCGCGTATGCGCCGATCATTAAACATACTTGTGGCCGTTGCCGCGCCGCCAAAGCTCTGTCCAAACATGACAACGTCATCGCCCTGTTCGATACCCAGTGTATCCAAAAGGAACGAAACGTCCTGAGATCTCACCTCCAACGCGTGCTCAACGGACGCACTCGAGTTTGCAGTCGGCTTCTCGACACGCCCGCCGAAGATGATATCCCCGTTGGGGAACTCCACAATGTCAACGTCATACGGATGATCAACAGTGATGACGGTGAGACCATGTGATGCCAGCTCCTGCGCTATCAGAGATCCAAAGAGACGTGTCGTGTTCAAGCCTGGGCTGTAAATTGCGAGCGGGAATTTGCCCTTTCCCCCACCTGCGCCGCCGCTGCCGCTGCCGTATTTGCCCTCCTTTGGGTATCCCTGCTTATCTGCCTCGCACATCTCCAGCACGAATCTATCCAAGTTACCCTTGGGGTATTCGTAAGACCCCAGGATCTCGCTCTCCAGGGCGGCCGTGACGGGTGGGAAGTAGGGTACCTGGACGAGGTGGCAATCCCTGCTCACCGGCTCGAACCGTGATACCATAATCCGCCGTACATGGGAGGCGTTGAATGGGTCTGGCCGAGAGTCGTCCACGAGAGCCGATATCATCAGGCTGGATCGGTAGGGTCCTGTGCCCTGTGGGATGACAATGGCGTCCTCTGCTGTGACTGGAGCTGCGGCGGCGGCTGCAGCGAGAAGGTGTGCGAGACAGCTAGCTGCTCGGGCACGGAAGTACTTCATTTCTGGTAGGGGATTGATGCACACTCTTGTTGGGCAAAAAGCAAAAGGTTCTTGGGTATATGGAAATTGAATTATGCTATCTGCGAGCCACCAGGTTGCTGGATTGTGGGAGAAGTGAGGCTTCTAGCGAGGTACTGCCTGTCATGAATGAGGTTGGTCGATCATTGCGGGACGCAGCACCTCGTATTGTTCGCTTCGGATTCGTTATGCACCTTGCTCTTCTAGTATGGTGTTGCATGGTAGACAATGACTGGTACCATGCACAGTGCAACGGAAGCAGGAAGCGAGCTCGAAGGTGCACGAGGAGTCGGACATGCTCGTAGAGTAAGTTGTAACTGGAGGTGATACTGCATGGAGGAAGATGTGGGCGCCAGAATGGGTGGGCCAATCACCGGGCTGATACCGAGGCCATCACAGCGGCATGTGATGAAGGGGGCCGAACACGAATCTATCTATACCGACCCTCTACTACAACTATTATCAGAACACAACCTCGAACCAAAGCGCGCACCTCTTCTACCGAATCTACATGAGGCACGACGACTGCTGCCACGCCGGAATCGAAAGCGCGGCTGTGGTGCCATGGTGATTGAGATGGAACGCGGACAATAGGTTGATTATTCGCTACTTCATGGTTATTTTTTCTTCTCACCAGGCTCCACCATTATCCCGATTCTGATACTTGCATATTGATTGACTCGTTTGGCCAGGCTCAAGCACGGAATCGATGATTCTATGCACGTCGATTGCGTCTGCCCAGCATGTCCGCTTTGCCTTCAACCTATATTTCAGGATCCTTGCGGCGGGTGTCAGCACCAATTCTACGCCCCAAAGGACACACCACGCGGTGACATATCCAGACACCAATCAAAAGCGACGACGCCGATTGCAATGCTATGTTCTCTGTCCATCTATCCGTCTCTGACGAGATATTGAGGAAGGAATACAGCAAGGGAAGAAAGTAACGGACCATTACCGGTATTTACCGGTATCCTGATTTCTGTGGTAGAGATAATTCAATCTGGAAGCCGTCATACCACTCGCGCATTTCCCCACATTTGGTGTGCACTGCATATTCTCATGAATGCCTATTTTGTTAGTCTTGCCTGAGGATCCATGTCAAGCTGAGCCCTCTCACCACCATGTCCTTGTCATGTCTCACTGAATGGAAATGCTTGCGATTATTGGGCTTGTTGGCTTTACATTGGGCTGGCTCTGTGATTCTTGGGAAAGGAAAAGATCCGCTGCTCTTTCGGGCGGTGAGTCCACGTCTCCATTGGCAGTTGCCTCTACTGCCAACAACGACACACAACATAGGATCCTGTGATTTGCGACTGCGACTGCGTATGCAGTCAGAAGCAACAAAAACCAAGACGTGAATCGCGCAGTGGAACCCATCCCCGATAAACCAATCAAACCGTTCCCTACCAATCTACCCCTCACCAACGTCCGCGCGGACAAAGGGCGAGTGGGGAAAACCCAACCACAAGGATATCATCTTAGCAGAGAATGCAGTCGATTCTTCGTTCAGCCTTGTGTCTTCACACTGAAGAGACGACGTCCACCATTCCGTGCCGTACTGACATGACGGGTTGATTGGGTGCCTCACTACTCACTTTGTTGCGCTCGGTTTACTGACCCCTCTTTAGTTACGGTATTACGGTATCACGGGATTTACTTTGTATGTACGACCACAGATTCTACCTACAGAGAGGACTGCCAGTGGTGTCAGTTCACCTCTCATGAAACAATACAAATCCTGCCAAGGGCCCTGTGAGCCGTTTCACTACGTCGCATGCAATCATCCAATCAACCCAGGTGGTCGAGATAAAGCCAGCCCTATAAGCGCTTTCTTCTACCACCCATCACATGGATGTCTTCCTTAGAAGTTCAACAAGTGAGGCGTAGCCGAATGATCCTAACTCGCCTGTATTATATGCGTCTGTATGGGCCGATATGCATCTGTCCGTTTTTGATACTGGAGGGAACCACCCCAAAGGGCTTCCTTCTTCCTGACTCATCTCATATGAAGGGGATTCCGCTTGTAGTCCCATTCTCGCGGTTGCTGGATCTCTCTTCCGGTGCGATGATGCCTTGGAGTTTTACTTTGCTGTCTAGCTCGAATATCTTGTGAATCAACACAGAAGTCGTTGTCCTTGGGCATCTCTGCACCGAGTCCTGCCCGGGCTACTGCACGTCATAGACACACATTATAAGAATTTCCAGAGTTGTCTTGCCTCGTTGGCATCGTTCGATAGAGAGTCTTTTCGCTACGTCTGCGCGGTATAGGCAAAGGTATTACCTTGCTTGACCTTGATACTATCCTTCCAATCCAATGGGCCGAAGCCTGCCGTTCCATCGACCTATCAGGTTTTCGAATAATCGTCCTCCATTTTCCAGGGCAGTGATATTATAAAGCTCAACTTGTCGGCTGCGTCCTCACCGGTCAGTCATCAACAACAATGTCCACCCATTACAGGTCCAACCTCGCAAACCTGCCGTCGGGGTACGAAATGCCTCATCCCCAAGTACCTCGCCAGTACTCGGTCGGTCCTTCGTCACCTGTGTACAAGACTTCGATAATGAATCCAATCGACTATGTGAGAAATGCAACGAATGCGCGGAACAACTATACCACCGATAGTAACAGAACGGCGGAAGAGGAGGAGGAGGAGGAAGTAAGTTTGCTCTTCACGTCACTATCAATCTATCACTCTGCTCACCTCTGTTACAGGTAATAGTTTTTCAATGTCCCGAATGCCCTACTCAGTGCACTGGCCCGCACGCGAGAGGGAACATGAGCCGACACATGAGAAAACACAAGAGCGAACCCAAAAAGAAAAAAGACAACCTCAAATGTCCTTATTGTGAGTCAAAATTCGGGCGATCCGACGCAACAAGAAAGCATATCCGTCGCTACCACCCCGAGGTGGCTATTGACATCGACGACCCTGCATCAGAGGTTCCTCGTCATCTCCCTAAACGTAAAGCTGCCGAGATACAAAGAATTACCAATTTGATGCTACAAATCATGGGCTACGACCAGATGCTGTTTTTCATGAGTAACCTAGGTGATGTAGTCAGGTACACGGAAAATTCAAGGTATTTGCCCAACCTTCCCTATCGCTGCTTGGCTAATCAAGACATCCAAAGACCCGGCGACCAGACCACACGGGGATTTCGCGAGGCTTTTGAAATCCTCGCGGCAGCCCAGGTTCCGCAATATTCCATGCCCATAGATGGCGAATCAACTGGCACCGGGTCAGCTGAGCAACAGCCTCTTGGAACATCTTCTTACTTGCCACTTGACAATGCAGGACCCTCAAACTCTGCAAACCAAGGTGTCTACTACGAGAATCCAGAAGATCCTGGCCAGCAACCTCAACTTGAAGCAACGAACGATTCTCCGCCTGCCAAGCCGGGGCAGATGCTCTTTGGCTGTCACGTTTGTAAATATCATAGAATGCAAGGCTACCCTCCCACTTGTGAGTACGAAGGAGCAACTGGCCTTTCCAGTGTTATAGACCATCTGCGTCAAAAATGCCATCGGACTCATATTCGACGAGTCTCTCGATGCAAGATCTGCTGGGGCTTCTACTTCGATGAGACCGGGGCCTGTGACAATGACCATAGCTACCTCCAACAAGGTGAGCGCTTGGTACAGCCAAGAGGGGCCAGGCAAGAAGGTGCCTGGGTTGCGCTCTTCCTCATGTTCTTTCCGGATGCACCGGCAATCCCTAGTCCTTGTAAGTCAGTTCTCTCTGAAGGACAGTGAACAATCGCAGCTCACAATCATTAGATGTCGGTGACGACCGCTTTGTCGATACCACAAATTTACCCGGATTCACTTCGAGCAGAGTCTCTTTTCTACCGGTTCTTACCCCCCACGACTTTAGAACGGACGACATCTACGGTGCGCTCTCTCCAGATGATTTCAATGCACCAGCGCAGTCAACCCGCAAATGGTCTGAAAACGCTATCTTACTTGCCACGACTTCCTCGTTGGGTGCCATCGCCCAGCTACTCCAGGACGCTCTACTTGACGGGGCCATCGACCCGAGATTTGAATATGCTCATCGCCTGATCCGTGACAACCGTGGCCGCCTCAGTGAAACGGATCGGCATCTTATTGCGAGAGACATCCGCACGTTGACACTCCGGTTCATGACTCATATTCATGCCCACCTGGATAAACCTATGTCTTTGCCTTTGGAACCTCCCTCTGACCATTAAACCCGGATCCTGTGCACCAAACTGGACCAGACTGGAATTCCCAGGCGGCATCTAAATAGGAACACCAAACTCCTTGCTTACTCCCCAACACGGGCGAATTTCGTTCGCTTTCTCCGTTCGTTCTATTCATCAGTGGATCTATTTACCTTTTGAACGTGTCTACCTTTCGACAAGCTTTTACAAATTGTACAAACCTAACAGGTGTGCTCCTACGCACTTGGTTTTCGGCGAATATCGGTGTTCGGTTGGACTCAATTTGGATAGAAACGGACCTGATACATGCTGCATAGCGTTTCTCCATGTTATGAGCCATCCATGTACAGGGCTTCAACAGCGTGCATGCATAAACTTGGGAGGACTTCTGAACCATCTAAATTGCCTACTTGTTTTCCTCCGATCTTAGTTATTACTATTGGTACTTCATCTATCCACTGCACCATCGCTTTGGACCAGTCACGGCCATCTCCAGCTTTCTGTATCGCACTGTTTCCGAAATTGTTTCCCTCTTCTGTCATCAACGGCCATTCAATAAAACTCTTGGTTTCCGTACTGGCGCTTCCTTGGTCCCGCATCACTCGCCGTTGTTCATTATTGATTGATCATACCTTTTCTGCTAACAATTTAGGTCTAGATGAGCTTTGCGCCTGTAGTGCTTTGATGCATGTCTCGTAGAATGAAACGAGGATTCCTTGTCTCCTTGGTTTACAGTAATCATCCCACCTACGTACTAAGTGTAGGGTGTCATCACGGAGACATGCTCTGCTGCAAAGTCGACGCCCTGTGCATTGGAATCATTTACGTTGCTTTACTTACAACTCACTCGACAATCATCTCGGGCCATTCGTGGTCTTCATCTCAATGATACATTGTTGTAATTTGACGTGGTTCAGGACATTCGAACTTGTAGTGACGCTCTCGGATCACAGTGACTTGATTGTGAATGTATCCTTCAGACCCCGATTACACTTTCATCGCTCACTTATCTCCCTTACCAACCTTGCCACAGATGCCTCCGCCTGCCTTGCACCAAACTCCTACACTGCCTCTATTCTCACTCATGAGGTAATAGAACCTCATATGTGACAATCCAGGCGCCTCATTCCCCCATCAACTGACCATTTTTTACATGCCCCTCGTCTGAACTCTCATCATGCTCTCCCATTTTCTCCACGTTGAACTTTCGGATACCTCACCTTCTTACTTACAGTAGTACGAGAGATTATGTGAGATATATGCGGATATACATCGCGATTTCGGATTACATTCTATCAATGGACATGTTCAACCGTTCAAAACACTTGGATTCAGAATTACTATCACAATCTAGCTTCATCCGCTATTCGCTGGCCAGGTGCTATGTTCCTCCCTCTTGCATTGCAGGCAAAATGTCACTAAGGCGAAGTGCATCGGGATCATTTGGATCAGTGATTGCGCCAGCAAACATGGACAACGAACTAGGATCCTGATAAACACATAGGTAGAAGCAGCGTCCAATAGGAAGTGCGGCACACCTGTCAAGCAGCGGTCCCCTCTCGAAATTGGATACACCTGGTCTTTAGTCAGCATATGCGCCCTGTATCGTCGTAATGTTGCCCACATACTGAAGTCTGTTACCTCAATCCTCCCATCGTCTGGAAAGACCATCCAGCGACGCACTCTGTCCGTAGTCAATCGCTTGAAGACATGAGAATAGGTTGAAAACATGGAAGCCCCCTTCGCTTCCATGACGAGGATTATCGTTCTCGTATGGTCGTCCCAATCCTCTCTGGCCTTCTCGAGCTCGCTCTCCGGAACTTCCCACAAAGCCAATTCCTTTTCTCGCGAGGTATCTTGTAATCTGTTCAGCGCCCGATCAAACGCGGTCCCTCCCTCTGTGTCACGGACACTCAAGTCGAGTCCGTCTAGATTCAGTAGCATCTCTACCGCCTGAGCATTACCGAAACGGACGGCCAGGTGGAGAAGTGATTTCTTCTTCTCCCCCTGAGTCGTATTGAGGTGTTTCACCGGATGTTTGAAGTATGCCAGTATGGTCTCGAGCAGGCCCGTTGTGATTGTCCTTGTCTTTCCATGAGGTGTGTACGCCACAGCTACCTGCAGCGCATTATATTCACCGGCGTCCGTATTCCAACAAGAGGCGAAGAGAACATCACGTCCGCCGGTGAGTTTGAGAAAAGCCTTGACCTGGGCAAGATTAGATGGGTACAAAAGTGCTCTGCGCATCAATCTACCAAGCAGCGTCTGTGAGGAACCAGTTGTCGAATCGTGGCGAGTGGCCACGATATCGCACCTGCTCGCCCTTTCGAATATGATCCTCGCATTATCGAAATGGTTGTTGATCAGTGCATTCTCGAACGCTTGAGAAAGATCGATTGCTGTTGTGCAGAGAGCTTCGTGATGGGTGATCAAGGCGTTGAGATAGTATTTGGCATCGACTTGCCCTGCTAGCTCGGAGATGATCATGGGCCACGAGTATTCCTCATTCGTTTGTACATCAACTTTGAGTAGCTCGTTGAAGAGATGCTTACTGTTGTGGGCTGCCGCATTGATCAATATCCCAGTCCATTGTTTGATATCTGGTCTTAGGGTAGATCCTTGCCATCCGAACAAGGCATGTAGAGCATATGGTTGACCAAGTGTACCTGCATAGTGGAAGGCTGTCATGTTTCTACTATTGACACGTTGCGGATCGGCGCCTTTTGAAAGGAGGAGCTCTATCGTTCGCCGGCAGTTCTCTCGATGCTTGTTATTGTGCAATTGTATACGATAGAACACCAGTCCTCCGGAATAGCTAGCGGCCGGTGCTAACGGTAACGCATGTACGGGATTTCCAACATTGTTCATGCGGAAACTGGTGTTGAGTAGCGACAGGTCGGCATATTCAGTGTCCAGTAATAGCTCCAAGATCTCTATCTGGTGCATCTGGGAGGCCCAATTCACAGGACTGTGTTGCAAATCCTTCGCGCCCCCTGCAACATCGAAAGGATCTGCTCCAAGTCCCAACAGTACTTTTACAGCAGGGAGACAGCCTGCAGCGACGGCCCACAAGAGAGGTGTGCCGTCGCAGATTCCGTAAAATCTATCTGCTCCGGTATATCCATTGTTCAAGTTGGTATGTCCCGTCGAATGGGACTCGAGGGGACACCCAAGTGCGCGAAGTAGCAAGCCAATGAATGGGATATCCTGATGATTGAAACTACTGAGGAAATGCAAGGCAGATATGTTCTCCTTTGATACGAGTGTAACGTCGGCACCGGCTGCCACGAGGCATACTACCATTTTGTATTGTCCGGCTCTGCATGCAGCAATTAGAGGGGTTTCCTGCATGCCATCACGCGAATCGATATCGCAGCCATTTGCGATGAGGTCCTTGACGCGATCTAGGTCGCCCGCCGAAGCAGCGAGCACAATATGGTTACTATCGGGTATCGGTTGGCCGAACCATTGAGCATTGTCGACGAGCCATTCCGGTTCGATGTGCCATCCTTTCCCAATCCCTTGATATTCGTCACAGATGATCTGACGAGTTTGATCGAAGCGCTCTGGATTGACGACTTGGAGTCTTCGCGACGCTATACGGCTGCCAGAGATCATGCCATTAACAAGCCATTCAGTATCGTCATCGGGATATTGCTGGTTGAACGTCGTGTACATCCAGCCCACTGTCCACTGTGCTTCCTCGTGGCCATTCTGTACCGCAAACTTTAACAGCTGGAGGGCACGGGAAACTTCTTCGCTCTGCTCCTCGTCGTCGTCTTCAACGATAACAAAGGCAATAAGACCAAGTGCTAATTCGTAGGCTGCGATGGTCCTCCTTTCCATAGGCTCGCGAATGTCGTCCGACACCTCACCCAGACTACGCATCACGTAGTCTAGAAGTGGCCCAGGAAGGATGGTCATGTTCGCCAGATAATTCGTTAACTTCAGTTTCTTTAGTCACTGTAACATATGCAATAGATCGAACGGAGTTCAACTTTCGTACTCACCTTCACAACGTCGTCAATATGCCTCTGCAGGGTCAACTGAACATACTGTTTGTTGTCTCTCGAAGTACCGCATACGAGGTCGTCCCACGAAGCCCCGAATATGAAGTCCTCCCAATCCGTCTCTTTCAATGCTGATGAGGCGACTCGTATTCTAGGAAGAGTATAGTCCTGATTCATGCGACGACTGAGATTCCACGGGAAGCTTTGGGGTAACGCGACGTATTGAGAATCTTCTTTCACTATGAACGGCCATGCTCTTGCCATTGTTACCTCTGATTCGTGTTCTCGGCCAGTTAGCTCAGAGTGATTTATGCGTGCAAAATTGAAAACTTACCCATAACAAACGTAGTCTGCACGGTGGTACTCTCGGATGAAACTACTTGGCCAAGGTCTACACGAATGTGATCCCGCTGCCCGTGTATTTCCACAGATGTATTGATGCCTTCTAGCACACATACGATCTTGCGTACCGAAACACTTCTCCTCGATATATCTCCTTGCAGTGCCTGAAACACGATCGAGGCCGCTTGCTCATTCCACCTTGTCGAATAGTTTGTCAATGTTTCGTCATCAAGTAAGTGGGGTGGAAAGTAAGACGTCCCAGGTTCTTTGACTGAAGATCGCTGCGTGACGGTGAGGTTGGAGAATCTTTCCAGAATCATGACGGCGCTCAACGAAAGACTCCCCCATCGTTTGAAATAATCGAGTCCCATGGACGTGTTCGCAACTGGGGGGCCATTGCTCTTCTGACTTTGGATGTAAGTCAGCGCACGCGTTGACTGATCCGACGTCAATATTCCCAGGAGAACTAGACCTAGAGAGAATACGTCGATCTTGTGCAGGTCTTCCTTTGCGACGTTTTTCAAGTCCAGCTGCTCAGGTGGATTCCAGAATCTCGTTCCCTGTGGCGGGATACTTGACGAGTCTACGTCGTCAAGCAAAATTGCACACCCGAAGTCCGCAATTTTCGCTCGGTATGGGCGTTGTACATCATTGGTGGGAAACACCAGGATGTTCTTTGGCTTGATGTCGCAGTGCACAACGCCCACCCGATGGAGCTTCTCAACGCCCGTTGCTATATCAATGCATAGCTGCAACTGGTGGCCAAGGGGAAGTCTTTTATGTGAGTCCAGAAACTTATCAAGATCACCGAGGGGCGCGGCTTCATAGACAAGCACAGGAAGAAGTACTGACTTCTCCGGATTCGAGTAGCTCCAGCATGCTCCAAGCAGTCGAACGATATTATTACATGCTCGTATGTCGTCGTTCGTTAGAACTGCGATTTCTCTGCCAATTCAGTCAACATCCATACAACGAGTGCCATTACGAAGCGCAGCGCTATGTAGCGGGCATATTCGCAAGTCAAACAATGGATCTAAAATTACCTACTTAGCCATGGAATAAAGCATCTTTTGAGTCTGACGAAGCTCAACTGATTCGGCTAACTTCGCAACTCTTACTGCGACTGACTCTGGTAGTATACCTCTGGAACCTTGTTGTTGCTTCCGGATTTGTATGTCCTCGATGTCTTTCGATCTGATGACACTGACGGAGAAGGAGCCCCCCGACCCTCCGCTACTGGCGTACGAGAGAAGTTCATCATCCAAGAAGATCCTCGACAGATACTGTTGTAACGCATCTTTTGCTATATCGTCCATCCTACGAAATGCTAGAGCTAGAAATGCGAGGATATCGAAGGGGCGATGCGCAAGAACCATCTCGCCATCGTCCACCCTCGAGGGCGCCGTAGCTGTAATTGAAGCAGCGGTGTCATCCATGATGTTATTTTGAAAAGCACCCAAAGCGATGCCAACAACTGTTTCTCTTCAACTTCGACCAACATTGGGATGGGGCCTGGTTTTATACAAAATATCTGCACGACCAGCGATACGCGTCATTCTTGACACAGTAGAGCCTGATGCCCTCGAACATTACATGTAACGCCAGTCTCAGTAGGGGAAGGTCTTGCGACACTGTCGATAGTGGCTGAGTGCAAGAACACTATTCCGGGATTCCAAAAAGAAGCAAACCATAGGCCCGGCCTATCGTTCATAGCCCCAGCCCTTGGAGGTGATACGAAAGATTCGTCCGGTCAAGGTAACTGACCTATGATGTCTTGTTTCTCGAGAAATAATAATATTCGCATCATGGTCTGGGCCCGTCCCAATGGAGTATCCTGGCGTTTTCCGAGACGAGCTGAAAAGTTTTGTGTCCAGAATTAGGGTAGAATGCTTTTTGCGGGCGGACCTCCACCCCGCGATGCATCGACTCAGCTAGTCGTCCACCCTCCCTTCCAATTGGCCAACCCGGCAAGTCGGAGTCAAGGCTAAGGGTACGCAACAATCTCATGTTGATACCTTGAGCCACAATTCTCGGCACAAATGAATGACGCTCTCACTTGCTTCTCATCGAGATCTCAGAATTAATCGACATGGACGTTGCCGCAAACACCATTCAAACTATAGGTTTCGCCGGCCAGATCTTCACTGGGTGCCTAAATGGCTTCAAGGCGTGGCAGAAAGCGGACGACTTAGGGCGCGACGCTCTCGAGCTTCAAATCAAGTTGGAATGGACACGGTCAAGACTTGATATGTGGGGGACGTCATGGGGCCTTGAGCAGCAGGATCATCTGAAAGATGTCCGTTTCCGTCGATTTGGTATGATGGCTTTGAATCACTTGGTATACATCAACTATTGCCTTGATGAATTCAAATCCATGGATGATATATTTCCTACACTCGGCGATGCTGCAAAGTACGCCTCGGCTCCAGCAGTGTCCCTGGCAAGATTGACCAAAAGTGCTGAAGTGAGCGCCGATGAGTTGGATGCGTTGCGTTACAAACTGGACCATCTGCAAATTAATTCGGGACACCAGGAGCGCATCAAGTGGGCGTTGCAAGATGGACGGGCATTGAAAATGGTTGAAACGGTGAAGGCTATGGTTGAGGACTTGTACATTCAATTTCCACCCCCTGCTGGGGAGTCCTCTGCAGTGGTCAAGAACAGCCATCTCATCTCTGATTCTTTGGAGATACTCGATAGTATTTCGGGAAATTCGACTGCAGATCCTGCTTTGGCATCACTCTGTTCCATCAAGGCAGAGAGGATTCGCCTTGAATCGGCCAAGCGCAAAGAAGATCTCAAGACTCATGACCCATACAAAGTTGCTGGCCAACTTGAAGAGAGAACGCAACTCTCCGCAAATCGGTATTTAGGTCAGCTCCGCCAGGATGGAGTATCCTACGGCACTCCAGTTCTTGTCGAGCACAAAAAGGTCGAGGCGCTAGTAAACGCTACCAGCACGCTTGATCACCGCGTTCAGAACGTCGCACGGCTACTGTGTATGAAGCAGAAGCCAACGGAACTGAGGACCCTTGACTGTGCCGGTGTTATAGTCACCCGAGATAAAGAGACTGAATACAGGTTCATATATCAATTGAAAGCACGAAGGGCTTTCACGTTGACGGATCTACTCAAGGCTGCGACCCGAGACAATCTGAACGGTCTCCATCGCGACCTCTGGGCTCTTGATGAAAAATTTGCTCTTGCACGTCAGTTGTCACGCGCTGTGCTCTATCTTCATCTGGCTGGATGGCTTCACAAAGGTATTAGGAGTAATAATGTTATCTTTTGTGCCGATGATGAGACGGGAATCAACCTTACGGAGCCTTACCTGGTTGGCTTTGAATACAGTCGAGCGGATCTGGCAAGGAATGAAACGGAGACAGTTCAAAGCACCGAAGAAATTGATAACGCATTTCGTCATCCAGATACACAAGGACTCCCCACCGAAAGATTGGAGTTCCATCGGACATTTGACATCTATGGTCTTGGTATGGTCCTATTGGACATAGGCTCAAAACGCTCCGTTGCAAACCTTCGAGTCAAGTTTGCTTCCATCAATGCCAATAAAGGCGGATGGACTGCAGTGGCGTTCCGCAAGTGGCTGCTCGATTCAGCACTGGATTCGGACATGACCGGGCTTACGGCAAGGATGGGTCCTATCTATGTAAGTATAATCAAGACCTGCTTAAGCGGGAACTTTGCAGCAAAGTACAGCGGGGACCTGAATGTGGCGTTTTATATGGAGGTTGTCAGGAAGCTGCAATTGTGCGTGGTCTGAACCAATACATGACGGTAGTGGACAAGAGGGAATATGTCCGCAGGACAGAGATCTACGCCAATTCCGTGGGGATCTGGCAATTGCAATCAAACTTCGTTGAGATGCGCCCGTGTGATCGACTTGCCTTGATCTTGGTGGTTTTTATCTGCAAGGCATATCCGAGCTTCTCCGCTTCTGCTACACCGCGTACAGGCGCCTTTCACTCACATTCTACTTAGAACAAATAGTTCTACGGGCATGGACCTAGTGCGAGCAATGCATATCGTATCAGGGCCTTTCTGTTCGGCCACGTTACTAATCTCATTGCTGTACGAAGAAGCTGTGATGGAGACAATCTCCACCCATGTCATGCTTGCGACACCACGGGCAATCTACCATCCCATACAGGACGCCCATCATCATATTCCAGCCCAGTAGAACCTCTTGTATTCTTATTCGCTCATCTGGAAAAAGATATCGATATGGCTACTCCGTACCATGTGTCAAAACAAAGAGTAAACATGAGACAACGCCCCGGTTATGTCCTACCATTGCCTCGTGCCATGAAACTAACATTGCCTGCAGCACAATAACGACTTGCCGAATGGGTACTAACATCTAAGCACGGAGCAAGCGTTCTCTTCGATTATAGTAGCATGTATGGTTTTCAAATACTGCCCTTTCCGACAGGAGGCCCGGAGAGTTCAAGTGCTGATGAGATCCTCCGATGCCCTTGTCTTTGACAAGAAAGCCACGATAGCTAGGCAACTTGCGCCCCACGAAATTAAAATAGACTTACGTTTAACATTGACTAGAAATCCTACTGAGAGGAAAAGTCTTGTTAAGCCACACGAATTCTTGGGACTTGCTTTTCTCGGAGGAAACGCGATGCAGTCATGACCGACCGAGCACTATAGCCTGGTGAAGAAGGCTGTTCATTGGACAACAACATCACACGATGCGTCGAGATATGCGTCAGGACGTGGGATCTGAAAATTTGGTTTGCATAAGCAATGAGATACCCCCAACAAGGCATTCCATTACGAGAGAGGCTGCATTCTCAGCAAAACAGTTGGACAAGTTTCGCATTTGCTTCTCAGAATCACCGTGGAGCGACCAACTCCGACCAAGGCAAAGTCAGGTTGATCGCATCCTCCATATGTGCCCATGTGTCGAACAGGACTTTGCCGCCAAGTTTTTTTTGTTCACAAGCGGCGTTGTGCTACAAATGCGTTTGGGCAATACAGACGAAGTATGGCTGACAGATACCATGCTTGCGAGGAACGAGGATTAAACCGCCGTTATTGTCATTGGAGGGTTCTGTCTTGGGGCGTAACCTCGACCTATGTCCACTCGACGCGTATCTTTGCTTCTTTGCTTCTTGCTTGTCTGTTCGCTGGCTAGGCGCAGTATGTGGCACAGAATCAAGCGACGTACAGCACCAAGAAGCGTTCAGCTGGCCGTATACCGCGATTTTGGACAGATTGGGTAAGAAATGGCATTTGTCGTCGATTACACCGCGCGAGTAACTGCACGCTTCCCTGCCCATTGCATATGTCGACCCGCGGCGTACTACATCAAGAAGCGGTCAGCTAGCTACTGATTACCTAGATAGGTAGGAATCAGTTTTGTGTCGAACATACCGCGCGAGTAAACTGCACCCTTCCTTGCTCGCTGCATATGCTCAGACTTGATACAGATGTCGTACTACACCAAAAGGCCAGCTGTCTACCGCGATTTTGCACCGATTCGGTAGGATTGCATTCGCCGTCGAACATACCGCGCGAGTATCTGCACTTCTCAGTGGTGCGCTCTGTACAGACGTCGTACCGCATCAACAGGCTGGCCGTACACCGCGAATTTGCCAGATCTGGTAGGATTGCATTCACCATCGAACATACCGCGCGACTAACTACACATCTTAGTGGTGCGCTCCGTACAGACGTCGTACTGCACCAACAGGCTGGCTGTTCACCGCGATTCTGCCCAAATCTGGTAGGAGTTTGAATTATCGTCGATTGCACCGCGCGACTATCTACACATCTCAGTGGTGCGCTCCGTACAAGACGTCGTACTGCACCAACAGGCTGGCTGTTCACCGCGATTCTGCCCAAATCTGATAGGAGTTTGAATTATCGTCGATTATACCGCGCGAGTAATTGCACACTTACGCGCTCATTGCATATGTTCAAACCTTGGTATAGGAAGGAGTAGACCCGCGGTGGCCGCCCAACACTGAAAGGGCAGTGACTTCTGAGTCGGACGCAGTGATTCCTTACCCACGGCGAAGAGGCGTCTCGCTCTTGGAGAGCCATCGCTGGGCAAAGTCGACTGCCGGGCAAGTCCTCACTGCATCAGTTGCCAGTGGAGGGAGCAGATGGATAGCTAGCACACGCTTAAAGGGCATGCTTTTTCGAGCCATCATTACGTTTTACTACATCTTTGCCCACCTCTGTCATAGGGACAGGTGCAAAGCTCACCTTGGTGTTCAGGCAACTCAGAAGGTGAGTTGAGCGAACTACTCCGTAGATGTGATGGAGGAGGGGGGGAACGAGAGTCCCTGGATTACTCTCATACTGTGTGAAAAGCGACGTACGAGGCGAGGCATGCAAGAACAAAGCACAGCATGGCTTGGGGCTGGTCGCTGCGTTAGTCGCTGCGTACGCTACGCCGTACGAGGTAACCAATCGTTTCAGTCGTGCCAGTGAACCACAGCACAGCGCAGCACAGCGCAGCACAGCGCAGCACAGCGCAGCACAGCAAACGACTGACTGCCCGCCGCCCGCGCGGGGGATGGCGGGATCGGGGGGATCGTACGGATTCCTTGGTATGATATGATATGATATGATGAACAAGTGCAATTCGTGAGTGCGGATGCGGGTGATCGGCAACCAGGATGGGATTCGAGCAACTGGAGTGCCCACAGCACACGGCCCAATATGCGTTTGCTTCTTCTTGCATACTGTCTGTGCAGTGTGCAGTGTGCAGAGTGCAGAGTGCAGTGTGCGGTGTGTACGGAGGGAGTGGAGTACACGTACACGTACACGTACGGGTACGGAGTGGAGTGCAGTGGCTTGTGTTCCCATTCCTTTTGAAATTACGATATTACACCACATCTTCAACGTACATGGTTTGGGCATATCGGCTTTCTTCGTTGCTGCCGCGGAGCATCATCCCGACCAATCCCTGCATTCGTCCACTGGCTGATCGGGCCAGACAGAAGTCGACCGAGCGAGAGCGAGAGCGAGGGCGAGAAAAGAAAAGAAAAGAAAAGAAAAGACAAACGAAAGCAAAAAAAGAAAGAAGAACAAGAGGGGAAGAGGGGAAGAGGGGAAGAGGGGATGGAAGATGACCAGTGACGGAAGGCTACAATTATTGTTCTGGAGAAGCCAGTTGAATCATATCATTACTTCCAATTGGAGGTAGGCACGGATGTGGCTGTAGGGTGCAGTGCAGTACAGTGCAGTGCAGTGCAGAATAAACAAATCCAACGAACCTCGACTTATCTACGGAGGTGCTCGGTAGATTACCAGAGCATAATTACTTTATCCACCGAGTACGTGGATTATCACCCATGCCATGCTCGCTCGATGTGTGCAGATGCGCTCCTGGGTAAGCAAACGATTGTGGTAGGTGGTGGAACTGCGGAGTACTCCGCATAGTCAGTATGTCCATAATTATCCAGTAATAGTCTATACAAGAGTACGGAGTACTTCGTCAATACACAGGAAATACAGACGGACAGGGAGGACACGACAGGACAAGACAGGACAGGACAGGACAGGACAGGACAGGAGGACACGACAGGGCATGACAGGATGATACGAGAATGGCAAACGGGTTGTCGATCGCGGTAATAAGCGCAAAAAGTGCCCAGAAGAGTGCCCAGCAAAGGTGCATTTACTGATTCGAGTCTATGGCATGTGGCATTTGTGGCCCCCTTCTCTCCCTCCTCTCACTCCTCTCACGCTCGCCACATCCGCTCCCGTCCCTCATCCTCTCCTCTTCCCCTCCGCACCACCACCATCACCACCCCATCACCATCACCACCACCGTCACCACCGTCACCATCAAGCCGTCTGGGGTCTTCCCATCTGGACCAGTAGCGGATGGCTGAATAGTTCAACCGTCTCTCTGCTCGGGTTTGGCTTGCAGCACTGCTCTCTACTGTGTTGGACCCATTGGTCGGTGTCGACAGAGCTCGTTTACCATGTAGAATGCCAGCATCATTGGTTTTTTGTCAAGATGATATCTCACAGCAGCACCTCGCCAGAAAGAGGCCCAGGCTGCGTCGTGGAGAGCGCCCTACTACTGTGTATGTGGACCGAGAGGACGGGTCGCAAACGAGCTGAGGCTCAGCGTTACACGGTACTCGTAACTTGAGAAGTCCTCCGGGCAAGTCCTGACTCCTGACCTGGCCTGGCCTTCTTTCCTCTCTCCTCCGATTCCGTACTCGGTATGTACTCTCTCTTTGGCATTTGCATTTGCACTTGCACTTCGATAACGGTTAACCCCCATCATGGCCCACTTTGATCGGCTCGCTTGCGGCTTGACGCAAGGCATGGTGCGGTTGTAACTTGTGCATATCTCCAGATTGGGCGACCACCACCTCCTCGACCATCTTCCCTTTCACATATATCGGCGGGCTCCCGCGCAATGCGACCTCGTGAGTTATAGCTTGTGGAACACTTTCAACCTTCAAGCAGTACAAGATTTGTTTGCTTGCCTCCCTTTCCCCCTCCTCCAACGTTGCCATCGGCCAGATGCTGCTTGGTAGGCATGGCATGATTGGTACTAGGCTAGCGTTCACTTGACCACCCATCGCCTACACCCATGCATGTGTTTACCGAGTACCTTGACGCGCTGAGCCTGTGATAATCTTCGTTACATCCTGCATTCAGAGATTCTGTTTGTTTGCTTGCAATCATCGAGACTGAGAAAGCCAACCGCTGCATCCGCTCCTTGTAGGCGTAGCGACCCAATCTTGCAATTACACTGGTAAGTGTACTCCGTAACACCAAGATCGTTTGAACTTTCAACCTTGTTCAGAAGCTCGTTACTAAAAATTGCGTAGCTCTCGAAAACAATTCTTATAACTCATACACGACGGCCATGCCTCTTTTCCCTCGGCCTACCACAAGCATAAGACTGTCAAGTTTGAGCACACACCCGAGCCAGAACTCTTAGTTACTTCCATCGAAATACTTTCCACAGCCATTTCACTTCCATCGAACTACTTCTCTCCATCCAATCTTCTTCCATCGAAATACCTTTTCCCCAAAAAATTCACCCTCCGCCGTTATGCAATTGAACGACCCCGAAAATTTTCTTAACAGATGCTCTGGTTTTCGTGGCAAGACCCTGGTACGATGCAACCACTCCATTCGGAAGATTGCACGGTATCATCCCCGCATGATCTTCCTCCCAACCTGCAAGCAGCATCGTGACCAGAAATTCCATGCTGGTCGTTGTCAACATGTATATGCAGACGACTCGAGATGTGGCCGTCTTTTCAGGTGGCAGCCGAACTATTTCGAGATGTGCGAGGAACATAAAGGCCTCCCTCCACCGGGGAATCCTTGTTACATCACGAGACTCCCGCTGGAACTCCACCAAGCGATCTGGAGTCACCTGCTGCCTTCGGAGGCAGTCTCATCGGCACTCATATTCTCCCACCGGCTCGACCGTGTTACTAGAGAACCCATGGATTCGCCTTCAGTCCTTCCCAATCCTGAACGATCTAGCGGCTCGAATGCGGTGCGCCGAGGCGCTTCGCATCCAGGAAAGCTGTTTCCCATGCCACTCCAAGATCTACTACTGGCTTCTAGGCAGTGGTACAATGGAGTGAAGAGCTTGCTTTTTAGCACTACGGCTTTCACCATCGATATCCGCCATGACGGAGCCTTCATATGTGGGAGGCGAATTTTGCAACCAAAGCGTGAAGATGGTTCGATCCAGCTCTGCAAAGAGCCGGAGACGAAAAGATTCGTCAATTCCTTTCCCTTCGAATTTGTCAAACACTGGAACGTCGACATCTTGTTAGAGAACTATGAAGCACCAACAAAGCATGATTTGGACGAAGAGGTGGAGATGTACGACGTTCGAGGTGAGCGCACCGCGCTTTACTGGCAGTGCCGCAACTTACTTATGTTTTCTAGCTTACGTTAGCGTCACCGTCGAGGGAATTCTGGCTAGGTCTCAGGATCTTTGCAAACTGCATGTACGCATTGGGATGTCCAGCTCTAGACGGACTCCAGAGCAGATCGTCGAAGCAACCAAGGTATTGGTTGCGCCTTTTGATCGACTTCGAAACGTTCACCAACCTCGCCTGTGCGGAGTTTACCATGGATTCTTGAAGAAGAACCACATGATCTGCGTTCCATATCAGGCGCGCCCCAACCCGCGTGGAATGATCAGAGACGGACTATTTTCTGTGTGTCCGCTTCGCGTTGATAGGATCCTCCTTGATCCCCAAAACGCATCCTTCAAAGAGTTGAAGCGACGTTTCGAGACCCTCGTTTCGAGCTCAGCAGAAATGCCCTCGCCCGAAAGCTTTGCAATTCGCGACATGTTCAAGAAATTCAGGCGTTTCTATGCCAGCCTATCCGGCCTTGTCCCCGGCATTGGTGGACGATCTTCTCGTATTGAGTACCTACACAGCGCCCGAAAGGCGCGAGCAAACGAGGATCTGGAAACTTTTCGTGAAGTGCGTGCCAAACTAATTCAATGCTGGCATGACTACCTTCAGGTGCACGACACCAAACGACGATCGGTAAATCACGAGGTCACTGCTATGCTGGTAGCCGACGTCTATCCCAACTCTTTGGGAGACCCATCTCTTCGACGTAATCCGACTCCGGACGAAGCCGTCACTCACATGCCCGAAAGTGCTTTTTTCGCATGGTCACCATATGGACAGCCTCCATTTCCAGAATCACAAAGTGGGAGCGCAGGAAATCTACTTGTTGCTGCCACCCATATCCAGCCGCCGGGATACATTCAACATAGCCCACCTCTCGCCGAGATGCAGGCATATTCGGGGCAACTGGCCACATTGGAACCTACATTGGAGCCGATGTTTGACCCCAGGTCGGAGCCCATGGTTTACCCCACGATAGAGCCTACTTTTTATCCCGTGACAGAGCCTATCTTTGACTCCATGTCGGGGCCAATGGTTTACCCCACGATAGAGCCTATCTTTTATCCCGCGACACAGCCCATGTTTGACCCGGTGTCGGAGCCTATGTCGGGGCCCATGTTGCAGCCCACGTTGGAGCCAACAATGGATCCATACCTGCTCAACCAGCAGGAGCCGTCGGAGCCCACAATTGATCCATACCTGCTCAACCAGCAGGAGCCATCGGAGCCCACCATCGATCCATACCTGCTCAACCAGCAGGAGCCGTTGGAGCCCACAGTGAATCCATACGTGCTCAACCAGCAGCCGTTGGAGCCCACAATGAATCCATACGTGCTCAACCAGCAGCAGCCGTTGGAGCCCACAATGAATCCATACGTGCTTAACCAGCAGCAGCCGTTGGAACAGTTGAACCTGGAACATGCGACTGGTTTGGAGGGCCCACCCCGCTTACTCTCTCCATTTCGGCCGCGGTGGGCGCCACCGGTAGCTATGCAACCGGCCCACTCAGCTACTGGCCTCGATGCTTTCCCGGGTCGCAAAAGGTCCCTGGATGCTATGGATTCACCCTGGACCCAATTCAATGGCCCTATTCCATCTCTCACCTCATCTCCCTATGATTGGAACGCCGCAGTACCTGATTCGCCCAACAAGAGACAGCGTCTTGAGCCTGCTCCATCCTTCCCACCTCTATATGAGGGATACCAACCAAACCCCCTCCCATCCGATCATCGCGATGAGGAGTGATTCAAACATTCTCGGCCGTGTCACTATCGTCTGCCCTGTTGGCATTTCTTTTTCTCTTCGGATATGAATTTGTAACCGATGATGGATCATGATTATCATATTGCGAATCTCAGCTCACAGCTCACGGCCTTTGATATTTTAGGGTATGGAAAATAACAAAAGGTATAGTAGTCTAGGTTACTCCCCCTTTCTTTCATTTATCCATCTTCGGTAGTGTCAATGACAAAAATTATTCAATCATCAATGAGTGCAGTGTGATTTCTTCGACTTGTTTATCCCCATTCTGATCAATGTTCTGCAAACTTCTTCTTCCAATGGTTGCATACCAATTTCCACCGGTATATGCTTGCAATTCTTTGAGGCGCATGGATGTAACAAGGCGCGATCCTCTTAGGTGTCCAAGCGACGTCGTGAGGATAACTTCTAGGATGATTTCGGTACGAGTAAACGAGCGGACTAATCGTAATTGTTGGAATCTCTCGACTCGAACTACGACTTGACAGCAGCAAAGATGTATGGTCTGCAACCGTCAGAATCCTCATCAGCGCTCCTGGAAACATTCCGCGCACATTCTTCTGATTTGGAACCAAGGAGCGCTCGCATTTGCCTATCCGCCAAAAAAGAAGGCAAAATCCGCGAGAAAGGCCCTTGCCGCTTGTACAGAGCAACTATACGTTGTTCATGCTCATCACACTTGCGAGGTTATACGATTCTTGGCTTCGACCAACGACTCGCTCGGGGTCAAACCGGAAGGACCCAATTCCTTGATTTCATATGCGCACACTGTGCAGTGCAGGCAACCAAACGAATAGATATCGCGGGACAGTACAACTATGCCAGAGCGCAACCCCACTCCGTGAAGCCAATCATCTACATCCCGCCGTGAGACGACCCCAGCTTGCATTGTTGTACTCCCTAACCTAGCTGCCAAATCTACCCAAAAGAATGACTCACACGCTCTTTGCCCAGAACTAGAATGACACCATTCTTTCCGATCACTTCTGGCGTCGAATCTTCAAAGGGCGTATGTGTGCTTGGGCTTTGGGGCGCCGGGAACTCTCCCCCGCCCCACTCACTCACTCCGCAGGCGCCATTTCCGCATCGAGATGATGTACGACCTCTTACGAACGAGGTAGAGGAGGAAACCTGCGACATACCAAACGAGAGGAACCTGAACCACCGCTAAGTTCAGGGCATGCATATTCAGGATTATGCACGGAGTGTGTATGTACATACACTGCGCGTCCAGCTGCATGGCTCTTACCTAGGGTGCTGATTAGATGTAGTCCAGACATCCCGGCCGCATACGATGCAGAATTCTAGGCAGGCAAACAGAAGTTTGCAGTACGTCGGAGCTCCATGCAACCATTCTTGCGGGTTGCAGTCGAGGTCCACAACTCTTGCACAATGAGTGATTACTGAACTCATACTAGATTTGCTAGTAAGGCGCTCCTCTGTAGGAAAGACGGATACGGAGTGCGGAGTACATGTATGCGCCTTTGATAATGACCAAAACCATGGCTTCTTCCACTTTGGGATTCTCCATGCTCCTATCGAGCTGTCAGATACCTCAGGGCTGCTCTTGCTTTCCCAACAAATCTTGAGATCACGATCAATTTACCCATTCCTGACATTAGCGTAACATCATCTAAGTTACCTCGTAGTACGCTTATGATTCAAGGCTTCGATCTGTACGGAGTGCGCTCGCTATCTCCACTGTCGTGTCATGTCACAATCAGTCGGGACAGCAACCAGAATGTTGATTTGCCGCCCCAAGCTATTCGATATTCCTCAAATCAATAACGGTGCGACCCACCTGCGGTCCGTTGAATGACATCTCCGTAGATTAGCTTACACGGTGATCCTTTATTGGATAGAGGCATGCACAACGCTCCGTACGTACTGAAGCAAACAACCAGTGCAGAATACGGAGTGTTCTTCCTGAACATCGACCCATCAGTGGTAATCAACTGGCCACCACATCACATTGCATGCCATACTGTTTGGCCGTCCGCATGGGTTTCCACTTGGGGCAGTAGTCAGAGTTTCACGAGACCTACCCAGGATGAAGACAACTCACCGGATGGTGCAACTTCTAGACTTGGAGGAGTGTAACACAGTCGCGGGAAGGTATACGAGTATGCGACCATGAGCGTGGTACGGCCCGTCGCGGCTGTACATGACCAAGTTCAACGGCCTGTTACCACCCCAGCGAAAGTTTTGAAACTTGGTTAAGTCATTCGCGGGGTTGGGGGGTGGGGGTGGATGGACTGAATAAAACTTCCCGGTTCCGCGATGGTGTTGCACCTGTCGGAGCCAGTGTGAGGCTGGTGGAGCAAGGCTGCACAAGTTATCGTTGTGCTTCAGGCTCTCATGTTGTGTAGTTCATGCGTACGTTCCACAAGCCAGCGCTTGCATGGTGTACTCTGCCTCTTTCTCATAGCAAACACCCGCCCGTTGCGCTCTGCCTGTTTCTCATAGCGAACACCCGCCGTTGCGCTCTGCCTGTTTCTTATAGCGAACACCCGCCGTTGCGCTTTACCAACTTGCAGCGCTCTTTCCGCACTTGCAGTAATTTTGAACTGCAACACCATCATCTCTTGCACATTGCGCTTGCACATTGCGCGCTCAAGTCCCCTTCTAACTATAATTTTCTACTAACGTTGTCCACCGACGGATCCTGCTACCTGCTACGCGATTCCCACCAGCCTCGCAATGTTGGGCACTACACCTCGCAATAACATGACTAAGAGGTGGAAGAGGATGGATTGTATGGAGTCCATACATACTGTGTTGTATGTGCACGCTAGTAGTAAGATTGAACTCCCCTGCCATTAATTATTGTATCCGATTCTTATCTCATTCAAGGTCGTCTTCCATACTCATTCCTTTGCCAAGGCAATTCTATGAGATTGTGGCGTGCAAGCGACGAGCATCAATTCTCCATTATTCCTCTGTCTTCACCTGAGCTTCCTGGATTGTTCAAGTTCCTTGCAATTTAATCTCGTGTCTATCGGCGGGACCGAGCGATTATCGGTAATATACACACAGTATATAGGTTATCTACCTGGACAGCCAAGAAGACGCCGCTCTTGGTAGCGATCTCTTCCTGGATACGCTCACAATGCGATCACTGATTGGGAAGGTCGGAGGTTAGTCAGGGCGTCGCCCAGCACGCGTAAATCCAATGATCATGATTTCAACTTCCTATTCTTCACAAGCGTTGTCTTCTACTTGAGCTGCAACATGCGTATATAGAAAAGATCAAAGACTCTGTCTCCATCCCAACAATCGTGCCTGCTTTCTTGTTCCAATTGTTCCATTGTCGCGACCGTGCCAGCGTCAAAATGAAGGTATCGACCATTCTCAGCCTTCTGCCAGGCTGCGCTTTGGCCTCGGATTTCCTGAGTGTAGCTCTGTATGCCAAGGACCCCAGTCATCTATACAATGTCATTCGAAGCAACAGTCAGCTCGACTATGGCTGTAAACCAGTTGTATTACGTTCACAGGAGGAGCACAAGCTGCATGCAATTGTCTCCCCCGAGCAACTGCAGCATTTGAAACGAAGTCTAAGTTCCGAGGTTCGCATAGACACGCTCAACCACTTCAGCAAAAGGCAAGAGGAATATGCACCAATTGGATCCGGTGATCGTTTCAAGGGCGGGAAAATTGCTCCGAGGGGACTGGGATCACGCAAACCGGGTGAATCTGCTGATATTGGCCCTATCTTGAACCTTGACGAGGTACACTCGGCGTTGAAGGGACTTGAAAAAGAATATGGCATCGAGCTTTTCACTGCCCCTCACAAAACGTACGAAGGTCGTGAAGTGTATGGAGCTGCCGTCAACAAGGCGGAGAAGATTAAAAAGGACAAACAACACATATACTTCACATCCGGAATCCATGCTCGAGAGCGTGGTGGTCCAGACAATCTCATCTACTTTGTCAGCGATCTCCTTTGGGCGAACAAGCATCGAAAAGGTCTTACCTATGGAAACAAGACTTTTACAAACACCCAAGTCAAGAAAGCCCTTGGAGCTGGCATTGTGTTCATTCCTTTGACGAATCCCGATGGCGTAGCGCACGACCAGAAGAACAGCAACCTCTGGAGGAAGAACAGAAATCCGAAAAGCGCCGTCGCGACCGATCCTCGCTCTGTCGGCGTAGATCTAAACCGAAACTTTGATTTCCTTTGGAACTATACTCTGCACTTCGATCCCAGCGTGGAGCCGGCGTCAGACAATTCTTCTTCCGAGGCCTTTTACGGCACAGGTCCTTTCTCAGAGCCAGAGACTCGAAACATCAAATGGGTCTATGACATTTTCCCTAAGATCCGTTGGTTCATCGACGTACATTCCGCAGTGGGTACTTTGCTCTACTCGTGGGGTGATGATATCAACCAGGCGGTTGATCCCGAGCAGAACTTGTTCAACCCTGAGTTTGATGGAAAGAGAGGCGTGGTCGAGGACTCTGTCTATCGGGAATACATTGACGAGGAAGATTGGTACAATATAGCTCTTCAAGCCAATCGCACCACGGATGCGATGGTAGCAGCTGGGGGCCGTTCATATGCCGCCAGCCAAGCTGTCGGCCTGTACCCAACCTCAGGGGCTAGCGACGACTATTCTTTTAGCAGATGGCATAAGGACAAGAGTGTTAACAAGGTGTACGGATATACTATGGAGTTCGGGTATCCGACAAACTTTTACCCGACGACCAATGAGTATTTGAACAACATCATTGATACGAATGCAGGATTCCTGGAATATATCTTGACAGCAATCGAGATTGGCCTCAAGGATTAGAAGTTCACTGTAGTACTGTAGTATCAGGACTTAGTTGTCATCAATAGATGAACCCAGTTCATTCCGCTAATTGTCCTTATCTCTGATGTGCCTTTAGACGAGATGCACTGACCAGAAGATTCTTCGAATGATGAGGTACGGGAACGCTGGGTTTGGTGTCGGTTGATTGTTCGAGTAGTCGATATAGACACGGGATCGACTGAAGTGTGAGGTAAAATATGAGGTTGGCAGAGGAGATCAAAATTCCCGTAGGTGGGGGAGAAAGGTCCTTATAAAGTAGTGAATGGCATGCGGGCGTAGACGGGCATTGCACTTGAACTTTCTCCATTCTATCTGATCCTATCAATCAACTGTTGTAAAAATCAGTTGACGCTGTATGACCAGAAAATCTGCACAAAACAACATTGAAATATATCAGAAGCTGTAGAAGGCAATTTGAAATAGAAGGGAAAGATATATATTCTCTAAATATGTGATCTTTCTATTTCATTCAAGGAATGGCAGGGTGATTGACAGCATAGCAAGGGTTCATGACGAATTCCGACCTTGAAGATACAAGATTTCACGCAATGTTTAATGCATCCGGCAGTAAATGGCGATTCCATACGCGAGCGATAGTAGAGTTTCCTACACAGGTAAAAAGCATCTCGATGGGTACTGAAAGAATGCCGCATAATCGAGTCAGATTTTCAAAGCTCAGTGGCATGGACTAATTATCATCCAAACAGCCTCAACTGATAGTAAAACCTTGAACTGAGACGGGGAGAAGAGGCATTGAACAATGATCCGACTCTTCGAAAAGGAGCAGTTGGGAACCGATTTCGAGTGACCAGCTTATTGCGTACGTACAGAGTACTACGTAATTGCAGCTATCGCAGCCTTGATAAACCTGGCCTACACAGCTTTGGAAAAATAACAAAGAAGATAATTAAGAATAAATATCTACTTGGCTGAGCTATGAAAATCAAAGCGTGGGTAAAGGTCTCGTGGGCAAAGTGGAAATTATTACAGGCGTCATATTGAAGTTGAAAGTAAGTTGGTTGTAGCACCGCGCATGCCCGCCCGCCTGACCAAGTTCGAGCTTGACGTCATTCGTACCATGAATCATAAAACAACCCTCGAATCCGGCTAGGAGGAAGCCATTCACAACGCAAGACAACAATTCGGAGATGTCTTCGGACGACCAAGCAACAGCTGGCGCGGACCCAGAACAAATCCAAAAACTCCCAGATGAAGACCGTCTCAAGCAAGCCGCGGATTCGGCGCAGAAAGCGCTAGCCGCCCATAGTACGGCACAGAGCCTAATGAATGCGGCGGATGCCGTGAAGGACCCTAAGAAAAGGGAAAAGATGCTCAAAGATGCGTATGAAAAGGAAATCGAGGCACACGGAAATAGCAAAAAAGCTCGAATGCTCCAAAGCGGAGCCTTCCAAGGCGGAGTTGGTGGAGCTGGCATTGGTGGAGCCGTAGGAGTTGGAGTAGGGACTGTCGTAGGAACTTTGGTAGGGGGAATCACGGCGATACCAACGACTGGACTCGGAGCGCTTGTAGGCAGTGGAGTCGGGGCTGTCCATGGACCTTTCATCAAACTCACAGGTGGCGACAAACAAAAAGGCGAACCCGAAGGCGAACATCGTGAGGAGGGATCCAACAACGAGGACCAGAAGGGCGAGAGAAACCAAGAGTTCGACCCAGAGGCAGAAGATTCGGTGCCAGATCCCGAAGCCTTGCGCAAGGTTGCCGACGCCGTCGCGCAGGCGAAGGCAGAATCTGGACGCAACCAGGAGAAGGAAAACTCGGGTCCTCAGAGTACGACAAAAGCGAAGAAGAAACCTAGGAAGTTGGAGATCAGGTCGAATCAAAAGGCATCACAGACGTGACAGATGGAGTCTCGCATAAAGCATACGAAGCGGCAATTACGAAGAATGGCATAAACACTCAATGAGCATCGCATAGCAGGCACTACATGTATGAACTGCATAGGAGCAACTTCTGGGTGATTATGTTTGGCTCGTAAAGAACAGTCTGGCGAATTGCTCACTTTGACCAGCGGTTAGGGAGGTCTGCAGGTTTTGAAGCTCCCATCAACCAATTGGATTTCTTTTTTCATCTCGGCATGCGAAATCGAACATGTTCAGCATATATAGGTATCGAGTAGGCAGGGCATAATAGCATATGTGTTTTTCTCTATCAAAAACTTCTAAATCTTGTTCTATGTTCATTGATAAGGATTATTGTCAGAAATAAGAATGTTTGATACCCTCCTAACACACTTTCCAATGAAAGATTCAAGATCGTAGAAGATGATTGTAGTAACAGTTTTGAACTAAGAAAGTCGCTCTCACTCAGTGCTTGTCTGTATTCCTGCCATTTCCATGTTCCAATTATTTCGAGTGATACTGAAACCATTGTAGGTGTCTTCGTACCATCCCTTGAATTTATCACAGCTTCCAATTCACAGAAGCAACGGCGAACAAATCATCGACCTACGCCTCTATCAGTATCGTATTTCGATTGAAAGCGGATGTCACTTACATTCAGTCGGTCAACTCCCTCATCCACGAGTTGTTGCCACTGGGACTGACTTGGTATGTCCCCTGAATGTGTCAATGAATTTTGTTAGAAGTAAGATGTGTTGGAAATCTTACAGTATCTGACCGCAAAGCCCTTCTCGTGGCCGGCCTTGATTTGGTTTCTCATCTTCTGCAAATTACTCCCGGAAATTGTTCCAGTCCCCAGCTGAACAGCATCCTTGAAACTAGCACTGGTGTAAAACGTATTTGATGCATCGAAATTGGCCATGTCTTTATGGACTCTGGCGTCTACGAATATAGAGCGACCAGGATTCGTTGCAACATTCAAAGCTTTGGCAATTGGCGTCGGCACGTTACCATCTATAATAGCGTTCCCACTTCCAATCACTGTAACAAGGCCTTGTTTGAATCCGCCATTCCAAGTGCTCAAATAACCTGCAGATTGCAGAGGCTCAAGCGCTTTGACAAGTAGGTCCCACGTCTGATCTGCGTTGCTTTTGAAATCAACGAGCACGAACAGACCTTGACCAGGTTTTGCAGGAAAAACTGCGCCTCTTTCGTCAATCAGCTTTTTTATAGGGTTGATGTAAAGATTCTGTATTGTTGGTCCATTTGTTCCGGGATCCTCATGACCGACCACAAGCTTGTCGCCTTGCGGCCAGATGTCGACCTCAACCCCAATGCAGCCAGCACTGAGAGCCGAATATAAAGCAGTGTCTCTGGTATAATCGTTATGGCTATGACAGCGAATGGGAGTGATGTCATTGAAGGAAAACGTAGGGAATGGCACAAGCGTTCTTCCTAACCCCCCATTTCCAAGTGGTTGGAGTTCACCGTCTAATACGATAATCTTGTCCACCGCATCAAAAGTTGGTGGAATTTTGTTCGCGATAGCGTGGTAAGATACATCATCTTTACCTACTTGCCATGTGCCGCCTTTTGTATCTTTATTGTCTTTGCCATAGCATTTGCTGCCTTCGACCGACAGCTTCTTCAGGTAATCTTTGCAAGATTGTGCTGCGGTACGTATAAGAGACGAGTATTTTTGTTGATTATGCGGCTTACAAGTGACGATGTGGTTCATTTCTCGCTTGTTATGGATCTCGAAGTAAACATAACCGTTTAACCCTGACGTTTGCGGGTTCCCTGAATTGAGCCATACCCTCGTGGCTAACGAAAGGTACTTTTGTGGTCCCACTGTATGTCCCCCAGCCTTGTCACAGAATAGGTCGACAGCTGAATTGAAACCAACACGAGCAAGTTGTCCAGCATTCGATTTGATGTCAGTTGTAGCCATCCACGCTGGACCACATGACGATATGTAATCTGCAGCCTGTACGACCAAGGTATCATTGATAGGTGCTGCATTGACGAGCTTCACACGGTCAGGACTTCGCAAATTCGGGACTAATCAAGTGTTTCGTACTGTTAAAGTGGCAGCAAACGCAGCATATAATGAACATTTACTTATCATGGTGATGGAGGAACTGGGACAACGGGTACAATGTGATGGAGAAACATGAGAAGTGAACGGGAAGAGGTATATTCTAGGATATGAAAGCGCTGTGGCTAATATTTTACTAGATGATTGATTTGAACATCATCCTCGTCGAATGCGCGGGCATGCATGGAATCGACTTGACCATGCATGCTTGCGCTCGTTGGACGCTGGCAACGCCAGGGGTTCTTTACCAATACTAAGAACTACACCGGAGAAGGAAGTCGATTACAATCTTGCCGCACGTAAATGTCGAAGGCCTAGAACCATAGTGTGAAAACCAACGAATCACCTCCCCAAGTCTGCACATCAACGGGGCTCCCAACTCGTCTACAGATGCGGAGGACGAAACCCATGGATTTGGAAAGGTAAGTCGCATTTGACCCTTGTTGAGTGAGTTCTGAATGTGTGTGTAAATGCCAAATCGCATGCATTCAAGCCCAAACAATTATACACGTGCGAATGAATGGCCTTGGGGCCAGAGCAAGTGTTGGTTCTTCCATGTTGAAATTAACCAACAGGGGTGACCCGTACTGCCAATTTATGTACGCGAGGTAATGTTCTAGTTCCGGCCAATCGACTTCACACGTTGCTCACAGAACTAGCGACTGGCTGTATGATTGAGGTAATAAAGGGACGAACATCAATCGGCGACTGACGAATCTTGTTTCTACCTGTTGTAAAGAGGGCATTCACACAAGTTAGTCGAATCATAAGTATCTAGGTACGTCGGATAGAAGGAGCATAGCCTGTACTATTAGAGCTAAGTTAATATAATATAATCTCTAGTAGATAATAACTAGTTTATATAAATAAGATTAAGGCCTTTTCTTTCTATCTTAGAGCTCTAGGTATAAATGTCTAAGGTCTAGTTATAGTACGTGCAAAATTGCTTTCAACTAATCCTTAGGTTGAGAGGGACGATCTTGCACAAAACACATAGGGAGAGGGTTAGTTTTAAGGTTTAGGGGAGGGTTAGAAGGGTTAGGGAGCTTAGGGTCAGGGCAGAATCTATTAAAATAACGTTAAAAAGTACTTTGTTAGGAGTGTTTTGGGTAGGATCTGCGTTGTTGTCGGACACCTAGGAATTACCATTGAGCTCCCATTTGAAAAATGGACGTCAAGAGGTCCATTGTTACGGATGAACCGAACAGTGACGATTCTGAGTGGCCGGAGGGCGACAGGGAATCCTACGAGGAGGACCTCTGGGAACAGGAGTACGCGGACAGGCTCTATGCCGACGAGGCAGATCATAACTTGGACACGTGACTTGGACACGTGACGGATTCGTGGATTCGTCCCACGAACCCAACGAATCCGCCAAGCGTACTCATGTATATAAGCAGAATGTATCCCATAGATAGGTCCTCATCGTCAATCCACGATACAGTCCTCTGTATCCAGTTTCCTAACGGAAGATTACGTGATATCTTTGGCAACACATTTACACAACAGTGATTGATTGACGTTCAACCCTACCAGTATATTGATACCACGCCTACGGCCCTCATTACTCAATAGAACCCCTTCGAGGTCACGTGTCTAAGTCCCTACTCAGACGACCCCGTTACATCCATTTTTGAAATAGAGTTTCCATTGCTGCCTATTCTAATAATTATCCTGCCTATTCAAGGCAAGGGCGGGTGATTTTGAGTGAATGTCTGTATCACGTGATATGCCACGTGATCAAATTCTAGTAGGGCCTATCCCTACTAGCTGATTACCTAGTGTGCACCAGAAAATGGCATTTTGAAAGAATGCACCGAACAGGCCCTCAGTGATTCACTGGCACACTGGTGACTGGGTAACTGGACGGGGATGGTAAAGTCGGAGGACGGAGGTTTAGGTTGCCGACAAAGCTCGAGCACTGACCTCCAGCCTAAAGAAGAACGTCAGATGTAGATTTACTTCAAACCAGGCATCCCAATCCCACCTACTTCAACTCCATTTGACATAGCAATCCTCGCCATGTCGAAGAGCGGGATCAATCTTGCAGTCACCCAAGATGGAAGCCACTACAACAAACTCAAGAGACCAGATGATTACTTCGCCTCGCCGCCACTGCACCCTCCTCTTTGCTCACCAACTAAGAGGACCCTTGACCAAGCCGAAATGAGTGATGGAAACGACGATGGCGAGCTCACCATCAAACGACCTAGAGGAGACACGGCTTCGCATTTGTTCAAGAAAAGAAACTCGAAGCCCATCATGCGCTCTATGAACATGGACACTGGCATGCAGTCTATGTTCCCCGGCATTATGGACGAAGAAGGCGATTCCGATGAGGCAACCCTCGAGGCGTTGGCCTATCTTCGCAGTGTCAGGTAAGCATCCGTCACTGAAGCCCACCCAAGATTTTGTACTGAAGGGGACACACAGCTTACCTGTGTGATTAGGTCCGAAGCCCAGACGATTCCTTCCTTACTCGTTGCAAACCCAACTCAAGAGACGCCCCATCTCCCCGTAGACCCCAATGACGGCAATACTTCAGTCATATACGAAGATGGCACTTGGATTGCTTGTGACCGATCGCGAGTGGAACATCCATCGCCAAGCCTGGACGGTTCCGTTGAGCTTGACCCCCAGGAGCAGTATTACAGAAACCTACTCCGTAGATATGCAGCTCTCCGCGAAACTCTATTCTATGGCTCACATCTGGATCTGGACAAACGAAAAGCATCGCATCCCTCGAAGTGCACAGACTCTGCAACACCGCGGACTAGACACAATTGGCTCTATAGCCTTGACCGGGAATATCCAACACCTGCGCAAATATTTAAAATGAACGAAGATGACGTTTTCCGGGGCCTCAAATACTGCGCTCATAGTTTGGATCGTTTTGGCTCCATATCTAAACAAAAGAGCTGCTGGATATGGGCTCTGTTGGCGAAGGCTCCCGATTATGGTGATCTGGATTACAGGCGCGTCGGCAGCATTCGAGATCTGGGACACAGGGCAGGCCAATTCCGACTTCGACTTCCCGATGAAGGAGATGAAGATTCGGAAACGGACTCAGAATCAGAGCTCGAGGAAGGCGAACACATTGCAGATACAAAGGGTCATGAATCCGAACATCCACAAACGGAGGATCTCCAGCGCAAACCTGAAGAAGCATCCAATGAGCAAACAAAGGAAGGCGATAGCGACCATGGTGGTGAAATGTCTATATCCGAAGATGGTGAAGATGGCGAGATTTCCGATGCTGATGAGCCGACCACACTCGAGGAAGCGCGAGCAAGATTACTCGCTCAGTTAGGCGATCGCCTGGTGCGACCCCAAGAGAAGTCCAACCGAGATCTGTCACAGTCTGTTCGAGATGGAGTAGCCTCACCCGGGGGATCTACTCATCGCCACAATGGAAATGGTGACGCTGACCAGTCGCTAGAATCTCGTCGAGACAGAAAGACACACGACGAGAAAGGGCAAAATGCGAGTGGGCTTGATTCTGATGCTGCTGGAACCTCTAGTACGCAGCAAGCCAAATATTTCGCTTCGCGGACGGAAGCAGAAGACTATCGCAAGCAACTTCTTACACGCAGTGGCATCGACACTCCTAAGCCCAAGAAAGTGGAGATAATGCCCAAGTCAGATAATATTGAAACCGTTGCCTGGAATAGCAAAGTGACTATCGACATGATACTCACTGTAGTGGCGGAGTGTTATGGCCAGAAGGACCTCTTGCGCTTTAGGGGCATTTGGGCCGATTATTGAGGGCTCAGCAGAACAAGCTCATGAACCTTGGACCCCACAGATATACTACAGGAGACATGTTTTGTAGTGTAGTGGAAGCTTTCCCTTACTGTACATGTATTAGATACCCAGAATAATTTCCTTTGAGCCACCTTAGACTGTAAGAAGATGAACGTAAGATCGTCCTCTCAACCCGAGGATTAGTCGAAAGCGATTTTGCACGTACTATAACTTCATTATTACAAGCAGCCTGGTAACATCGAGCGAGGAAGCCACTCCATTTCAAAAATGGAGGAAATAAAACGCCGTTTTTGACGAAAAATGGAGCACACTGAACAGGCCCTCAATCTAATCTAAATTATACAAGAAAAGAAACTACTGAGTATCCTGGCACTCCTGGGTATCACTACGCTGGTCTAGGGGTTGTTTGAACTGCTGAAGAAGCTGATCATTGTGATTGAGATCCCCCAAGGCTTCTTTATTACTGAAATCGTCCACTACAACTTCTTCCGGCTCAAAATATCCAGGCGTGCCGTCCTGGCGGCAAGTAACGTAGTTCCACTCGGGTCCTCTTAGTTTCATAGTGAATACAAGTACTTGTACAAGTAGATAGAGCAAAATAAGTTGCAGGGAAGAGGGGGACTCTGGTAGTTGTAGATAGGTTGGTAGAGGAAGGTTGGTTGATGGTGAATAGCTGGTGGACTTAGGGACTTTTATTATGGGATCCCTGCGCACGACTACATACCTCAGAGACCCCCCCTCGGCGCACCCCCCCTACTAAGAACCCCATATTCACCATCTAACTAATGGGTATATTATGCTATACAAGAATTAATTGTATATACTGTATATACATACTATACGTATGTACATACGACCCCACTTGACAACATAACTTACGACCCGACTGATAGTTGACAGCCAATCCTATACATTGAAGATTATGTGCAGTTCCGCGACGATACCGTTACGTGCCCTGCTCGATTCTCAAGAATCGGATGGAAACTCTATGAGTGGAGTAATAAGATAAAGATGACAGTGAATTATCAGATTCTGATATTTTGTCGCGGGCTTTTTAAGGTAATACTGCGCATACCCTGGTTGGGTACTTATGTCATCCTCTTCTTTCTCGCTACGCGTTCAAACATCCGCGAAGACCAACTACTGGATTCTCGATCCCAACTTCCGTATGACATGCAGCTTTCAGGAACAATTGTCTGAAGACCACAAGCTTACCCCGTATGTTTACATTAGACTTTGTGAAGGTTTTCCAAGAGCTCATGCATGAATGTATTGCGCTGACGCGCGTCGTTGTGTCGCGTCCATTCTCGTGTTCTCTGGGGATGAGTGCCGTTATTCTAGCCTCCTGACAAGCCAAACAGACAAGTCCTCCACTCATTGATGTATCTGATCAAACAGAGTGTCTTTATCGACCGATGGAAATATGATCAAGTACCAGCGGTGGCGGACCTCGAACAATCCTGAGGCGGTGTCGCACTTGGCAGCATCCCAAAGGGAACATCTGTGCCGGCTGCTGTTTCAAATTGGCCCGATCTCCCTGTTGATCCTCCACCTATGAGGCCCAAACCCACACTTCAGAAGAAATCTCCGAACCCAGCTCCCAGACTCTGCACTGTGATCATACATGTTTGCTGCCTCTGGCTGCTCGGTACTTGCCGCCGGCGCGACCGCACCGATCTTGGCTGTCTGGAATCCACGCCCCCATGTTACCAACCTACAGCCCCTCGCGGACGGGATGAACGTTGTTTTCAAGCTTCTCCAACGTTCGAACAAAGTTTTCTGACAGGAGTCTAAACCCGAACGAGTCATCTTATTCTCCTTAACCTGATGCGCAGGCCAACAAGCTCACTGCCCAGCGCGTCGGCCGCCTCAGGCGTGCGTGGACCTCAAGCCTCGAGCGCGAGGCCCCTTGAGAGGCATTCTCACTGTAGCGCTGTGCAACTGTTGCCCTTACTGGTAGTGGTTGAGCTCCGAATGCAAGTGGGTCCTGAGGCAGGTTGGGGACATCGTGCACGAGTCGGAAGACATGTCGACCATCGTCGATAAAAGCATCGTGCTCTGCAACTTTCGATCCGCACGCCGGGCGTCTATCTTCGATAATAGATATTCTTCGTGTTTTGTGCATAATACCCATCCTTCTTGGTGTTTACCCCGGCGCAGGTCGCGAGATTTTCAATTCTACTACAAAGATTTCTAATCGTCTAGCAAAAATGTCTATACAAGCTTGCCCAGTCAGTGGCATGAGCGGCTCGAATGCTGGAGGTTGTCCAGCAGGTCGCATGGGACCGCGAGGTTGCGCGTTTGCGGCATTCCAACCCAATATGGGTGCCCCAACAGTTCACTCTGCTGTAAGTAATGCACCGGCAAGACACATTACAGCACTAAACATTACAGGGCGCTGAAGACGCTGGTGTTCTATATGAGAAAGAGCGCAAAGCACTCAACGAAATGCTTATGCCGGAAGCGCCTGCTCGGCAGGTCACACACGGTCTGAAGAACGCCGATCCTTTACAACCAGAAGACGACGATTTACTTGCAATGGCTCTCGGTGCCCCCGCTCGTCGCGTATTGATGCGAGCCGAGGAGATCGGTCCTCGCACAGGCTGGAAGGATGGATACCTATCCTCCGAGTATGGCTTTCTACCACCCGACCCATCGGATTCACCCGTTGCCCTTCGCGCCTCGCCTGGAAGAATATGGTCCGACCTTTGCGAGAGAATGCCTGGTGTCGTTGCTAGGGGCGCCATGAGAGAAGCTATATTGCAACTGCCACTTGTTCATGGAACGCCAGACGTCATTCCCGATCGGGCCCTTTGGGCAGCAACAGTCTGCCTCGGAATTCTTGCCAGTGTATACCGATACGAGGAGGCAAACGATGGCAGTGAAGGAGTGAGCATAAGAGCCCCCCCTGGCGCATTTCGGAACATCACTGGCGAAGCGGATGACGAAGAGGAGGAGACCAAGGGGATACCACGGAACATTGGTAAGTACAGGCTGATTTATTGGCATTGGATGTGCTAACCACTGATAGCTATCCCTCTCCGCCATATCAATACTCGCATGGGCCGGGCACTTCCACAGTAAGCACATGTTCACGAACAATACCTTGTCGACATCAGCTTACCCTCGTCGTTAGTTTGACCCAATTCGATGTCAGCATCTATAACTACAAATTGAGGGATCCTACAAGCGTCCAGCCATATGTTGCTCGCACAGAGAACATGGACCTGCGATGGCCGGTATGAACTCTCGTATTGAGTGTCGTCTAGCTATGGCTAACTCAATGACCTAGGTCTTCAATGATCGTGGCGAGGCCATGTTCCTCCTGTGCATGGCGGAAGTACACGGTTGCTTTCAGCATGGTATTGAATCGGTAACACGATGCCAGGAACATGTTATGAACCGCGACACAGACGGTCTACTTCAGGAGTTGATTCATCTGAAGTCTATTGTCGATCAGTTAGCCTATGTCTTCCACAAGATTGTTCGTTTTCCCTCTGGCTGTACTAGAAAGAGACTAATGTCACCCAGAGCGTCAACCCTTCCGCCGGCGAACAATTTGCAAACCCCGTAGAGGTAAGGGTCATGGATACATCAATAGGACAACGCTGACAGAGAGTAGTGGGGCCAACGTTATGCCAAATTCAGCGCTCCGCTGTCGAAGAGAGTCCCTGCCCTGTCGGGGCTCGCCCTACCACTGTTTTTGTTGTTGGACGCATTCATCGGCAGGACAAAATACAAGTCTTTCTTGGGCATTGAAGCAGTTCATCTTCGTCGATGGCTTCCGTTGAACATCCGAGCTTTCATTGCTGCGGTTGAAAACCATTACCGCATTCCAGAGTTTGTCAAGTCCAGCGGAGACCCGAGGCTTGAAGGCGTGCTGGAGGGTATCATTGAGTCCTACGCTGGAGAGCGTGGGTTCATGGGTACCCATAGATGTAGGTTACCATGCCATGAGTCCCAATTGTGGTGCAGTCTAACATCGAGCAGACAAAGTATACGGTTTCCTGGAAGTAGTCGCAAAGACTGGCCGCACGGAGACAAACGGAAACGCTGGTGCTGGAGACAGCGAGGGCAGAGCATGGGAGGAAGTCCATCGAACCCTCTCCGATTCTATGAAAGAAAGGCTTGATCCATACCGTGGTGAGGTGAAGGTTCAGCCTCATGAGATGCGTGGGAGCTTCGAGGAGTGCCGATTCCAAGCGAAGATCTTGGATCGACAGAATGTCGATGCCGACCCTCAGCGGTCAACCGGGATGGTGACCTTTGACTTGCATAATACTGGCATCACATTCCAGCCCGGTGAGCACCCCTGACCGTCAAGATATATAACCGTCTGAACTAACGACTTTAGGTGACCGACTGGCTGTCATGCCGATCAATCCTTCCTACGAGACAGCGAAGGTGGCCGCCGCTCTTGGTCTCGACGAACTCATGGAGTTACCTGTCCCGGTTGAGCAAGGTTCGGAATGGGCTCGATTTTCGAAGCATCTGGAAACCATATACAAAAAGCCCACCAATGGTCTCTCCGTCCACCAGATCCTGAAAAGGGGTCATCTGGCGCCTTTGACTAAAGACCTGGTGATCTCAGTAAGTCCATCTGTGCAGACGCAAGGGTAAATAGCTAATGATGCACAGATTCACCAAATGCTTCGCGCGTCATCTCAGACCACTCTCAAAATTCTTGCCTCGGATTCTTGGCCGGTCAAGGGAAGCATTGGTGACCTATTGCAGACTGCAATTGTAGAGGTTCCGCAAGATATCTGGGACCAGGCTTTTGACCTGTCCAACCTCTCATGGCTTCCAAAACTCATTAAACTTGAGGTTCCGCGGACATATAGTATCTCGAACGCCGCCGACAGCCTGCTACCAAGCATGATTGATCTCACCGTCTCTCGAACCGAATCTGCCCGCGATCCCTTGTTCCAGTCAGTACAGCCCGCATTGCCTCTTTATGGAGTCTCCAGTGGCTTCCTCAACCCATCTCCTCAGCTCATGGATTTCCCATGCAATGTTCCCGACGATGAGGGCGTATTGATTGGAGTTTCTCGCCCAATTCAGTTCCAATTACCACCCAGCAGCACTGTGCCTGTTGCCATGTTCGCCGGAGGCTCCGGTATTGCACCTTTCCGAGGTTTTTGGCAGGCTCGTTCGCAAACTGGTATCGGTCGGAATATTATGTTCCTAGGTGTCCAGTCGCGGGAGAAGTTCCTCCACGAGGCAGAAATGCGAGGTCTCGTTCAACAAGGAGTACTTGAGCTCCATACAGCTTTCTCAAGAGATCGTAGAGGACTTCTGTTCGACCCTTCGTCGAGAGACCTGATTGAGCATGATACAGACCCATGCTATGTCGACACTACCATCGTTGAACAGGGACGATTGGTATCAGAACTCGTTATGTCCAAGAGTCAAGGAGGACTCGGGGGCTATCTATACATCTGCGGATCGGTTTCTGTCTACGAGACGGTCATGTCCGGCATTCGACAGGCAATTTACAAACATGCTGCCTCGACGCATGATTCAGCCGATACCCTACTGGCCACCGCGTTCGCTGAACGACGCTTTATGCTCGACATCTTCATGACACCGCGCGCAATCTCAAGTTCGACACCGACCATTCCCATGTCAAAGCTTGCTGTTCATACCGGTCATCGCAAGGGATCCCGGATGTGGATCGGTGTTCACGGTGGCGTTTACGACGTAACTGATTTCCTCCCCATGCATCCTGGCGGTACCTTGATCGTTGCAGGTAGTGCTGGCCTAGATGCATCCAAGACATTCGATGACCTTGCACATACTAGCAACCCGGAAGTTTCGAGTCTTCTATCCAAGTACTTTATTGGGCATCTGGGAGGCAAGCCTGACTTCCGGTCAACAGAGCTCAGCCATATGTACGACCAGTGGTATCAATATCTACGAACTACGGTGGAGACATTGACAACCCTGTCCTTCGAGACAAATAACATTATGGAGGACTCCAAAGTCTGGTTCTCGGGTGGCCTCTTCAACATCGGCGGAGTGAGAAAGTTTTACCAGTTCCAATCTCGCCTGATGCAGGGTGGCTTCTCGACCCTCTTCGGTGTATGTGCTCCATTTTTACTCTGTTTACAGACGACTGACATATTACAGGCCAAGCTTCAGGAGATATACCTTAAGCTTTCTTACAGTCTTGCCAACTCCATTGCGCCCAACGTTCGTCTTCCTGACATCATTGGCACGATCACCAGGGCGCAAGCTTCCCCCAACTGCACGAAGGCGATGACAGAGATATCCGAGATAGGCCAGTTCGTCTGCAACAGCAGCAAGTCGGCCAGATTCCACGAGAACGGCATTCTCAAATACGCACAGACAGTAACGGAACTCGATATTCAGTTTATTGAGCAGGTCCGAGATGAGATAGCGTCGGGCATGGACGCTTTCGATTTGATTGCTGCCATGGACGAGCCGGCAAACTCCAAGCAAGTCAAGTTGGCTTCGTATCTCATCACGATCCTTGAGCGAGTCGCCGCCCGACTGGAGGGATACTATTCTTCATTATCGCAAGAGTCAATTTATCACCCCGAAATCGAGAACAACCCGGCTCGCACACGTTGGAACAACATTCGCCACAAGATCAGAGATGGTTCGTTCTTCGTACTTGCCACACCACCAGCAATGTTGCCCGGCGATGGCATGGCAGCTGCAACACGGGCACGCAATGGAGCTGAAGTGGATTTCGCTCAGATTTTCACCAACGCACAACAGGCACTACTTCACAGCCCCCCGCCCACTCAACAAGAGCATGATGATCGGCAGCATCACAGCTTAGCAGATATGCACACTGCTCGAGCAACCCAGAATGCCCAGGCACCCTCAACATTCGAAATGAATCAGCAAAGCAACGCCATACGTCGCATGTCCAACTTCATCAACAGTAACATGTCGAACATCCGCCGATTAAGTCGATTGCCAGCGGAGTACGACTTCGCGCAAGTGATGGCTGTCTATGGAAAGCAGCCCCAACCCACCAGCACGGCTCCTCGCATGCACACAAAGTCACCAAGTATGAGCGTCACGCAAGGCCTTCGTACGAGGGCAGCCACAAATGCCTCCCCTCCATTACCTGCCCCCCAACCGTTGCGAACTCGCAATCCGCAACAGCCGAACATGGAGCAGCAGTTCCTTTCCCACACATCATCACCAGCACCTCCTGCATCAAACCCTATGTCGGCAGCCATGACACAACTCAACCGCCGGCAACCGCCACGCAGCTCAACACCTCTGCCAGCGTCACCGCGCGCTTCATTAGCTTTGAATACGGCAAGACCGCTGCTGAACCGACGCAATCTCAGTGGCGACGAGAAGATACCACCAATGCCGGTTCTCGCATCACCATTATCGATTTCGGCAAGGAGCGCGCCAGGAGGGCCAACCTTACCAGCAGGTTTGAGGGCGTTGAAGCTGGGAAGCATGAGTGGAGATGAATTGAGGTTTCAGCGAGTGCAGCAGACGAGGTGACGGATGAATATTTGAAGCTAGTACTGTAAACTCTAGTTAGTCTATAGTCTTTTGGAGGGTTCTGGCGTAATAGAAGCATTAATAGGGGTTTTCGTGTATTAGGGACTGTCTACTTCCATGCAATCTGCCTACCACCGCCCATGCTCCCATAATCCCATAATCCCATAATCCCATGCTCCCATGCTCCCATACTCCCATACTCCCATACTCCCATCCAACCAACCAAACAACGATCCCATACTCCCATCCAACCAACCAACTAACGATCCCATCCTCCCATCCAACAATCCCATCCTCCCATCCAACCGGCAACCAAAAACGCTACTGTAGATCGAGGATCTACTGATTGGTTCTCGGGGAGTATCTAAGAGAAGAGGCAAAGCGGTGGGCAGAGCTCACGGAGGAGATAGCTTCGGATTGCAGTAGATAGTATTGTTCGAATACAACTTAAGTCGAATACCCTCAAGATGTCGGATAGCAGTGCAAAGAATGTATACCTCAACGAGACAAGTTGCCGTGAGCTCAGCAGAAGCAAGTCTCAACACTTCCCTACCCTTTGTGCTCCCTCGCTCTCCACTTCATACTCGCCTCCCTATACGACTTCGCGAACAGGTCCCCTTCATCCTCGCTCTCATCACTCTCGCTCCCCCCAACATCCTCCATCTCGACATCCCTATCCCCTCCCTCGCCCCCAACATCCCGCATAGCAACCTCATCCCCAATCACAACTCCCCCATCCGCCCCATCCCCTTCACCCCTACCACTCCCCCCAACACCTGCACCCCCTCCCTCTGCATACGCATCCACAACACTGTGTGGTTTTTGTCTGGCTCGTGGCGCCCTTCTTCTGAAGATAGAAGTGTGGAAGTGCGCAACAAAGTGAATTGGGAGGTCGTTTATGAAGATAGTGAAGAGGAAGACGAAGGAAGAAAGGAAGGGGGGCATCCATCATTCATATACGCATGTTCAGTTCAGTTCAGATTAGTTCGGGGGGTGGGTCTGTTCGTTCGTTCGTTCGTTTTGTTTGCTTTTTGCTTTGCTTTGCTCATGTATCTCTCCTCTCTCCGTTGTCTCAGCCCTAACCCACCGAAAGAGAACGTGCTGGAAAAAAATAGGGGGAGTGAGACATATTGGACTGTGCATTGCATTTTTCAATAGGCGAAGAAAAAGTGTTTCCGTGCGTGTGCGGTCGAGAAGGTTTTCTATTTTTGTAGTTATATATTGATTGGTTTCCATGGACAACTAAAGACGTATTGTACTGTAAAACAACACGAGCATGAGCGAGCAGCCCACCAAGTTGAATCAGTACCGACGGACAGATCTGATATAGATATTTTGTTTTTTTTACCCCCCCCCCCTTCCCCTTGATCTGTGGTGATAAGTTGCGAATGAGATGGGTTTTCCCTATTCGGATTTGGTGCCGAAGACGGCTTCCTGGAAGGATAGGTTAGCGGATGTCTCCAGGGGAAGAGATAGAGTAACGTTTGGTGGGATCTGACTTACCCTCGCAGTCCGGTACAGTGGCTTGATGCCAGTCCAGTACTCAAACTGGTGGACGCCTTGGCCGACGAGGACCTCCAGGCCATTGACCGTGTTCCAGCCTGCGTCCTTGGCGAGTTGGATCAGAGCGGTGACGGGTGGGTGGTATGCCATCTCTAGCAGCACACGGCCGTTCGCGGGGAGCGATCCGATGGGTGCGTTTTCTGCGATCTTCTCGTCCTTGGCTTTGTCGAACAATGCGCAGAGGGTCTCGCGGATGGACGGGTCGATGGGCTCGTTCGCTGGGATGGTGCCGATGGCGACGGTGGGGATCTTCTCGATCTCGTTGACGGAGGAGACGTCGGGGATGACGCGGAGGTTGTAGGTTGGGGGAAACTCTTCGATGAGAGTGGAGAGCTTCCCTGGGTTGCGGGCGAGGAGGTAGATGGGGGAGTATTGCATCTCGTGGAGGGCGTAGATGGCTGCGCGAGATGTGCCGCCGCCGCCGATGACGAGAGCGCTCTGCAGTCCAGCGCTTCCTTGGGCTCCGGCGTTGCGGAGGACGAGGATCATGCCGAGATAGTCTGTGTTTCTTCCTACGAGGCGCGTCACCGTCTTGCCGGACTCGTCGGTTGCAGTCTCGGGCACAATGGTGTTGAGTGCGCCGATGGCATCGACTTCGGGACCAACGGCATCGAGGAGCGGCCGAACGTCTTGCTTCAAGGGGATGGTGACCGATGAACCCCCGAAGTCTGGAGCACGAATGTATTGCTCGATGGTGGACGCATCGGTGGTCTCGTGGATCCCGTAGCTGTGTGGCAAGCCTGACTCTCCGAAGAGTGTGTTGTGTAGAGGAGGTGATCTCGACTGTTGCACTGGAGAGCCGAAGATCCAGAACTTCTTGGGTGAGATCTCGCCCATCAGGGACAGACCGCTTCGAATATCGGCAGCAGAGAGTTGACCAGGTGCTGTGGCCGAAGGCAAGAGCGGGTGCGAAACGGGCGTCATGAAGTTGTTCAATATCCTGCTAAGCTTACCATGCTCTCCCATGTTGATTGCGATGACAGGCACGGGATGGGAGCTTTCGGCCCAAGTCTTAAATTCCGCCAAAGCGAAATTGTCCTGCAGGGTCTTCGCGACACCAACAAGCTTGATGACATTGCCGTACTGAAGAGCCTTGTTGTAGTACGAGATCCACGAGCCATTGCTCCAGGAGAGCTGACCCTGAGGGTCGTGATGCGACGCAATGATGTTGGAGAAGCCGCGATTCTCGGAAACCTCACGAAGAATCTCTTCAGGCATGGTCATTTCCAGGTCCACAAACTCAACACCCAACCGCAATGCAGTTCTGTAGAGTTGCTGTGCCTCGTTGTATGCCTCATCGGGGAATTTTCCACCTTGTGCCTTGGTACGAAGTGTGAAGATCAGGGGTACTGAGATGACGGTGCGTAGCAAGGCGAGTTGGTCCACGACGAATTCTGGTGATGGCATGCCTTCTGGTGAGTTTGGATCTTGGAGAAGATCAACTCGCAACTCAACAGCATCTGACCCAACCACAATTTCGGGCAACTTCTTCACCCAAGGTAGAATCTCGGGCGCGGATAGGCATACGAAGAAGGATTGTTTCTTCTTCTTCAATGCCTTCAGTGCTTCCCCTTTGCCAGAGATCAAAGCCAAGAAGCGGGCAAAATCCTCCAAGGTGTTTGCAAGACCAACGGAATCTACGCTCTGTGTGTGGAAATGGTAGTTGCTGCATTCCACATACCAAGGCTTCCGTCGAAGCCACACACCCCTCATGTCCTCAACATATGCGGGACGTGTCTTATCGATTTGCAAGAATCCCATGACCTTCTCGATGTCGCGAGTCACCAAGAGAACGATACCACCGTCCTGCTGGTACTTGGCAAGAGCCTTGCGAGCTTCGGGCATCTCTACAATGCCACCTCCGCATGCCAGGATGTGGCCAGTGGGCTTCTCCTTCATCGTCTTGTGGAGTAGTTTCAGTTCTTCATCGCGGAAGCCGTCCCAACCCTTAGATTTAATCAGTTCAGGAATTGTCATTCCAACCTCCTCCTCAAGGGCAGTGTCCAAATCCTGCAGAGGCCATCCCAGAATGCGAGATGCCCAACCGCCTGTAGTGGTTTTGCCAGCGCCTCGCATTCCAATGATGAAGATAGACTTTTCATGGGTCTTGAGACCGCGATGGCTGTCGTGGAGGACGAGTGGCGGCTCAACACCATCAAGCTCAGCCTTGAATTGCTGGTTGAGGATGTCCCAGTATCCTGGCCAAGTCTTGCCTGTACAGTCTTTCTCGAGAATGAGAACAGGCTTTGGCGCGACGAGAGAAAGGACGCCGAAGCTCATTGCTACTCTATGATCGTCGTAGCAATGAATTCCAACTCTTGGAGCATCCAGCTCGTAACCGCGGCCATCGACCTCGATACCATCGTCGAATTGCCTGCAGGTGATGCCGAACTTGGCGAGTTCATCCTCCATTGCTTGGATGCGGTTGCACTCCTTCACACGCTGGTTGGCAATTCCATAAATCCTTGTAGTAGTGGAAGTACCATTCGATTTCGCGACAGCAGCAAGGACAGATGCAGTAAGGAAGGCATCAGTCATTGGCTCCATGTCAATCTCCTTAACAGCCTTCAATTCTCCTCTAGGAGGGCCGGTGACAGTCGTGGAAGTCTCGGACTGCTCGACCTTGCAGCCCATTGGCTTAAGAACCTCGACGGCGAATCGAGCATCTCCTTGTAGGGAGGCGGAACCAATGTTAGGGACCGTGCAAGTCGTACCCGTGATGGCGGCAATCGCGAGAGGGTAAGTTGCTGAGCTGGCATCGCTCTCCACGACGTATTCGGAGGGGTTTGTGTAAGGCTTGCTAGGGATGTGGTATGTGTTGGGCTCGGATTGTGACTTCTCTACTTGCACGCCGAAAGCGGCCATCATGGCGATGGTCATGTCGATATATGGCTGAGAGATGGGTTTACCGCCAACCAATCGAAGAGTCACTGGCTTGCTCGAGTATGGTGCGGCCATAAGGATGGAAGAAACGTACTGGGACGAGACGGTTGCTGCGAGCTCGATCTCGCCAGAGAATGCCCGCTCTCCCGTGCTTGCACCAAAAGCACCGCAGGCGGAGATTCGCAACGGCAAGCTTCCTTCCTTCTCATTGTAGTTCACATCAATACCCATGGAGCGGAGGGATTTGACCAGTGGGCCAATGGGCCTCTCCTTCATGCGTGCATTTCCGGTGAGCACGGTGGATGTAATTCCCGAGTGTGACGATGCAATCGCCGCTACGGAGGTCAGGAATCGCGATGCAGTACCAGCATTGCCCAGATAGAGCTCATCATTGGTGGCTTTGAGCTGGCCTCCGTTGCCGGTGACTACGAGTTCCTTGCCGTCATTCTCCCAGGAGAAAGATGCACCTTGGAGCTTGGCTAGAGCATCCAGCATGACCTGAGTATCGTCTGAATGAAGGAGATTGGTGATGCGGCAGGATCCAGTTCCAAGGGCAGCAAGAACCAACACACGATTGGAAATACTCTTCGATCCAGGGGGCGTGCAGACTACGTTCAGATCAGAGGGAACACCGGGGTGGACGGACACAGCCGGTGAAAGGATAAGCTTGATATCTCGGTCGGCAACCGAGCTGGCCTTCTTTTCATAGGTCCTTCCGATGCCGGAAAGAAGTACAACCTTCTTTTGTTTACCGGCGTTCTTCTTGTCGACGGCCATGATTCGAATGAGTTCGTCCACAGGGCAGTGCTTGTTCGCGGAGCGCTTCCGTACGATCTTGTCGTTCAACGAAGTAGGAAGTCCGTAGCTTGCAATACACTTGGACAGTCGCGCAACAGCTGAAGGGTCCAATACGCCCAGGTAGCGGGCAAGCTCGGCCTCTTTCACCATTCCCATAGCGACGGCTTCGCCGTGGAGAATCTGGGGGGTCAATATAGCCTCCATAGCGTGACCAATTGAGTGTCCAAAGTTCAACAAATTCCGCAGTCCGCCCTCCCGTTCGTCTGCTGATACAACCTCTGCTTTGACGCGCACGGATCCGAGTACGATTCGTTTGAGGATGGTAGCAATGGAATCGAGATTCCGGCGGCCATTGACGGGCTTCTGGTCGATTGCTTGGAGAATTGCCTCAGCGTTGCCCTCGAGCGCGGTGAACTCCTCTTCGTCCCAGATGGCTGCAGTCTGGAAAGGTGTTTAGTTAGTATACTTTGGTCGCGACAACCCGGCACGGTTTATCATACCTTTACGACCTCGGCCATGCCGTTGATGATCTCGCGCTTTGGCAATGACTGCAAGAATTGCAAGTCTATGTAGATGCGCTCCGGTTGCCAGAATGCGCCGACCAAGTTTTTGCCCGCAGGTGTGTCAATGGCCGTCTTTCCGCCAATTGACGAGTCCACCATGGACAGGAGCGTTGTAGGCACCTGGACGAACTTGATTCCGCGCATATAGGTGGCGGCGACAAATCCGATCATGTCGCCAATCACTCCTCCGCCCAGCGCAATTATCACGGTGTCGCGCGTGCATCCTTGCGACAGCAACCAGTCCTCCACCACGCCCTTTGTGGATCTCGATTTCGAGTTCTCGCCGGGCGGTATTGTGTAGGTAAGGAGTCGGGGGGGAGAGGAGAGGCTCGAGACTTCACGGTTGAAGCTCTGTTCGAAGGTCGGGATGTAGAGCGGGCCGATGTTGGTGTCGGTGATGAGGACATAGGTAGAGGATGGGATATTGGTGATCAGATCGCGGGCAATGTAGCTCTGCCAAATCCCATGGTCGACCACAATGGAATCCTTCCCCAGGATTGAGACCTTTGTGGGCTCTGCCGCTCCGTTCGCAGCCATGATGTTGCTCGAGGGACCGTGAATGGCGGGGGAAGAGATGATTCCGAAGACGGAGAAGAAGGTGCGGGAAGCGAGTGTGCCCAAGAGGCCAATGGACAAAAGGCCGAATGCTTTTGGGATGTCAAAATAGTATGGATCAGAATGTGTGTAAAGGTAGAAGTGTTGTTGGTGGTGATGTGAATGAAGGTGACTCAAAGGGAGCCGGCAAAACAGCTATTGTACAAAAGTAACCAGCAACAATCTTTTTTTGGGCCGTGGGGGAGGAGCCATGGTACGTATTTCCATGTACTGTGACTGGGTATGTACTATGTATTACCCATTACCGCTATAGAGTCCAATTCCGCGGCGCCGGCGATGTCGGGGTCGGGGGCTTGGCACCAACTCCAACTCCCCCCTCTCCTCTGCCTGTGCCTCCCTGTGCCTCCTACGCCTCGTGGATCAGACCGAATGACGGTATTTGATCGGTGGCCATCAAAGGTTTGATCGGTGGCCGCCAGTTTGCAAGGGTCAGGTGCTGGCGGCGGAGTCATCATCGCTACTGTACTGTAATTTGTATGGAATTTAACATAATTCTAAGGCTATTTAGGATCATTGAAATACGCAGTTTGGAGTGCTTCGAGTTCATGGCGATCGCTTTGCATTCAGCGCATATATACCCAACTAGCATCTACTCGAAAACTTTGTCGAATATGTTGAAATGATTGAAGAGACCCCATTTTGGGCAAGATTAAATGAGTATCTTGTAATGTCCAGTCGTGCCAGCGTAATCGATAGACCAAGGCGGCGATGTCATTCGAGATATGTGGTCTGTGCACTACGAGCTCACCTCATGATCCACAAAACTTCCATAACCATCAAGCTCAAACATCACGCCTCCTCGCACGCATTCCCAGTTTCTCACAACTCGCAATTGCAATGGCTTCTCCAAGTAGTTGCATTGTGGGTGCCGTCAAGGGTATCGGTCGGCCCAGTACACTCCAATCCGCCCTCCGAACTTCTTCACGACGAACTTTCGCAACAACACGGAACTCGTATGCAGCCAGTGCATGGAATAAATCAGGGGAGAAGGGAGCGCCATGCCATCTGCAAAGACAGATGGTGTATCGAAAAGACCTTCTGAGTAGAATGCGTGGAACATCGGCACAGCCTGCACGGCCATTCTCGAATTCAACACCACGAAGTGCCCTCAAGACGATTGAACAAGTCAAGGCGCGGAACAAGGGAGGTGTAAGTGGCTATAGATGCTGAGCATTAGTTTCGGTCGCCGCAGAGTGCTAAAATTACTGTGCAGCCATTCAATGTTACAGCTGCGATACTCTTCATCGGTACGGCCGTCGGATTGTGGGTGTATTTCACATACGAGAAAGAACGCCTGGCGCGGAAAAAGATAGCAGATGAGACCAAGGGGATCGGAAAACCAAAAGTTGGTGGTCCGTTCAACCTAGTTGATCAAGATGGGAAGCCATTCTCAAACAAGGACATGGAGGGGAAATATGCGCTGGTTCGTACTATTTCTGGAAACGACAAAACGGTCTGATGTGCGAGAAGTGAATATTGACGATGTCAACAGGTCTATTTCGGATTCACGCACTGCCCTGATATTTGCCCCGATGAACTTGATAAGATGTCTTTGATGTACGACAAGACTGTAGAGAAATGCGGCAACGTCTTGCTCCCCATCATGATCACCTGCGATCCCGCGCGCGACACACCTGCTGTTCTGAAGGAATATTTGCAGGAGTTCCATCCTGACATCATTGGTTTGACTGGAGAGTACGAGAACATTAAGCAGACTTGCAAGGCATACCGCGTATACTTTTCTACACCACCAACTGTGAAACCTGGCCAGGATTACCTTGTAGATCACAGCATCTACTTCTACCTCATGGGTGAGTGCTGTTCCCGGTCTTCCGTCCCTTTCTGTTCATCTACCCATTTGGAAAAGGTGAGGTGCCACCGCATAGCTGGTCACTAACGACATGCGTAGATCCAGAGGGTGACTTTGTGGAAGCTATTGGTCGAAATTTCACCGCCGACCAAGCGGCCAAAGTGATTACAGATCACATCAAAGACTGGGAGAAGCCTCTGAAGAAGGAGCAGCGCTGGGCATAGGATCTACTCTAACGATTGGCGCACCAGCACTCATTACCCCTGTAGAGTATCGCAAGATCATTGTTGAATGACATCTGTATAGAGTAAGTTTGTAAGGTATCAATGTACACGTATACTACACGTTATGAGGCTGATGCCACTGGTCAATGTGCATATTTTGAATCTTAGTCTGTGATTGTGATTGTCGTCCTGAACAAACCAGTAATTATCAGAGAATATTAAGCCAGTTAGGGTCGAATATAGTCAGGAGTTTTACTCAGATCTACCAGATCCACTACTATTTCTTTAAGTAATTTACTAGCTAGAACGAGTAAGGTACCAGTACCCCCTATTAGTAGTGTATACAGTATGGCAAACAGTATATATACGATATACGGTATGGTATAGTAGATTTCAAATATACACGTATATTCACAAACCTAGTCCGACTCCCAAGCTGAATTTTACTGAAAACATCTTCTACACCAACTGGGTTCCCATCCGCATCAACGTATATGTAAGCGCCAGTAAAGTTATAGGACAAGTCTTTGCTCTATTACAAGACGTAGCAGACACTCAAGCTGGAATTTGCCAACTCAATAATGTGCAAATGCAAACAAGAATCAAAATGGCAACGGCTGCGGCTTCTTGGTCTGTCGATACCAGTACTCAAATGTTGCGTTCATAATTCTCGGCCGGCGCAGGTAAGAACCAGCCTCGCGAGCCAGATCGGCATCAACAGGTTTCAAAGGTCCAAACGGCCGCGCCTGTACCTGAATGCGAGCGGCCCTTTCAAGGTAGACGCATAGGTATGTTGCCTCTTGAACGCTCTGGCCTGCTGTCAGCATACCATGGTTGGCAAGGATAATCGAGTGTTTGTCCCCAAGCGCTTCCGTGATGATGACGCCCTCCTGATCCGCAATGGGAACGCCAGGCCACTCGCCGAGAAATGCGCAATCATTATAGAACGGTGTCATGTCCATCTGGGCAACCACAAGTGGCTGTTGTGCGGCGGCCATGACTTGCACCCAAGGCGAGTGCGTGTGAATGATGGATTGAATGTCTGGCCGACCGGCATACACCCAAAGATGAAAGCGCGTGGCAGGGTTGGGCATGCCATGGCCGGTAACGGTATTCAGATCCCCATCTACTTCGATGAAATCTTCAGGTCGAGCTTCTTCCCATCCCAGTCCAAATCGTAGAGTCCAGTAGAAGCCGTCTCCACGTTCCGACCGGGCGCTGATTTGACCGGCAAGACCAGCGTCTTCTTGCTTGGATGCGATGAGTCGACAAGCGCAAGCCAGATTTTCTTGAAGAGTACGCTGGGGAATGTTAAGATGCTTTTGCATCTCCTCCGCCGAGCGCTTTTCAAAATAATCCTTGGAACGAAGTGGAGCTCCATTGATTTGTGGTGCAGATGCAGACGCTTGAGTTTGGATTTGGCTCATTGTAGCGGAAGGTGGCATTGTAGTATTAGATTGGATGACGATGATAGAACCAGAAATGTGTATATTTCAAAGATGATCACTCTATGATCAGTTATGGAAGAGAGACGTAGAATTTATCTAGTGGTAATGTTAAATCGTGACAAGTCATTTATTAAGAGGGCTTCTGCTTCCAGTCGTGTTGTATCCCCGGATCTCAGTCACCCCAATTGAACAGGAGCAAACTGGTTACCCAAGGAGGACTGAGGCTGCAGGAGCGGAACGACTATCGATTGGCTGATGTTCCGGCATTCCGTTGCGTTAATTCCTTCCCACCTGGAGAAAGGAAGGGCCACTTCGGACCTATTTCCCATTGGACAGACCACTACAAGTCAGGTAGTGAAGTTCCGACCAATAGACACTTGGTCCGCTCTCCTAGCCAGAGCATTCTTTTGCTTTCTCGGAAACAGCTTGTGAAGATTCTGCGTTTGATCAGTGGAGATTTGGCCGTTCCGAGTTCCGAGTTCCGAGCTCGCGGAAACAGCCGGAACGGATGCAAGGGTGCCCAAGATATATATCTTACATATCAAGGACGTAGTCCTGTTGACATCTATGAAGCAATTGACCGTATCGGCCTAAATTCGCAGACAAAAACATTCTACGAGAGGAGGTCAGCGCAACATTTACCCTCACAAATTCCGAAATTCATCACTCATCACTCATCACTCATCACTCAAACCGGGATAGTCGCTTGACATCATCTCATTCAATATGAGTATCAAAAGAAACCTTTTTCAAGGCCTTTCGGCATTCCCGATTACGCCTATGGATCCGGATGGCACCGTCGATACCGATGCTCTGGTTCGAATTGTCGAGAGGTTAGATGTACCTGGCGTCGATTCGATCGGACTGTTGGGGAGTACAGGATCCTATATGTACCTGACGAGGGAGCAACGCAAGCGGGCGATCGACGCAGTCATACGAGCTTTGCGGGGCAGAAAACCACTCATTGTCTCTGCTGGTGCGCTTCGGACGGACGATGCACAACGTCTTGCCAAGGACGCTGAAGAGGCAGGAGTCGATGGGCTGCTACTTGCACCTGTCTCGTACAATGCATTGACTGAAGAAGAGGTGTACCAGCATTTTGAGGCAGTCGCGGGTTCGACTGCACTACCCATCTGTATCTACAATACTCCGAGCACGACGCACTTCACCTTTAGTGACGCACTTCTCGCTCGCATTGCAGGGTTGCCAAACGTTGTTGCGCTGAAGCAGCCAGCTCCCACTACTGAGCCGAAAGCAAGTCATGAAGCCCTTCGCTCAAAGCTTCCCTCTGGATTTTCTATCGGATATAGTGCGGACTGGCTGGTGGCTGAACCGCTACTGGCCGGAGGCTCTGCATGGTACAGTGTGATCGCTGGGGTGCTTCCTGCACCATCGGTGGCGCTGATGGATGGCATTCGCAGAGGGGATCATGCCGAAGTGAAACGCGTTTCGGCTGTCCTACAGCCAATTTGGGACCTTTTCAAAGAGCTTGGTGATCTCCGGGTAGCCTACGCACTCGCCAACGAGCTCGGGCTGTGCAAGGCAGCACCCCCTCGGCCTATTCTTCCTATAGCTGCTTCATACCACGATCGGGTCCGTTCAGCGTTAGCAAAAATTGACGAAAGCATGTATCAGCCATCTCTATAAACGTAAAAAAGGTTGGAAAGCCGGCACCGCACCGGCCTACCTTTTTGGTGAGGTCGCCCTGGTCACACCGGTCATCAGTCATTGTTTGTGCCTTGCAGGACTTTTTGAGGACTAATCAGCAACATGGATTTCTCAGTATTGCTAGAAGAGAATATAAGAAAATATATAAAATAACTGCAATGTAACATGCAGTCTTCAGTCCCTGGGTCGTTTCAACAGATCTGGACACACGACTAGTATACACAATAAATTCTTCGCATCGACGAAATGTCATTCTTATTACCGTCATTGCCGTACCTGTATTGGACCTTTACACTATCCAACAGATGGAGCTGGGACTATCAAGATATCACGTAGTTTCTGGACCTCTGCGTTCCCAAGACCGACCTCTTGTTTGAAGTATCCCTTTGGGCCTCCCCATCGTCTATCTACCTCTTCCACCAAGGCAAGCATGCTTTCAGCTCTGGCTCCCACCATTCGCTCACATTTTCGTCTCGCTTCATCGGGCCCATACTCCTCGAATGCACCTTTCTTCAATAATCTGTCTACATTGATGTGCCTTGTCGGGGCGAGACCCTGTTCCGATAGCGTATAATCGTTAACGACAAGTTCTGTGGGAACGTCCAACAAAAGTAGTAGTAGCGCAATGAAGACTCCGGTCCTATTGTTGCCTGTGGTGCAGTGCATGAAGAGAGCTGGCGCAGTCCTCATGTCACTGTCTGTAGGAGTTGGTACAGTGGCTATGATCTGGCGCAAGACCGTCCCAAACATTTGTGCTCCAGAAGTAAGAATTTCCACGAATGCTTCTACGATGCCCTAGTTTCCATTTTCAGCATGTCGATTTTGCACGCTTGATCATTCAGCCAACTTACATCTGCCCCTTCTCCAGCGTACAACTCATATCGTTTTCTCGCCGCTTCCTCCGTATATTGCTCGTCGTTGAACACGGGAGTCCATTTTCGTTCAATTCCGTCGATTTCTTTGTACCCGCCCGTCTTTTCAATCTGCTGCTTGCTTCGAAGATCGAAATCTGTCTTGATACCCAGCCCCTGGAGCTTCACAATGCCGTCAGGCTGCACGCGATTGGTGTCTGACCCGCGGTACAATATCCCCTTGCGAATTTGACCAGTCGCAGAAGGCCATCCGCCTATGTCGCGGAAATTGGAGATGCCCGGCACAATATAGAACGGAAAGAAGTCCGGCGGAGCAGGTCGTGGTGACAAAGTTTCTGGCGAGTTCACCTCTGTCGACTTTACAGAGTGCATTGTCAACGGAGTAGAGTAGGCTTTCTTCTGGTTTTGCAATGAGCTAAAATGCGTCAACTGAGTGACCACTTCAGGTTTGTCATCAATAGGTACGTTCAGCTTGATCTCGTTAACACCCGGCGTCAGCTACCCATGTTACATGGGGGGACTCGGCCGTGGGGTTGACACCCTCACTTCCCCATTCATCCTTGCTTTTTCCGAGGCTCGCTAATGCTTCTGCCCATGTTGAATGGTCACCCGCAATAAGTTTGGCAAAAGGTCTGGGACTGCGGGGTTCACTTCAGTGCCATAGGTATCTGTAGAACCGATTATTATTGTTCCAGTAACTATCACGGATCAGACGAGATACTACAAGACCAAGACAACAATAGAAGTCCATAAGATCCTCCAATATGTGCGACTATCATGTATCACCTATCACTTGTCACACTGCCGCTTCATCTCCGACTTGGTCAGTCGAGCCAGAGAGAAGCGGCATTAATTGTCAGGCGCGTGAACTTCGAGGGCCGGGGACCGTGTTGTCGATGTCCTCGCCAACATCATCGCGATATCGTTCAGATTCACCCTCCGAGTGCATTATTGGCTTGAAAGTAGGGTTGAAAAGTGCATCCATATCTTCAAGGCTGCGTCCGCTCGTCTCAGGATAGTATAGCCCTAGTCACCGTTAGAAAATTAGCCAGGAAATTCCATGAAAAATTACACATACACACTATAAAAGCAGATACGAGATTAGTGCTCATGAATATGAAGTGCGTTTTGGAGCCAATCTTTTGCATGCCAACTGGCCATGTCTGAGAAGATATTATCGCTCCAATTGAACTGGCCGATGCCGCGATGTTCAGACCTCGTGCCCGAAAATCTGTAGGGAAGATCTACGAATGTCAGCTCCTAAAACATGAGGAGAATGCGTTCGGCTGACTTCCGAACCGTAAAGCCATGCCGCGGGACCGAAACCAATCGAGAAGCCGAAGGTGTAGATGAAGATGAAAACGATGCAGACGTAATCTGCGACTGGGTTACTGTTCTTTGGGTAGGCGATGGGAAGTGCGCCGTTGAGCTGGATGTGTCAGTACCGCGTCAACACAATTTTGTGCTTGCATCTTACCAGCAAAGAGAAGCTCATAATGAAGCATGATGCCACTAGAGTACGCGTTCTGCCGTAACGATCTACAAGCCATGAGTCGAACATGGTGCAGAATATTTTGAGTGTGGTTTCAATCCCCGCAGTCATCAACGTCATCTTGCGTTCGAGACCAAGATTCATAAGAATCGTTGGTAAATAGTACTTCATGGATGTGTTGCCAGCCATTTGACCCATGAAAGACAGCAATGCAGCTCGCCACAGTCTGTTGAAAAGAGGCCTGTGTGTGAACAACATTGTCCAAGACTGTTTTGCGGCGACCTTACGGCGCTCCACATCTTGCTCGATTTCTCTCAGTTCGCGATTGACCTGCTCGCTCGAAGGCTCTAAAGCTCTGAGATATGCAAGGCTCCTTCTAGCTGCAGCGCTTCGGCCATGTTCGACCAGCCAGCGAGGACTACCAGTTTCTCCGTTAATATAGAATTAGACTTGAAGAGACTACGTCACTTACGTTTCGGGACAGAAGAAAACTCCAGCAAGGAACATCACTTCCGGAATGAACTGCAGAGCCATGCTAATTCGCCATCCGTAGTATGTCCCGCGTTCAGACTCCCAGTGACTGATCCCGAAGCCAGTCCTGATGTCGTCAGTCGTACTGCATGGTCCAAGTTTGGAATACTCCTACCAGAAAGCCACAGCTAAGCCAGCAACGAGTCCGATGTGGTTTATGACTACATAGCGTCCACGATGTTTTGCTGGTGCGACCTCACTAGACTGTAGAATTAGCACTTGTTTATACATTCGTCTTTAGAAACAACCTCTGATATAATGGAACGGAGCTAGACACAATAGCTAGCCCAACACCACATGTGATACGACCTAATATCATTGCTTTCGCTCCATCAGCGCTCGCTTGAAGGGCAGCACCGACAGCCGTTATGAGGACACCGTTTGCGGCTGCGACTCGACGGCCATACCGATCTGCAAGAACATGACCGAGATATATGTAGCTAATCCAAGTGCCAACATAGTAGATTGAAGTTATGAAGCCCGTGGTGGCCTTGCTTGGTTTATGTAGTGCTTCGATGAACCCCGGATGCACATAAATAGTTGCCATGATACCGATATTATACCTTGAATAGGACTTTAATAGGTCTTTCTTTGCAAGCAGATTTAAACTTACCCCCATGCCAGAGATGCCAAGCCAAAGAAAAGACATATGGCCATCAACCGAGCTGATGCTTCAGGAGGGAGAGGCGTACTTGCTGCTGCTACAGTCACGGCCATTATTTTAAGAAAGCCCGGATACCGTGTCTGAGCAACAGAAGCTGATTTTGCAGATGACTGGTAATATGATGTTTGAAATGTGCAATGGGATGGCTGGGACGTTCAGTCGTACTGACACTGCGGGGAGCTCCCCGGTCGATGCTTCCCCTCGTGGCGTGCCCATCCCCCACGCTCTCATGTAAGTCGTTATGCAATACAAACACGACAATATCAACGAGAGCCCGGTTAATGACAACACATTTCAGAGACATATAGTGGGTATTGCACGCAGTCTGTACAATTGAGCGTATGGTAATTACAGATCTGAGAAATCGTTACTCTTCGTTGATATAGAAATAGGCATTCGTGGATATTATCCACAGACAGCATCTCAGTGCATGATCCACATAGACCGTAGACGATCGCGCCAAATACCCAACACCGAAACTCCATCGCTGAAATTCACTCGCGAATGATCCGTCTTAACCATATGTGATCTTCTCTGGTTCCTTCTCTATAACCTCGCCGTCGGCGTCGAGTTCTCGAGGGGGGCTGCGACTGCCACTGGCCCTTCCGGGTAGGGGTTGTGGAACATCGTCTGCTCTACTCTTGCCCTTGGACGACGTCTTTGCTATCGCTTCCTGCCTCTTCTGCATTTCCACTTTCTCAATGACCTTCCTGCAGATGTCCTGATGCGCAGCCTCCATTTTACCCCGTACAAAAGGCATCAGTAACCAGGAACACGAGACCTCTACGTCTTCCACAAGCACCCACTCCGCGTCACCGATCCCTTGCCCCTCACCCTCCACCTCACCGTCTCCGCTCCCTCCCCTGATGACCCTGAATTCCGCCCTCAGTGTCACGCCTCCAGATGCATCCGCCCTGGTCTTGAGCCCATGAGGCGTGTCCTGGAAGCAACTCGGGAATGTAATGTACTTCTTTGCCCACTCCCCCACTCCAGGTATCATTGTAATGCACTCGGTGACATGGTACGTCGTGACGGGATTGAGATCCACCGGGTACCAGTATGTGTCTTTCAGTATTTGCGGAGAGGTCTTGTCTTGCTTCTCGTGCTGGGTTGTAAGGGATTGGAGGGTGAGTGCGTTTTCGTGGTCGTGGAGCGCGGATATGACGTCGCTGGGCGTGAGGTGCGCGGGGATGAGGGCGGAGACGTGGAGATTGTGTTTGGCAGTCATGATTGACTTTGCCTTCTTGCGTGGAGCCGTGTTGATAGAGTAGAACCTCCGGGGAGTGAGGTCCGCTGTATTGGAGTAGTGTGAAGATCGTCTCGAGCCACGGCGGATGGCAGTATAGGGCAAGGCTGGGAGGTGAAAGGCGCGTCTATGAGATTATGTACAGTACTGAGGGGTGTATAGGTATTCAAGCATTGCACTGCGACAACAGAAAGGTGACAGAAAGGAATTGTGGTACAGGTTCGTATTTGTGTTTGCGACTAGGTAGCTAGACTAGCAATTGCTGAGCTGTGCATCATACAAATAGCATCTGGGGCGGACCGGACGTTTCTATATTCAGCTGAAGCTTAGCGCGAATGTCGTTCCGGAGAAAGCTAACATGTTTGCAGTTACAAGGGGTGGCGCTGAGCGAGCGGGTTGAGGCGTGACAGGTCAGTGCATTCTCTCATACATAGAAATCCTTTGTCCAACCCGCACAAGCACCCCCCTCATCCCCCGATCCAACATACACAACGTCATTGGCCATTGGTCTAGCCTGGGTGAAGTTAGATCGATCTTCAGCCTCAGCTACGCCTCTACTCTTATTTGGTTCCGACTTATGGATAGTTACCGGTATCAATCAGCCAGTCCAACTATACTTTGAGGTTTCTATAGTCGCATCTGGCTCACTGCAGGGTTTAAGGCCTACCAGCCATGAGGTTGGAAGCACAGGAGAGACGATACATCCCCCGCATCAACAAGCCAATTCTGAAACATATCAAGTGTGGTTATTGTGGAGAGACGACTACATTGAAGTAGATCTGCTGCTCCTCTGTCTTGTCTTGTATTTATGTTTCGTCTTTCTCGTTTGCTTGAAATTGACGTGTGCATAACATTCCTTCTCGGTCGTTGGGTACGCCTCCTGTCGAACATTATCCAGTCCACTTTGCCTCTCTTCTACGCAAAATTATATCGTAACCCGAAACCAAACCGAACATCCCACAACTTGTATTGACTCCTCACAGAGACGCACCGAACCCGTATCGTGTCCCGTCGTTCTTCCCTCGTTTCGTGCCTATGTACACGTGGGATACTCCGTAGGAGGGAGGAGCAGGGCCGATCCTGCCTGCGCGGCGCGAGTGCGGAAGGACGAGATCAGATGAGACGGTTGCGAGCCGCGCCGCGACGGGAACATTTTTTTTTTGCCATCAACGCTTGCTGCTGTGTACTCGTGTGTGGGAAAGTTTGCGTACGAGATAGAGTTTCCATATGCTGTGCAACAGGTACCTGTAGGGGAGTGTGGGCGTTCAGCCGTTGGCACTCTCGATGCCGCCGCACTGCGCCGCACTGTCGTGATAGAAGGAGGTACGCAATATTCTCCGTCAACGCAGCTATTGTATACCTGTATATGGAAAACTTTGTGTGCAAGGTATTCCTTCCATATTATCCCCAGAAAGGACCTGTAGGGGAGTGTGGGCGATCTGCCCCTCACGCTGTTGTCGGGTTGTCTTGGGGCGACGGTGCGGCACACAGCGCGGTGGTAGAACGACGGGTATGGGGACTGTTTTTGTTGATTCCTTGAGAGTGTCTTTGGTTCGCATTCTCGACTCGTTACGTGAAGAGGAGGAGAGGAGGCAGGAGTGTGTCCCTTCATCGTGTGTGTGGCGGCGGTGTAGTGCGGCGGTATAGTTGAGCGGGTGACTAGTGTAGGAACTACCTTGTGAGTTGATTCCTCTACAGTGTCTATGCTTCGTTGCTTGACCCGCTGCGTAATGAGGAGGAGAGGAGTATGGGATAGGTTGTAAGAGTATGTCTTTCTCTCGTGTAGGGTTAAAGTATATCGACGGCGCGGCGGCACTTATTGACGTGTGAATTAGGTGGCCCAGGGCATGGATTCGTGAAAGGTACCTAGATGGCACAAGTATCGTAGGAAGGACTGGTTTCGTAGGTCTCGAACTTGGTTGAAGCGTTATGCTGATCGAATGCGCTCATCGTGGGGCTTCTGGTGGTCAGTAGGTGTCTGGGTTTTGGTGGTCAGGAATGAGGAGGATAGTGAATAGGAAAGATTACTATTTCCTCTTCTCCCAAGTTGGCGAGATGGTCCTGAAGAAGCTCATGGTAAAGTTCAGTACTAACAGGTATGTGAGAGAGTACAGGGGGTCTCTGTTGCTGTTGATTGACTAATTAGGCAGGTAGTGTATGTGTATACGCATTTGTTGATTTTGTGTTTGTAGGATAGGAAAGCACCCCTGGTCAGCTCCCCTAGGAGTATCTGCATAGTGCAGCATTATAACGGACTCCCTTCTCCCATAGTAAGAACACTCTGAGCTACTGAATATTCTTGAAAAGTAAGAGGCCTTGGACAGCTGGCTGGAGTGCGTTCATGGAGTGCCAAAGTGGTGCTTCACTGGCTCATCTCTAAAGGATACTGGAACAGCTTCTCTACTGCTTCGTCTCATAACAATAGTTAATTTCCTCTATTACTTGAATCAAAGTCGACTCACGAGCACTGTAGACTACCGGTCCATTTCACTGTCCTCTCGCTGTCGAAAGCACACCAATCAAAACACTAATCTACTAACGCACACAGACAGAAGCAAATTGTAAAACAAACACTCTTTCCCTCAAATAACCAATAGAACCTTCACTTGAGCCGCCCTTTTCTCTCGTGGCCAATAGCTTGGCAGCAAATTTGTTGTGGTTTGCTCAATATACCTCAGTGACGCTAGCCTGCCCACCCACAATCCCACCACCTTCACTCTCCCCCCTCCATCCCTCTTCTCTTCTACTTTCTACCTTCTACCTTCTCTCTACTTCTCTATCTTCTTCCATCCCTCACTCACATCCTACCCTCACATCGTTAAACTGTCAAGTCAAGTACTCGCTCAACTTCTTGATCCTTTCAAGCGTCACTCACTCTTCTGCTTCCTATCATCAACACCAACACCATGAGTTGGAACAAGAACACGACCACCATGGATCTACTTTCTCTCATCGACACCAGTGCTGCGAGCTGGAAGGGAGAAGAGACCACCGATCCGTCGAACGCGGATAATGGTGGAGGTGCTCATGACTCTGGTGAGAACGGAGGCTCGACCGATGACACTGGAGGATTCGGCGGAGGTGGAGGCGCCGATGGCGCCTGTCGCATGTAAGTCACTCTCTCACATTCCCATCCCTCTACCAGGGAGCGTCGCTAACATCATCATAGCTGTCATCAGGAAGGTCACTTTGCTCGTGAGTGTCCCGAGAAGCCTGCTGGAGGCGGCTTGACCGGCGAGTGCTTCAACTGCGGCGAGGTTGGACACAACAAGGCCGACTGCACCAACGCCAAGGTCGAGCGTGAGTTCACTGGCAACTGCAATGAGTGCGGTAAGTACTCGAAATCTCACTCAATATTTCATTGAACGCTGACTGAGGGTGCTTGATAGGTGAGCAAGGTCATCAGGCTCGCAACTGTCCCACCAAGCCCCCTGTTGCTTGTCGCCTCTGCGGCCAGGAGGGTCACAAGGCGCTTCATTGCACGTCGCGCCGCATCATCGACTACAATGGTGTTCCCGAGCTCACCGAACAGGATGCCTGGGCTTCTGTCGTTAATTCCTGCAAGGACAACGACATGGACATTTTTCGGTTGGCACTCCGAGCCTATGCCCGCGCCCTTGACGATAAGTTTGATCTCGCTACGGTTGAGAATGCTCTACGCGAGGAGAAGTACCCCTTCTACTTGATTGCTCGTAAGCAGGAGATTGCCATCACCAACACGATCGTTGACCTCATCGGCAATCCCGACCGCGAGTTTGTCTTGACCATCCAGACTAGCGCTAAACCGCGTCGCAAGATGATGCGTGAGGGCTGGCCTGCGACCCCTGAGGAAAACCTCGTTCGTCTTGCCTCTGCTGGATTCGTCGAGGGTCGTGGTGTCCCTCTCTGCGGCAACTGTGGCGGTAGGCATGCTCCCGAATTGTCATTAAGATAATCGACTAACAATTTCATAGAGCTTGGCCATGTCCGCAAGCACTGCTCTCAGGAGGCCGTAGAGCGCGAATTCAGCGCTCCTAGCATTATCTGCATCAACTGTAAGGAGGAGGGGCATCGCTCTCGCGACTGCAACAAGGAGCGTATCAACTACTTCGCCTGCAAGAACTGTGAGATCTGATACCCTTTCCTCCCTCCATGAGACATCGCTAACGTTCGGAATACAGGCAAGAAGGAGGGCCATACCGCAAAGGAGTGTATCGAGCCTCGTTCTGCCGAAGGCGTCATCTGCCACAAGTGTGATCAAGAAGGTAAGTTCGCCTGGTAATCAGTCAGCTGAACATAAAGGTTGCTGACACAGTCCAGGTCACTTCGGCAAGGAGTGTCCCAACGTTGAGAAGCGCACTTGCCGTAACTGTCACTCCGAGGACCATATGGCTAAAGATTGCGATCAGCCTCCAAATCCGGATAATGTGACCTGCCGCAACTGCGAGAAGCTCGGCCACTTCGCTCGTCAGTGCCCTGAGGCCAAGGATTGGTCGAAGGTCAAGTGCACCAACTGTGGAGAGGTACGTTGAGCATGTCGATATCGTAGTCTGGGAGTGTTGAGCTAATCTCCCGTGTTAGATGGGTCATACTATCCGACGCTGCAAGGTGTCTGTCCAAGACGATGCAGGAGCCCAAGACGATGCAGGAACCAGCGGTGGAGCTCCTGCCACTGGATCTGGCGATACTGCTGCCGGCGCTTGGGACACCCAAGGCGCTGTCGAGTCTTCCGCTGCGGCTGGAGAATGGAGCGGCAAAGATGCTGGCAACCCCGATGCCGATGCTGCTGGTTGTATCTGGTAATTAGTGTCGTGGTGGGTCCTGTATCGACGGCTCGATTGCAGTTTGATACCATTGTAGGACTTGCTAGACCTTTCATACACCGGGCAAGATGGAATAGCTGTGTCTGTTTCCAAGGGACTTTCTGACTGCGTGGTGTCACTTATTGGACGCCCAGATTTCGTTAGCCACCCTTTGGGATTTCAGAGTGGGATGTTGGGGTGATTTCGAAGGTGGGCTTCCTGACTGCGTGGTGCCGGGTACGGCATCCAGATTTCGTTAGCTACCTCTCAAACTATGATCGTGGATACTAGGGAAACAATGAAAAGCAATTGCCATAAACGCAAGCGATGCATAAAACTAAGGTTCCACCAAACGTGACAACCCGCCGCAATGCAACTTCTACCTACTAAACCATCCTCGCGCGCATTTGCTGTCACGGAGGAGGCAATAGGCAGTCGTCTCTGCATTTCACGCTCTCATTATCTTATTCAATCTCTCTTCTCTGCGGTGCGCGAAGCGCGATGGGTTGTTTCGCGGTCAGCGTAGGTACGGAACGGGTGCTTGCATACAAGGAGCTCCTTACGACCATTTCTACTTGCCGAAGCTATCGAAGTTGCAATTTGATATACCTCAAGAAGAGGATCGTCATGTCGTAAGTCAGATGCATAAGAGCCATGCAGCTTGCCCGGTTGGGCGTTAGTGTAGATCCTGGTCAGCGACGTTTTCTCGCCCCCACCGCCGAATCTCGCCATGACTGCATGCACAATTCTAATAATACAATTACCAACTGCAGTCTATGGAACTACACTTCTTCCATGGATAATCTTTGATATTGACTACAACCCAGCATTCGTTTCGACCTTCTCGTGATGGGCTCTATGTCCCAAGTCGCAACCGTCCGAACGTCCCCATCTCTGTCTCTGCCAGTGCCTTTGCCTTGATGATAACGAACTCTAATGTAAATGTAATATGACATTATTCCAGCCTGAGAAATACACTCGCAATTCACAGTAACTTATCGGCATTTTCACGCTCCACGTTCTGCGGCATTCCGCGAGAGCGCCACACACGTACATACCTAGGTACATACAAGTGCCTCATACATACATACACACCAACCAGTCAAACCATCATCCCAGGCATTAAGTCGATTCAATCCCAGGCAATGCATTCCATACCCAGGAAACCCATATCCTCACCACCGCCCTCAACACCCGACGAACCCTCAAACTACAAATACCCACCCTTCACGGACCCAGCCAACGAGCTCCGCCTCCTAGAACTCCAACCCTCATCCGACCCCTCAGCACCCTTAGTATGCAAGATAGAAGCGTACCGGCTCGGCGCAGCCCCAGAATGCATCCTACCAGAGTACCTCGCCCTCTCCTACGTCTGGGGAGACGCCAGCCAGCGGGAACCCATCCTCATCGACGCAGACGACTACTACACGAACGGCGAGCCAGGCCTCCGCCAACTCGACATCTCGATCAACCTTGCGTGTGCGCTGCGTCGGCTGAGGAGCCTCCGGAGCTTCGACTGGGAGTCTAAGGGCGTGATGAGGCTGTGGGCGGACGCAATCTGCATCGACCAGACGTGCATCCCGGAGAGGAACTCCCAGGTGCGGATCATGCATAGGATCTATGCGTCCGCGCAGACCGTGTGGATCTATCCGATCGATGTGTCTGCGAGGAGTGGGACGCATGGTGCGGCAAGGGAGACGAGGACGATGTCGAGGCGGCATAGGACGTTTTTCAATGAGGCGTATTGGGGGAGGGCGTGGTGCGTACAGGAGATCTTCTTCGCGAAGGAGGTGTGGATTCTGTATGGGGATCAGGAGGCCCCGTTGGACTTCAAGAGCTGGAAGCCAGGCACGCCGCTCGTGACGGGATTGGGGTTCTTTGGACAGCCGCCGAGGCATCTTCAGTCTGAGGTTTATCATCTTAAGAGGATTAAGTATACGGAGTTGGTAGATGCTTCGACAGGTCCGCATCTGTTGTATAACCTTCTCTGGCAGTGTCGGTAGGTCGATTCGCTTTTTTAAGGACTCCTTCATACTCATATCATATCTTTGAACGAAATCGTCTCCTGCCCCTGTTAGTCAAGATGGCCTCCTACAGATTTAAATCCGCATCCCATCTCTTCCTCGTATCAGGTCTAACTCATCTCCTACAGACACCGCCGCGCCTTTCTTCCCCAGGATAAAATCTACTCCCTGATGAACATCCTCCCAGCCAGTACGACGCTCCGACAAGACTACAGCAAAGATTCCGCGAGCGTGTACGGCGTCTTCATGAAAGAAGTTATCAAACACGGGTCCTCACACCTCCCCTGCCGCCCCCTGGACTTCCTCTCCCCGACCCACAACATCTCGACCCCGCTCTCGCCCGGGCTCCCAACCTGGTGCCCGGACTTCTGCGAATACGCCGATACCGTCGACATCCTGGACAACGTGCCCGCCACACACTCCATGCTCACGATGTTCGTCCGCAAGATCGGCCGCACGCAGTCCAAGTCCGAAGACTACCAACCGTGGTTCTACCTCCGGCAGCGGTGCCAGGCCGACGGGCAGACGACCGAAGGGCCCGTGGGAACCGTGATCCCTTCGTGGGACATCCCCATCTCGCCGTTGTCATGCCTCGTAGCGGCCGACGTCAGCGACGAAGAGCCAGACACGGAGCTCACGATTCGCGGCGTGCGGCTCGGGACCCTCAGCCAGCTCGGCGACGTGCTGGACCTGCACGAAACGAAGTTCACGCTCGCGGCGCCGCCGGAGGAAGCCATACGCGCGTGGAAGCCGTTCGGGACTGGCGTATACAAGCCGACGCTCGAGAGCGCGTCGCTGGCGCTCGTGAAGACGCTGCTGATCAATTCGCGGCTGTCGGAGTGGAGCCAGGCGGCTGCGGCGGGGGTGCTGAAGCATGTTGTTTTTGGCGCAGATCCGGATCCAGGGGAAGCGTTTTCACCGTCGTCGTTTGCGGCTGATACGCCTGTGGCGGAGTACCTGGCGGAACTGAAGGCTTGTCTGCCGGGGTGGCGATTCGCGGTCACGTCGGCGGGTCATTTTGCTAAGGTGCCGAATGCGGCGAGGGAGGACGACGTTGTGTGTGTTCCGTTGGGGAGTTCGACGCCGATGGTGCTGAGGCAGAAGGAGGGGAAGAGGTATGAGCTTGTTGGAAGGTGCTTTGTTCATGGGTACATGACGGGTAAGGCGATGTTCAAGCTTGATATTGCATCACAGAAGGTCATTGGGAGGAGGAGCAAGAGTGAATTGACAGAGGAGGATTGGAATAAACTTAGGGAGATCGTGAGGAGGGAACTGGAGCCTTTTATTTTAGTGTAGATGGGTTAGTATCAGGTTGATGTCTGATAGTCGTCAAATATTCAGTTCGTCAGTTCAGGAGGCTCACGTGAGGGTACTGATGCGTAAGAGGCATTTTCTACGGAAGAGGAAGGAAACGACCTGAAGAGAGGGTTACCTACCTATTTCACTGCTTACATACTACTCTCTCGCTTCAATACTGCTCTTTCTGTCTCACTCTCTCACTCTCAACACACACACTCTCACTCTCAACACACACACTCTCACTCTCAACACACACACTCTCACTCTCACTCTCACACACTCCATCTGTTGGATTTTCTACTCCCTAAATGAGCCGCCACAGGCAGGCTGACGTGGGCGTTCTTTTTGCCCGGGGAAAGGTCCAGTACCATCCCGTCTCATGAGGAGGAGCCTCTCAAAACACTACACAGTGTGGAGAGGCTCCATCCAATATCACTTCTTGATGAGACTGAGCAGGCTCATCAAGAAATGCCCATTCAGCCTCAAGATCATCATGGAAGATCTTGAGGCTGAATGGGCAAACAAGGTTCATCGGGCCAACCAAGATGTCGGGCTAAGGAGGTCAGCTATCCGCTTGAAACAGTTTAATAGACTCGTAGCTGACTTAGTCGCAGCAAAACGAAGCGAAAATCAAGGCCCAACTTGAAAAGCTTAACAAAAGCCACAACGATCATCGTGTCCAATCTTGATGCTGAATGGGCAAACAAGGCCCATCGGGCTAACCAAGAAAGAGACGAGAAGAACCGACTTTTTCAAAAGACGCAGGATTCATTGCAACGCATGCGACAGGAAAACCACGGCATCAACACGAATCTCAAGAATGCTCACGATGAGAAAGAAAGCATGGCACAACGAACATCATGTCCAATCTTGATGATAGGATTTGTCAAAAGACACAGGATTCATTGCAACGCATGCGGCAGGTAAGACACGGCATCATGCATCAACACGAATCTCAAGAATGCTGACGATGAGAAAGAAAGCATGGCATTGAAGTTGAAGAAAGTGGAGAAGGACCTAGACGATATGTCTCGCCTCGCCGAGGAGTATTCAACACGCATAGAACAAATCCAGTCTGCTGGACTTGAAGAGAGATTTGAAGTCGAAAGGCGCGGCTTTCTGGATCGCATCACGACACTCGAAGAGAAGAAGAGCCAATTGGAGGAGGCGGTTGCACAGTCACACAAAGAGAAGAAGAGCCAAATATCGAAACCGAACTTCAGCGACAGATATGTCTCGACCCTTTCCCCTTTGGCGCCTTTCTGCGCTAGTTTGAAAAGCATCATTCGTCAAATTTGATGTCCAATATACCTTGAGTGGTATGCATGCCGCTTTGCGAGCTTCGGCCGAAAAATGCAAAGGTTCTGGAGGCATGGTAATGCCACCGCAATGGCAAGAATTGGAGGAGGCAGTTGCACAGTCACACAAAGAAGATGGCAAGGCTAAGACTGACGCAACCATGCGGGATGGTGGCCGAGATGAGGAGGTGAACCGAACAAAGCTGACGGAGCTGCTGACCAAATATGAAGTCGAAAGGCCGGTAAGTGAACTTCTGTTTATGATTTAAGGAAGGCGCCCGACTGACGAAGCCAGTGGGACTTCAGTTCCCCCAGGGAGGCCCCGAAGGGCTCGATGGGAGGAGTTATCCTGCCCTCAGCAGACGCACCGAGAGCGCTCTTCTTCACCCCCATCACCAAGCTGTCGAGCAGATAGTCGAGATAAAGTTTATGCTTTGTGCGTCTTGTCTTTGGCGACCACAACTGATTATCACCCTTGACTTTGAGCACCTTTCGTTTCCTCGGCGGGTTCGCCCGCCAGCGAGGACCCCCATAAACCCTTTGTAATAGCAATATAGTGCGTCTTGTCCTAATGTAGTCAAGTTACTATACATCCACGTTACTACTATTGTGAATTGGTGATATTCATTCTCTTGGGCCCAACTATATCTTCTCCCTGAATCTGTAAATACTAGATCCGCTCAGAAATCTCGCAGCACCATTCAATTTAAACACTCCCTTGGTCTGTCGCGGCGCCTTGATCGTCACATCTATCATCCCTCCGTCATCAATCTGCCATTTCACCTCCACGTTGCCTTCGAAAGCTGTCACCACACTCGCAGATGCTCTCTTTATCCCCATGGCGATGCCACCAAAAGGATCAACCACCCAGTTTTGATAACCAAAACCGCTGGGCCCTTTAGCAGTTTGAATACCGGCTACATGTTCAGTGAGAAGATACGTCGGAGCACCCCCCCAAGGATGTGCAAGGCTGGTGTACAAGCCTAGACCAGGATCTCCCCCCACGTTTACATATTCCCAGCTGGCGCCCGTGCTGGTTTCTCTGTTGGCCAGCATTGGTAACCAGAGACTGCGCATGAGTTCCATTGATGTTTGGGCCGCGCTGATCGTTCGCTGGGATAGCAATGCTGCCAGCAGGAAACCATTAGTATTCGGTGAGATATTCGTGGATGGGTCAGACACGTTGACGAGTGTTGAGTCCCTGTATCCAGGCCCGAGCTTCAGACTCGGTAGGGCTGACAGGAGTTGCGCGCTTTGTGTTGCATTTGCGGTTCCTGAAGTGATGCAAAATGCCATGCCATTGACAGAGTAGTTGCCGATTGACGCCGTGGATAGAGAGTAGAGCCCAAGTGACGCATTCCACAGGTACTTGTTGATCGCATCACTCAATGCCACTGCCGCTGTCTGGTACTTGGTTTTTGCTGCAGTATCGCCGAGCGCCTCAGCGATATCTGCAAGATTGTGGAAAGCTTGAACGAGGGCGCAGCTGCTCGCAGAGTCCCCATTGGACGGGCCCAAGAAACCACCAATGAGCGCAAGAAGACCTGTTGAGGGACTGATCTGATTGAGTAGCCAATCAACCTGAAGCTGCCATTTCGACCAAGTCCGTCTCACGAAGTCCAAATCACCGCTAAGCCGGACATAGTCCGTCATGGACAACAGACCAAGAATCTGATAGTCTGTCAGAATCAGACTCCAGACCTCTCGGCCGGCAACAGCACCAATACCACCCCGATTAAATGCATCGAAAGCCGTCGACGGGTCGTAGCTCATGTAGGGGTTGTAAGGTAAAAGCCCGCTAGGACTCTGCCAGTCGAGGAAAAGCTCCAGCGTACCCTTGGCAAGGTCGTACCTGGAGGTGCTTGCACCGATGACGCGGATGGTGTGGTAGTAGTCACCAAGCCATATCAGACGGTCGCGCTTAGGTCCGTCAAGGCAAACAGAACCGTAGTTCTCGTGGACACCATACTCAGCAATCACCTTGCTCGGATCCGTCAATGCGTTCTTGTAAAGTACCGTCTTGTTGACAGTGTCAGAGACAACAACGTTCCTAAAATAGCCGGATTGATCTGGTAAGCCCCCGAATCCGAATGATCCATTGGTAGGAATAGCGGCTCCACCGACGTAGTAGTTCTTCAATGAAACGTTGAAGATCTGTGTTTCATCTATGGCCACGGCGATGTATTGGCCATTAGAAAGAGACGTCTTGATCGTGTGCCAGGTCTTCTCTTGGACTGAGAATGGCACAGAGAAGGTGTCCAGATGTTATGAATCGAGAGTTGTAGCATTGAGGAATGAGAAGCCATATCCTAACAACACGGAGTTGGGTGGGGTGAGCGATGTATTCGTGTTAATGAAGCTCGTTTCCGGAGGCAGATTACCAACTAGATTGAGTTGGATACCTTTCGCGGGCGATGCTAATGGATGCGCCTGAAGATATCAGCAACAGTACACAATTTTATTGACCTCGTGTAAAAATGGAAGAAAGGTTCTAGAAAGAAGACTTGGTCGAGTTTGTCGTTTGTTCAAAAGCTCAAGCTGAGTACCGACCACGAATACGGATTAGGAAAGTACTCACTATAGCCCAACCCAAACCTGCTCTCTCGATCTTTGCTTCAAATTCCAAGGTGTAGTCCTTCAAGAAAGCTCCCTGATCGCTCAAACCAGCCCTCATTCCACGGACGAAAGCGCCGTCCTTACCAACATCCCATATTGCTTTTTGTGTTCCCTTTTCCAAACACGCAACTGCCACAGATTTAGCGCCTAGTGACCATATGTGATTTAGATTGTTGTCGTCAGACTCGAACGATCCAGGAAGATTATCAATGTCACTCTTTGGAATGGAAGCTTCAAACCCCACCGAAGAGAAAGTGATGCTCCCTGAAGTCAGCAATCGTATAGATTGCCATCTTTGACCACCTTGCAGTAGGTATGCTTGTAGAGGCCCAGTTTCCGTCACCTCAAACGTTTCCACGCGGTAAGTATTTGACAGGCCGATTGAAAATGTGAAGGGTCCATCCGAGTAGTTGCTATTCAGACCACGAAACTCTTCTGTATACTTCACCTCGATCTGTACTTTACCAGATACGGCATGTACATTAAAGACTGGGTATCCTGCCACTTCTGATCCGTAATCGAGCGTCGCTACAGGCGAAGATGGAGTGAGCTGGAATTTCGCAACGCAACCCACTTGTGATGTAGGTTCGTTTCCAACAGCCACACCAATGGGGGTAAAAAAGTCCCCTTTTCTATAACGGCTGGTTAGTAAAGCAGTATCAAGCGCAGTAAAGATTGTTTCCACGCGTAATACCTTGCATACCCGTCCCGCGGTATAATAGATCTAGATAGCGTATGCTGCGGCTGCAAGGCCAGCACGGATATCAGGGCAACAAATGAGATTCGCATCGTAACACAAAGCTCGAGAAGTACAAGGCTGGGGAAACACAAGTTCAATGGCACAGCGGCCACTTCATTTATACATCCAGCAACCAGAAATACTACACGCGGTTACTTCGGATGCAGTTGCGCGACCTAGTGCCACCTCGCTGCTTTTTCCCCCGATCTTAACATGCGGGCTGAGAGGCCAAAAAGCCTTTTTAAATTCCTGTTTGGTCACGAAACGACGTCGACAATGGCTGTACGAGCAAAAGTTTGTGGGGAAGGTGCAAAGTACGACTACAATACGATTATACGCGTAAATATCTAGCTAGCATCTTGGCTACCCCAGTTTCCCCTCAAAAGTCTAGTGATAACTCTGAGTCGCCCCAGTTTCCCCTCAATAGTCTAGTCGTAGTCCTGAGTCGCGTATCGGGCTTATATGAACCGATATGGACAGCTTCCGGATGTGTATATATTGATGTGTGTGCGTAGTCTTATACATCACATCCTTTTCTATATGGTCAAACACTTGCCTGAAGAATTCAGATCTGTTGTTCAACATTTCCTATCATGTTATGGCTTCAATGCTTCAACCTTCTCGCTATGGTAGCGGCCGCAATTCCCTACCGAGAGTATATTTTAATGCCAGACTCACGGAAGCTCCTGCCTCAATCGGTGTACGCAACTACTGGGACTACTGTCGGAGCCGCCAGTATTCTCGATAATTTGAACAGCTCGCAGAGCGCTCCCCAGCTGATTCTCTCCGCCAACTCTTCAGTGACATACGACTATGGCAAGAATATTGCAGGCATAGTCTCCGTACAAGTTAGTCGCGTCTCAAATCCGCAGCAGCGGATCGGCCTCACATTCTCGGAAAGCAACATGTACGTGTCGCCCGACCACAGCGATTCCACGGGTCTGGTGTTGGACAACGTTACTTATTTGGACACACCTGGGCCAGGAACCTTTACGCTTCCACCATGGCTGCGTAGGGGCGGGTTCAGATATCTTACAATAACAAATGAAGGGGTTGATGAAGTGCAACTTTCCCAGGTGTCGACAGAGTTCACAAGCATGCCGGATTATAGGGAGGATCAGCTCCAGGCGTATACCGGATGGTTCAATTGCAATGGTAGGCGCAGAAGCATCTTCTAAATTCTGTGTTGAAGCGTAGACACCCAAGTGATCAATCTGCTAACTTCGTTTTTATAGATGAGTTGTTGAACAAGATCTGGTATGCAGGAGCCTACACCAACAACTTATGTACTGTTGACCCCAAGTACGGCGATTCGGCGCAATCAGCTCCGCCACCAGGGCTTCCTTTCACAGTTGGAGATTACTTCTACAATCTGACCATCGCGAATGGCACCTCGGTTCTCGTTGATGGTGCAAAGCGAGATACCTTGGTGTGGCCGGGTGATTTGACCATTGCGATTCCTACATCATTTGTCAGTACCAATGATATGGTATCGATCAAGAATGCACTGGATTCCCTCTTTGTGCGACAGAACAGCTCGACGGGAAGACTGCCGTACGTGGGTGTGCCATTACGCGCGACGCTAGAAAGCTGGACATACCACATGCACACGCTGTACAGTTCAGCTTTGTACTTCCAGTATACGGTAGAAAACCCCCATGTCGATTACACTTTACACCAATACCTGCTGACCAAAGATGTAGAATGATATCCAATGGCTCCAAGACCTGTGGCCTCATTATAAGTTTGCAATGGAGTTTATCACGTCAAAGATCGATGCCACGGACCTGCTATACGTCAATGAAACAGCATTCAGGGACTGGGGTAGAAACTCCATGGGCGGTTACAATATCGAGGTATGATGCGCATCAAGGATATAAACAGAAAACGGTCTAAACAAAAGCTTACATTGGGGTCAAGGCAAACGCACTTTTGTATCTCGTACTCAATGTGAGTGTCGATCTAGCTTCCACAGTGCAAGACACGGCATCAGGGTCTCAATGGAAAGACATCGCTTCACGCCTTAGGGTTGCCGTGTCGGCCACGCTTTGGGATGAGGAACAGGGCTTGTTCAAAGACAATGCCACATCACTTCTTGCGCCACAAGATGGCAATTCTCTTGCTGTCAAGTCTGGCCTGGCAACTCCACTCCAAGCACGGAAGATATCTCAGAACCTAGCTGCCCGATGGGGACCCTACGGTGCACCGGCTGTGGAGGCAGAAATAGGTGGTAAGACGACCGTAAGCCCGTTTGCCGGGAGCTTTGAGGTTGACGCGCACTACGTATCCGGAAATCCACAAAGAGCCCTGGACCTTATCCGGCTGCAGTGGGGATTCATGCTCAATGATCCACGTATGACGCAGAGCACATTCATCGAAGGCTATGCTACAGATGGGAGTTTGGTGTATCCACCATACACATTTCAGGCTCGCATCAGCCATGCCCACACGTGGTCCACGGGCCCCACAGGCTCATTGACGTTCTACACAGCTGGGCTGCGCATACTCTCCCCACTCGGGAAGACTTGGATCATTGAACCTAACTTGGGAGACTTGACAAGGGTGGATGCAGGCTTAACGAAAAGCCTTGGGCCTTTCACGATAAAAATGACGGTCAAAAAGGGAAAACAATGGTCAATGCAGGCTACAACGCCAACAGGTACATCGGGCACTTTGAGTTTGCCGGCTCTAGGATGCAAAGCTAGAGTTTCACTTTGGAGCAGCCAAGGTTCTGATTCGAAGTCTCGCAAGCCTCCTACGGAGACTATGTATAACATCTCCAAGGAGAAAAAGGATGAGCGATACATCATTCCGAATTTGCCAGGCGGTAAATACCTGTTGACGGCTAAGTGTGTATAAGAGGATTGAAATTAGTTCTTTCATATTGGCATGTGCGCTGCTCCAAGTAAAGTACAGGATAAAGTTGAGAAGATCGATCCGGCGACAAGGACTTCTCCGAGTCTTGCAAGTGTCGCTCATACTAGAAGCAACGACCGTTCGCGTTTTGCCGTGTGTTGTGAGGGTGGATACTGGGACCTTATGGGTTTTTTCTTGACGATGTGAGGGAGGAGGTGAGACTGGGTACCTTGGGTAGGTATGTGTAGTGGATACTTGAAGGTAGCGAGTGGCTAGCCAGCCCGCGACGTGCCGGCGCCCTGTAGGTTGGAGGGTAGGGTAGGGTTGTGGATGTGCTGGAGGTGCAAAATATCTTGAGGTCCCGGGTTAGATGGGGAGGCACTTGAGCGTAGCTGTATAGCTCAGCTGTACAGGTGGGGATAGATGGGTTGATTTCAGGTATAAGCAACATGGAACAATAGCTTCGATCCAGTTGAATTCTTCATGTTCAATTACCGACTGCTGCTCACGATCCTAATTGTACAGCTATGCCGCATATAAAGCTACTAATTTCATCTAAATAACAAAAGAAACCTAATATTCTCTATTTCCTGTTTCGCCTATACAGCAAACCTCTCCATCCAGGTCCAGAGTGCAGATAAAACCCTAGAGTAAAAACACAAACGTTGAAGCAGATATAAGCAACCAAAAGTCCAACATTCCTCCAGCGATCGCCGTAATCCATATTCACAGTTGCAAGATACGCGTCTGCCACCTCGTACCGGCAAAACTGACAATCTTTCGAGGCTTCTAGGTTATAGATTGCGGCACCGGTCATCTTCGCAAAAGTGCCGGCATACTCGCCGCAGGTGGTCCCTTGGGGAGGTTGGAAGATATTGATCTCCGCAGGCGCGCAGCGAACACGAACACCACTTACTCCCGCAGACATCAGAGCGGAGACCAGCCAGGTGAAAGGGCTGACGTAGTACGCGAAGTGCCAGAAGTTGACGAGCTGCTGCAACGGCTGCAAGACACCGCTGAAGGCGAGTATGAAGGTGTAGAAAAGGATGGTCATCATCGCGGCAGTTTCGGCGTTTGGAGATATGACGGCGATGGCTTGCGAGAACGTGGTATGGTAGACTTGGTAGAGAAGGAATACAAAGTACATGAATGCACCTCGACCGTCGGAAATATTCTGCCACCAACCCACTGGGAAGTACCAACAGAGGAAGCACACGGAAGCTATCACAAAGTTGAAGGGGATTTCAACAATGATGTTTGAAGCAACGAACACGCTCCAGTGGTACATGTTGGAATAACGTTCCCGTACGTCGTAGATCTCCCGGAGGCCAACAAGTCTCGGCTGTAGAAGGACGATTAGTACTAGGCATAGGAGTAAGACGTTGAAGATGAAGAAAGTCTTGTTCTGTAGGCCTTGCAGGGTATTCGATTCTTTGTAAAAGGTGAAAGCAAGGAACAGCCCGCCAACGATGTTGATGAAGAGTTTTCCAGCGATGTAAGGCGGAGATCGCCAATGTTGCATGAACAATCGTTTTTGGACGATACGATATTGGTTTAGCCATGTCGTTGCAAATGTGTCTGTAGAGGCTGATTCATCGCTGATTTGCCGAGACTCTTTTCCGGATCTGAGCTCTGCGATGCGCTCTGCCACTCCTTGCCTTTCGACTGATGTCGCCCAGATTGAAGGCCAATCGAGTGATGCTTTGCCAAATGCCCCCGCACCTATCTGTTCGAGGACATATTCGGCAGGATTCGCGTCCTGAGGACATCGTTGAGCCCCGTATTGGGCAAAGTAGTCGATCACGTTCGAGCAGTCTTTACCAAGATTGCCAAAATACACAGTCCTGCCACCACTGGCCAAAAGCAGCAGTCGATCAAATTGCTCTAGTAATGTAGCTGAGGGCTGGTGTATCGTGCAGAGAATCGCCTGGCCGGCGTTGGCAAGATCTCGCAGCAATTTGACGATAGAAAGAGCGGACTGGGAGTCTAGGCCAGACGTTGGCTCATCAACGAACAACAAGAGCGAAGGCCGAGCGACAAGCTCAATCCCAATGGTCGTTCGTTTTCGTTTCTCAGCATTCAAACTTTCTCCAGGATGGCCGATCACGGCTTCTGCGTATTCGTCCAACTCCAATAGCGAGATTATTTCTTCGACATAGGCGAGCTTCTCGGAAACAGGCGTACTCTGTGGTTGGCGCAAGAGTGCGGAAAACTGGAATGCTTCGCGGATCGTCATCTCCGCCATATGTACATCTTGTTGCTGTACATAACCTGTACGTCGTTTGAAGGAGGCGTCAAGAGGTGTTCCATTGATATCCATATCGCCAGTCACAACCCCTATGTCTCCCTGGCGCCCAGCCAAAACATTCAACAATGATGTTTTGCCCGCTCCAGACGCTCCCATCAGAGCTGTGAGAGTCCCCGGTTCAACGAAACCTTGGACGTCGTCGAGGATTCTCCGTGTCTGGCCCTTAATCTTGACATCGTATTTGATGTTGTTCCAGCAGAATACGTCAGTGCTAGCTGCGAGCTTGGGCACCTCTTTATTGGGTATGGTATCCTCGCCTTTGATCGTTGGTTCAGAAGGTCCAGATTCTAGGTCAGATACTCCTGAGACCCGTATTGCGGGTGTAGCACCTTTCCGAAAGATAGTGTGCGAACCCGACTTGCCTTTCAACTTGGAGAATTCCGTTACAATAGCGTAAATAGCGGTAAATGCGAGGAAAAAGCCAATGGAGATACCAAGATTGCGCCAAATATGAGAATAGTGATAGTCCAATGCGAGACCTAGGTAGTCATCGCCCAGTACAAAGGCCTCACCCGGTTTGGCTCCTATGACCGGACAGACCTGGTTCGCCCTGTCTACATTTTCATATCCTGGGCCCGACGGAACGAGAGTCCGACAAGGCGCTTTGCGGCCATGAAATTCAATGGCCATTAGCGCCTCGATGGAGTAATATATAGGATTGATGTATGAGATCCACTTAAACCAGGGATGCATAGACGGTCTTGGGATGATGTATCCGGCATAGACCGCTAGTGGCAACACCGATAACCCAGCGAAGGCGAGTGCCGTGTCGACCGTATTTGCCAAAGCCGCCGTAATTCGAAACCAGGCGGTCATGGTGAGAGTTGTCAGGTAAGTAAATAGAACGAACAAGAAGAAGGCACCTGCTTCCCTCTTCATGCCAGCCATGAAATAGACAATGACAGTGAAGGAGAGGATGTTGAAAATCTTGATGGGATACTGCGAAAGCATGTTCGCCAGAGCATCGATGAAAGGATGGTACATCCCATACGAATGATGCTTCTCGACGATTGGTCGTTGAGCGAATTGTGCAGCTACTTCCGCAAAGGTGACGATGATGTTGAACAAGACCATGAAAAATATCACACCTCCTTTTGAGAAGAAACCGCTAGTACCGGGGTCGATGTCGTAGAACATGGAGCCTATGACCATTGGGATGACCAGCATAGTTACGGTGATCGCAAGGAAGTAGGCATATTCGCCTCTTATCCGCTGAACTGCCCTGTTAAAGGTGGTGCTGAATTGCATCCCCAGATTGAGGGTATATGGTGAGCGGTGGCGGGTTGCAGGGGCCTTTTCTGATGTCAAAGACTTCTTGAAACGCTGCATTTCGGTTGCCATTTGTTTTTCCATTGACTGGCCATGGGATGTAATTTCGTCCTGCAGCCGGCGAAACTCGTCACTGGATTTCCACTTGGCTTCAAATTCCGCTGCCGTACGAGGGACTCTCGTCTCAAACCCTTCTCGTACAACTCGTGCTTTTGCATCTGTTACAGAGACAAGAAACTCGGCAATCGTCTGGCGTGCCGTGCATTCAAATCCCATTTCGATAAAGGCTGTTTTTGCATCGGCCAAGCTTCCGAAGAATATTTGCCGGCCTTCGTGGAGCAGAAGAACCTTGTCGTAGATCTCTGCAAGAGCGTCGCCAGGCTGGTATAGGGCCGAGACAGATACGTTGTCGGTAAGGTTTGTTGCTACGCGCAATGCTTTAGCGAAATCTAGGGAGGTAGAGGAGTCTAATCCACGCGTGGGATTGTCCCAACAGGTGACGCAAGCCCTTGTAAGAAGCTATATACGGTAAGCATATGTTATCAATGAGTGTGATGTGTTTGGGCTTCGCACCATTTCTGCAATCGAGACGCGCCTGCGCTCGCCTCCTGATACTCCACGCACAAAGTCGTTGCCGACACGGGTGTTTGCAGCATGTTTCAATCCGAATGTGGCCAGCAAAATATCCCTTGTGGTCTCAATGAATTTCTTCCTAGATATTCCATTGATACGCTGATGGGGCGTCTTCGTGCTAGCACCAAATTCCAATGTTTGGGCCACAGTGAGGTATGGAAAATGGTTGTCACTTGCATCATTAAATGCGAGCATACTGGAGAACCTTTCCTGCATGGTGGAGAGAGGAATTCCACTGTAGTTGATTGATCCTGACCATCGACGAAAACCATCAGTCTGACCAGAGAGCATTTTGAGTAGGCTGGTGCAACCACTTCCGGGTGGGCCTAGGACCAGAAGCATTTCGCCTGGATGCAGAATTCCGTCCGTACCGTGTAGGATAACCTTTTCGGGCGCCTTCATTCGAAGTTTCCGAAGCCATGGACCTAGTTGCGTAAAGAGAGAGAGTGCGTCTTTCTGTTCTGTTGTAGCGACATGGTTGCCATAGACGGAAACCTGGCTCCATGCAACGGATACCTTGGGAGAGAGCGGTCCCAAATCATCACTCCTCGTCCGCTCGATGGCAGCTAAGAGCGTTCGCTCCAAAGTCCAGTGAGGATCGTTGATGTCGAAAGGGTCGACTGTTCTGCTTGTCTGGTGTGCAACGTTCGATACAGTGCGCACCAGTTGTGCAATGGCGTTTTGAGATAGCGGTTCGTCCTCAGAAGAGGCTGAAGAACGCACGCTAGGCGCATGCCCTCCGTTCAATTCTGTGGTAGCCATGACGGCAAATAAAGACGTGGGAAGACATCTTGGTGAGATCGTGGCAGCAAACAAATATATACGTAGGAAAAGAAGTATCCACAAAAGGAGGATTTCTGCAAAAGGATGTCATTTCGCAGTCTCGGTTCCGAAAGTATTCGCGGCCACTTGAGCCTCATGTTGGGTTTTGTGTGGACCTCGTTCGAACGATCGTGCAGCGCAGCCTGTGCAGACAACAGCATGTGAATGATCGTATTGTCTGATGGAAGAGTGGACTGATTCTAAGCATCGAATATGCACAACCTCGCCCGAGTAGTGGGTACTCGGTCACGTGCGCTTGGCGCTTCCACCAATTAAGAAGCCATTATCCATTGCCCACTTGGGAAATATATCGGCCGAACCCGTCCCCTAGCCTCCCTCTATCACCTTCCTCCGAACGAAGATACCATATCTTGTTTGCCTTCAGTCTACTTCGAACGATGTCATGTCTTTCAAGGCACAGCACAAGATGGGCTCGGAACAAAAGGTTATGAAGTCTTGCGACCGATGCAAAAGTCGCAAAGTTGCTTGCTCAGGTATAGGTAAGTCTCGTACCATTCCACTTGTTCGTCACCATCAAGTTTTGTGAACAACGATTGAAATGGATTGGATTTTTTTCTTAACTTCTTCGCAGGACTTGCAGGAGTGACGCGCTGTAACAATTGCTCGCGAAGAAACGAGGTGTGTCGATTTAGCGCTCAAAGAAGGCCTCGAAGGCGACAGGAGGCGACAGAGATCGATCAATATCGCGATGAGGCAACACAAACAGATGACACTAGCATCCAAGAAGCCGAAGTGGCTTTGGGAGAACCCACACCACAATATGACGGTCTCCAGGATTTGTACGTGGATCGACTCTTGATTGCGCCAAGGAAGGATCCTGCTCTGCCAACAACTGCCCCAAAAGTAGGCCTTGCAGGCACTGGCGTTTTCGGTAAGTAACTAATTATGATCTCTCGGAACCGACGTTGTACTTGGGGGCTAAGATTGGATCTAGGAAATGAGTACAGCTTGACCTTCTACTCGGAGCGCCGCTTATCAGCACTTTCAGCAAAGCTCGGCCACGACCGCGTCTTGCAAGCCCATACCAAGGCCACTGCGTTTCTTGCAGAGCGCTTGGGAGGAATTGATCGTCTTTCAATTTCTATGGCCTTGCCTGAAAAGACATCGACATCGACGGAAACAAATTCCAGTTTCGTCAAAGCATGCATCCAGTGTAAGTCACAACACATTCTCTCACTTACAATACTCTCTCTTACTTACAACATACTCTCTTGCTTACAACATACTCTCTTGCTTACAACATACTCTCTTGCTTACAACATACTCTCTTGCTTACAACATACTTTCTTACAGCACTTACAACACTTACAACACTTTCTCTTCTTTCACAATACTCTCTCCTCTATTACAGCACTCTCTCCTCTTTCATAACACTCACAACACTTTCTCTTCTCTCTTCTCCCCCCTCTCACAATACTCCGTTCAGCTTTGATACAGTACATCTAGTACATTGAACTGATAGCAATCAGCATACTTCGAACAGCTCCATCCTATATACACTTTTATCGACAGAGCCCGATTCGAGGCTATCGCCTTTGGGCCGAATCTTTCTCAACACCTCGAGGCAGATAAACCCTGGTCAGCCCTCTTCCACGCAATCCTCGCACTTGGTTCACAGTTTCATGATGGTGGGAGTTACCAGCCGGCAAAGAACATTGCATGGCGGTTTTTCTCCATCTCCCTGGCCTTGTTTCCCAGCTTGTTAATCACAAAGGCTACCTTACATACTGTGCAAGCTATTGCCGCTATGGCCATATTCGCATCGAATGTGTCGTCTCTACATCTAGAGCATACCATGATATATGAGGCAACTAAGAGAGCCCAATCTCTAGGTTACGACCGATGTACGGCCCCCGGCGATGACGAGCGTATCCGGACATTCTGGGTTCTGTATCGATTCGAAAAGATTATGACATTTACAACCGGACGTAGCTCCACGATCATGGACTCTGATATTAGCAGCGTCATCTCGCCACAGCCACTATCAGGTGTCGACAGCAATCCTTTCGACTTCTCCCTCGCATCTGTCAGGATGTCAAGACTCCTAAGCCGCGTCTACTCATCCATCTACTCAGTCAGTGCGCGAGGGCGGACGCAACGATATTACCTTGACGTCGTTCGCCGCCTTAAGTCGGAGCTTGAGAACTGGCGTGCAAGCATTCCACTGAATCTACAACCGGGCCAACCGATCCGACCACATTGCATTCCCACAACACTGGCCATGAACATCTGTGTCAAATTGCATCTACTCTACTATACCACTATGTTGCACTTAAATCGCGTGCTGCTGCAATTAGAGGATCAACCGACAAATGAATCCGAAGCAGTAGCAAGCGTGATGCGGACAGCAAGATCCATTCTTGACGTGACACAGTTTATTGAGGTCCAGCCGTACACACCACTATGGTACTGTCGCCTTCCATTCGTATTTCAATCATAACGCTGACATGTTTCAATAGGGTGCTTGCAGCTGTTCCTCTGGCAGGTTTCCTGGTTCTTTTCGACGTAGTGATCGACTATCCTACTCATCCAGACACCGCAGTCAATCTTAGCATGCTTGACATTGGCATTGGTCATTTCAGTCGCATCGAGTATGCATCCAATGGTAGTCTACCCGGCCATATTCTTGCAGACTTCTCAAGTATTGCAAGATCCTTTGTGCAGGAAAGTCAAGCACAACGACCAGGCAACGACGGTGGTTCGTCGAAGATCCTATCTATTGTACCGATGCCGGCCTATATGGCGGCCAACAATTCGGGAATGCAGCCACCAATTCGAACACAGCCTGCTGTCGGACTTTCGTCAAGTCCATTTACAGACTTACCAGTATGGCTAACTAACCCCACCAACGAAGATTTGCTTCAAGGAACTGATATCCTTGATTTGTTCAATTCTTCTTTCCCGAACTTTGAAGACGATGGGAATTTGTTTGGATTCGCTCCATGATCAACCTAATGACCGACAAGATCGTTTACGACATTTTTTTACGGATCGGAATGTTCGAATTAGCTTCCTAGCGATTGTCTGGTCAGAAATTCGGATTTTCTTCTCTTCGTTGCGTCCTGTACTCGTATTCGTGCAATGTATAATTCGTTGCGCCCTGTACTAGTATTCCATGTATGATGTAGTAATGTAGCCACGCTTACTAGACAAAAATGGACTGTCTACTGTGTAACATTCTCGAAGACTTGGACTAACGAGTGAGGTTCGTCACAAAGAATATCACTGAACAGTTGCAAGACATCTCTACGGTTTCTAATAGAGTTTACATGGCTTGAAAAGGCCTTTGTCCAGAACTCTGTTGATTTTACAGGTCGTCGTCGACCGGGGCATCTCTGAATTTCTCATCATCTACCGAGCTTGGCCCATTCTCAAGATGTAATCCCATTTCATATGCAGCAAATTCAACGTAACCAACCAGTCTTTCGATCAATGCGGTATCTAACTTTGATATCGGAGCGCTGTGAGACCTCTTGGGTGTAACAATTTGCCGTTCTGGCCACGCTCCCAGACAATGGCTCTGCTCAGTCTGGGTAGGGGTCGCAGTGGCTCCATTATTGGAAGCTAGGCTATTGATCACAACATTTCCATTCCTAGTGAGGAGGATATCAAGAAGAGACTCAAGGTCTAGGCCTAACAAATCGCTAGATTGCTTCCCTATGCTCTCTTCAGACTCGTCCCCGGGAGCGTCCATGCCTTGAGCGGACATGCCTAGTGAGCAATTGCTGGTTTTTGCAGAGGCGCTGTGTGCATACGCCTCCTTGAACGACGCCTTGAGCGGAGTGGCTTTCCGTGCTCCGGGAAAGCCAAAATCCAATGTTCTCCGTCGGCCGTAGGCGGTGCGGTTTTCAAGGTCAGCAGGAACCTCAAACTCATCCAGGCAAATGCTACTCTCGGAAACCAATGATGGATTTTCGGGGATTCTAGAGGATTGGCGGAACTTGGCATCACCTTCGTTGAGTCCATCGAGATTGGCGATGTTACCAGGAACACCACTACGTGTTCCGAAGCGATGTAAATTTCCTTCTCGGGTACACTATGTATCAGGCAGTCAGTATCAAGTCTTAGGAATGGTACCGGATGCAAAAGCCTTTGTGTCATGGTCACTTCAATATTGCTCTTTCGTGAACCCAATTACGAGCACTACTGACCTGCCTGGCCCGAGGATAATTGGTGCCAAAAGGAAGCAGCATCATCTTGAATGCGGCCCTTCGAAAACAGCAATCAGGTCCCTGACTTTCGTCTTTGAAGTGGCATTGGGCTAGATGTGGAAAGGCTTTAGCAGCTAATTCCAACGTCGGCATACACTGGCTTCTCACAAGTTTAGGGTAGGAATGCCGGCGGCCTCCCGTTTCTTCTTGGGCGGACGCGGTGACAACTTGAATATCAGACTGAGCTTCATTGGGATACTCCTCACAGTATCGATCTGGGTACAGGGTCCAGGTGAAGTCGCTTCCTTGTGGTCGAGCGTTGCTATTCGCCATTGCCACATTTTGGCGAGGGTATGGTGCTCTAAACTCTTCCCTTGAGCGAGCCGAATGGTGCGGCGACCGCCTTCCCTTCTGTGGCCCGTTTTGATCGCCGAGCCCGACTTTTCTTTTCTTCGGTATATGTGACCCTTTGTGTTGCTGTGCCCCCGAAGCCTTGTTCTCAAAAAAATCCGTTGTTGTCCTGACAAGCCCTACCCTGGGTTGCACTCCTAGCTGTTGAAGTGCCAGTGGGCTTACCGATGTGAGTTGGCCCCCTCCCGGGTCACGCCTTTTTGGTCGAGCAGTAAATCTAGTAGGGCCAGATGTCTCAACCCATTCGTAAGTGTTGCCGGCTGACGACTTGGTTGGCATGGTTGCATGCAAAGGTGTCGTAGGCTGTTTTAATAGCACATCCCCGTATGGATTTTTCCCCTGGAGATATGCCGGAGATTTTGATCGCAGTATGTCCATTAGAGGGGCATCTAGTGTGAAAGTAGCGTCGAGGAGCGGGAGATAATCACTTTGCGGAGAGAGTCGAGATTTGTGAAGACTGCGGCTAGACATGGCGTATTGAAAGGGAAGTTTGGTAGGATGTCTATTTCTGGTGCTGTTGCGAGGGTCGAGTATGGCAGCGTTCGAATAGAAGAGCTAAACAGATGTCAAAGTGTTAAAACAATAGGAAAAAATAAGGGTACATAGGGCGTGAACGAGAATGTTGTGGTCGCAATAGTCAATGTGCGACTCGAGTAGAAGATAGTGTTTGGATGGGTGGAAGTAGGTTTTTGGATGTAAGTGTTTTACGGCCAGAGAGCGCCTTCTATCTTGTGTCTGTAGTGGGCAGTCGCCTGTCCGCTTCTCCTAGTGTACACATCACGCAATGCCAAAGAAAAGCTATTTACACGCGCTTATTTCAATGCGGCCTGGAGGGTCTCCAAAACCTATTGCACGGTCAATACAAGTGCGACTTGTTACGTAGTCGATATAACATACCTCGAGCTCAATCTTGGCCTCAGCAACATCCTGCTCACTGCCGTTTCCGCTGGCAATCTTCTGAGCCTCTGCGATCTGGTTTCGGACGGCCTGTAAAATGTCAACCCCGAACTATGACTCGTTTCTTCCAAATCCTATCTCTACTTACGTCGGCGCTGAAGTCCTCCAAGGGGAAACCCTCAACAGCGTTGATGCTGAGATGGGAGTTGGGCTGTACGACGGCAAATCCACCAGAAACTAACAACACAGTCAACAACTTGTATCCTTTGTTGGCGAATGTTTATCGGATCGACGTACGGAAGAACTGCTTGCTGCCGCCACTCTCCTCGATGATTTCAATGAGACCGGGCTTCAACTGTTCGATTGAGGGGACGTGGTTGGCCAAAACACCCATATCTCCAGTCTCGGCGGCAAGGTTGACCTGGACACTGTAAAGCATAATCCGTCAGTATCGAATCGCTACGTATCGGTGCTGGGCTCGGGCAAACGGGTAGCAACGTACACATCTTGCGACTTGTAGATGGCCTATAAGGTACTCTGGTTAGCATCGGATTGGGACGAGATTGCTTCGGTCGATGGAAAGATGAAATGTTCCTCGCGCGCAATGGCAATTGATACGTACCTGGTGAGGAAGAGTGAGGGAGAGCTTGATGTTGTCTGAGGCGACGTCGGCGTATCCCCTTCGCTGGATGGGGCGGAGGGCAGTAGTGGGCCTGACGCGGAGGGCGGCTCTGGCGATGCGAAGGGAGCTCATGATGAATTGAGGGTTGTAGAGGATGCAATGGCTTGACTGCGGAGCTGTGGGTGGTGTTGAACGAGGACGCCGAAGTTCTTCAATACGCCAAGACGGAAATTCCCGGCCACCGACTAGCGCCTGTTGAGAGCAACTCACAGCATTCGGTGTATGCAGGCATTCGGCTTCGTCAAATAAATTCCCAATAGATATCAAACTTGTCTCCTTGACCTACTGAATTCGATATGTTAAAATACTACGATGATTTGTGCGTTATTAATTGACGCTGAGCCGAAAGTATGGGCTATACTACATACTCAACATAACTGGGGAAAAGCTCTACTTGCACGGAAAGGTATGCCTGGTTCATAGTACGTACTTCTATATGAGCAAAGACTAGCAGTAGCCTGAATGTGGACTCTGAATGAAGTTTTCATGTTCCATACTATGTTGCATGGAGTATGTTATATTGTTGCAGTTCATGTATGATTCTACATAATCAGACGATTCTTGAGTTTAATCACTCACCTATGTATTCAGCTCGTATGAACTTCATATATCTGATACTGTGGGATTTGAGTAAAGTCAAAGTAGCAAAATATAGTAGAGTAGCGAGTCTACGTCAATGTGCATTAAACTTGTACTGCATATGGCTGTGCGTATCAGCTAGATATATACATACACGACCCGACCTTCTTTTACAGCATTTTACCATCAAAGGAACAATAATATCATGATCAATAATAGATAGTCACAAGGTATCCCGTATGGATAGTTGGCAATTATGGCAAAGACTTACCAACAATGGATAGATAATGGCTGGTCACCTGTAAGTGTTAGTTGGAATGGGGGAGCAATTCAGTGCACCAGTGATTGTTCAAGTAGATTACAACTGATGGTTCAAATCACCACTGTTGAGCATAAAGTCACTGGTTTCTACTACACATCAAGGAATACACGTCTTAGCTCAAGCATTGACATAGCCAGCGCTGTCTCTCTTCTGCACATTGATCCGAAATTGCCAAACGAGAGAGCCCTAGAAGTGACCGTGTGAAGTGCGATGATTTGAAAAAGGCCAACGACAATCTCCAGTCAGTGGATGAGGGACTTGAGTTCGGTAACCCATTCAGATAAACTGCTACAAAGCAAGCTCTGATGTTGGCGGTGTGAATATGCCCACGTATTGTCGATCGATTGTTTTTGATGCCCAAAGAAGGGACGAGCGCACACGGCCAGATAGAAAGGCCGAAAGTTGTAATGTTTCCTGGGGTCAGGGCCTGCCAAACACACCATACCAGTATCTTCAGATTTCCAAAAGAAGAATTCAGCATGCTCAGTGGAGTTGCATAATTGACGATTTGAGTAATGAGGACGTTGCTCGAACGAAGAGCGATTGTAGATCAGTCGTTGGACTTACACGTACCATTGTCCAGACTAGATATGATATTCGTGAGGAGACATTCCCACTTTACCAAATTCAACATCTTATAAAGAAAGAAGAATCAATATGGGGAACGATTTGATAAGGAGCTCTTCAGATGCATGCATTGGTAAAGAAGCGGAGCATGACCATACACCTCATGAAAATTCCTAATGAAGCGGAAATACTCAAGTGCCGCACTGGGGTTTTGGCAAGCCTGCCAGGAACCCTCAGCCTTGAATCGAAAGTAGCAAGGAGCAAAGCTATTCCTGTCCGATGATGTAGGTCGTGATCGTTGATACTTGCCAGCACGCACGGAGACTTGGCGTTGGGCAAAACACCAGCTCGCCCAACTGGGAATGCGGCACACTTTGGTGCCGAACGTAACCGAGGCGCCTCCACTGTGCAACTCAATTGTGATGAGTGCGAAATGGCACAGCGCCCATATGAGTAAAAGCTCGAGGGTAAGGCATGTGGAGACTCAGAGCGATCTCACGAGACCAAGTCTCAAGATCGATTCGTACACCTTGATAGCCGCCCGGATTGAGGAGTTCCACACTCAAGCAGGAAGAACTAATAGGAATGAGGAGGGATGTTACGGGCTGAAACTGTGAAACGTGGGATTGCCGTTGGAACACGTTGAAAGAGTGGGCCTTGTGGCGGCATGGGAATCAGTCGTAAGAGGATCAGAAGAGGATGAGCACATCTCCATCGGAGAGGATGTTGGGTTCCAGAGAGGTCGCAGCGCCGAAAATTTTTGTAGAGTAGGTAAGTACTGAGTAATTAGGGCATTGATATTCCGTGCGTGGGCTGCAGGGACCTGCGCGTCATGATGTTGATTAAAGTTGGATGAATAAGAATGATTTTACGGCGGTCGGAAACAGGACATGCCGGTTGAGAGGGAAGGGATCTGATGTTTCCAATCTGTTTGCTCTGCTGGCCATCCTGTTTGGCTGGCTAAAGTGCAAGGTTTATTTCGCCTCGTACTCGGTTGGTATTCTCGACAGGGTCATGGTCCAAGGTCAAAGGAAAGGTGAAAGAAAGGAACTTCAAGGAAGTGCATACTCTCAACATCATTCCGTGGGACCCATGGGCCATGAGCAGCGACTCGCGAGTGAACAGAGCGGGAGGAGCATGGCAAGAAACTCAATAGTCAAGCAAATCAAGACAAGATGCTGCACGGCCCTACGAGAACACCCAAAGACCCAAGATGTTGGACGGCTACCAAGCTTCTGCTAAAGGGTAAGCGAAACCCCACGGGGGCCAGTCAAGTCGCCAGATGCCGTGCACGACAATTGGCGGTGAGAAGTCGTTGTATCCAGCACGGACAATAGATGGTTGAGAAGCCAACTTTGTACGAGTAGGCAAGATGCCCGATATCTGCTCTGTATTCTGTGTAGCAGTTACTAGCAGCAGCAGCAGCAGCACAAGGAGGACCAGAACCAGAACCAACATGATACAGTCGCATGAGGGGCCCAGGCCACAGGTACCAAGACCGAGAAGCGGTATCACAGGAAAGGTACTCCGCATACCCAGGTACCTGTTATCAACACGGGTGGCAGAGAAGAGACCAACGGTCGGAATGAGTGCAACAATGAGCTGTTCCAAAGCATTCTGGTGTATGGCAATTATCGGAACAAACACTCACACGGGAATAATCTAGCGCGAATGATGTTCTTCAACGAGTACTCTGTGCTTTGTAGAAGGTCGTGAAAAGGGAAGGTCACGATAGGATCTTGTGGTGTTGAGGGGCGAAGGAGAAGGAAGGTCCGTGTACTGTAGTAAAGTAAAGTTAGTGGGGGGAATGAGGGGCAGCGCGGGGCGGAGATATCGCGAGCAATAACCACCTATTACGCTGTAACTTCTTGTACAAACTCAACTCCATACATCATTTATTTCCTAGGTATACACAGTAATAGTGTCTGGCATGCTTTCGCGTCTCGAACCATCCGATCTAGTCCTCACCGCCTTTGAGTAGACATACAGTATCTACGGTAGTGCACTGTCGCAGGCCGGAATCTGTACGGAGCACATGCAAGTGATTTGTTCTTCTCTTGGTTTCCTGTCTCGTAATTTCAGAAGAGGAAAGTGGGGGTCAGACGCCAAAAATTCTCCAACCTACCTGAGTGCCTACAGGAAATACCGAGTATGGAGTAACCTCACAGGAGTCATGTTGCCAGATAACTCTTTCGCTCCCATCCATCCCATCATAACATTCGTAGTAATTGCCATTCATGCTGTAGATCACATTGAAAGGTGTCACACCGACAACTGTGCGGGCAATTAGCCACGTTCATCCATTCGTGAGCCGATCTTGATCACCACAGTGATGTGGATCTGCGAACAGATTTGCGGCTCTACTCGTGCCATAACGCGCCGAGCGAGCGAGGTGAAGGCGGTGATGGCGAAAGAGCTGGTTACGGCCGCGTACGAGTAACTACCAGTAGGAAACCGCATGTCGAGGACGAACGCTTGTCACGTCGCCCGGAAGGATGTCATCTCGCAGCATGCACCAGCAGAATAATCAAGAAGTGATCGAATTGGGGTTCGATGATGGATGGAACCCCTAGCCTGGCACGCCTGCACAGTACAACTACATACGAGCTAGTACTGTGTATTGTGGCCAATGCAGTGTCTGTCTGTTGCCAACGATTGACTCGCTCTCCGTCCGTTGCATGGATGCGATGATCCTACGAGTTACCAGGTATCTACGGAGTACTGTAGAAAGATATTGCTTGTCGCCTTGTACAATTACAATAGTTGCAGTGCGCCGCGACATTGGATCTACTTGTAAGGGTCCAGCATGCACGCTCTTCCGCTCCCAGTACTGTTCCAACTCGTAATAAAAACATTACTCGTACATGATGCATGTCTCTCTTCTTGCTCTCTACCTACTCAGTTCAAAGAGAATCTCGGCTCGGTAGGAGAGGCACGCCGCACGGGAGGGTTGGAAGAGGCATGGAATTTCAACGCACCAAGGCCCCGCGATAGCCGCACCCCAAACCAGTTATGGTGCAAGCGCATGTGCAATGGTCGTGTCTCTTCAATCTTTACACAGTATCACTCCGTACGATCCACAGAGTACTCGTATGGTCATCCCATTATCATGATGGTCATATGGGCAACGCGGGAATTAACCAATCACCAACCCTTCCGCCTACCATGCCATGTTGTTGAGACCTGTTGTATGGTGACGGATGGCGAGCTGCAGAGCGCGCGGCCTTGTCCGTTACAGCACAGTTCGAATCGACGACGGAATGCTCGACAAGCACGGGTAGTAGCAGTAGTATCACCATATCTGCTCCGTACACAGTATCTATGTGCATACTCGTTTACTGTGAACTTCGTAGATGCAGTAATTACCTCATACTTGCCCGTTACCCTGCCTGCGCATGGCCAGTAACCATCCACCCATCTAATAGTGGAACAGCCAAAACAGAAAAGGCGGCTCACGGCATCTGCGGTTCAGGGTCCAAGTGATGGATCGTGGTCTGTGTGCCGCAACGTAGCGAGCTGCGAGCAACGACGCCCAGTGCCCGCTCGTTGTATGCGAATCGTTCATGTGACACTAAAACTGTTGGCCGTCAGCTGTGGCCATGTTGGTGCCGTTGGTGTTACGGCAATGGCATGGGAAAGTCTCTGTGAGAACTCACCGTGACCGTGCTAGGGTTGATTCATTGCGTTCGATGGCATTCGATCTTGAATGGGAGTTCTGTTCGACCAACGTACTGTGTAGGTAGTCTACTGAGACTAGGGCTGCGACAACTCTTGCTGGTTGGGTGCAGAGACGGCCAACATGCTCTCGCCTGCCGGGCATGTCCTGGACTCCTGGTGTGTGAATTTTGGAGGCAGTACATAGGTATGATGGCGTCAAGTCGGTGGGCACAGGTGGTCATTGTCGTCCCACATTGGCCCGAGAGCGAGAGGCTACAATTTTGATGTCGACTAGCGTGTATGCAAGTGCTCGGCGTATGTACTGACTAGCTACAAGTACTGAGAAAACAATGACCATGGGCAGCATGGGTTGGGTTGGATAGGGTATGTTAGGTTAGATTCTAGAGCCTAGAGTAACTAAATCCATACAGGTAGGGTATATATCCTAACTATGGCCATGCCCATGGTCATGCCCATGCCGTGGACGCACGGGATGTCCCATGTCCCATAATAGCGAGTTGCCCAGTGCGGCCGGGATCACGACGACAGCGGCACCACAGCACCAAACGGGTAGATGGTCCAATAAACTACACGAAGAGCAGGTCGGGTCGAACGAGAGGGCGGAAGGATGACCGGTTCTACGGAGTACTGAGCAGAGAGGCTGAACATGTGGTGAGCTACACAGCACCGATAGCACTCGTGAGTGAGCCTGAGCCGTACATCAAATGCAGTTCACAGTTCTCGGCGGGCCAAGGCTGATGGGCGGAGAGGGATCAACGCCTTCAGAGGGCAAAAGATGTTCGGGGGATTGGATTTGGGGGATCTGAATGGTGAGATGCACGCAGCACAATGGATGATGGGCGGGCAATTGAGAGGGGAGGCGCACCGGGGTGGGCGCACGGAGATGGACGGGTGAGGCAGAGGAAGAGGGCAGATGCAGATGGGCGTTGCGTTCTGTCCAGCTTGTGCACGACTGGGGTGGTTAGATCATGGGAAGATTTGATGCTTGTACGGAGTACGACCGATGTTATTTATTGACTACTCCGTATGATGATGATACTCAGGAGGATGATACTCAGGAGTACGATAGGATGGAGGAGGGAGGAGGAGGGAAGAGGAGGGAGGATGGAGGGTTGATTGATTGGGTAGTTAAGAGGAACTGGGTATTGCCTGGGAGATCGCATTTGCCTGGTAATCCAATCTGCAACTTTGAACCTCGAGTGTCCACTGTGGGAAATTAATCGGTATTTCTCTCTGCAATCATCTTCATCTCTTTGTATGCCAATATGTCTGTCTGTCTATTGCAAGAACATCAATTAGCGAGGTTACGGAGTAGTTACATACTGGTACTGTGTACTCATACATACAATACATACTGGTGATACGGTGGAGGATCGCTAACATGCGTAGCCTGGGTGGTGCCCTTCCCTAGCTCTGAGCCTCTAACCCCATGCCAGGACTAAACTGTGCTGGCCTGTCTCTCGTTGCGGTGGTGGTGTTCTTCTTCTTCTAGCATAATCTCTTCGTTGCTCTTGAGTCTTACTTGTCTTGCATACAAACGCTCAAAGAAAAACCTATCCAAGCACATCGTACATGTATGGGTGCTCGTGACTGACTTGTTTCTTCCCAGGCTCCTTACTATTCTGCCCCTTTCCGCAGCTGGGTCTGTGTATTGTAAAGTGGTAATGTACGGAGTACTGTGTGTAATGTTCCCCATAGATAGGCTGATGATTGTTGTCGGGTAGGGTAGGGTAGGGTAGGATGGGATAGGTCGATACCTCGTAGGATAGGTTAGGATAGGTTAGGATAGGTTAGGATGGGATAGGATGGGATAGGATGGTGGTCAGGGTAGCCCGCGCGCTTGGGTCCCGCTGGTCGGAAAAGACTAGCACCATCAATCTAATTTCTCTATCCCGGACCCGGACCCTTTCTCTTGCTCCACCACCACCACCATCAACACCCATCAACACCACCACTCCACTACACTACCCTACACTACTCCGTACACTATACACTACTCGTAATTGTACTAACCACCACTGAACACAGTCCCACGACAACCTCTTCTTCTTCCTCCACCACCATTTCAATCAAAGCGCCATCGCGCTGAGGCTTACTGTTTGTTTATGGCCAAACACACACACATACACACACACACCTCTCCTGCTGCCCACTTGTCAATACTTCACAGTGGACACCCACCACTTACACTTCCTTTTCTCTTCTCAGCTCTCTTCTTCCTCCTCTACACCCTCTCGAGTGTGTTATCATTTCCCAGCTGAGGAGAGGAAACAGTGTGAGTGTGAGTGTGAGTGTGAGTGTGAGTGTGTGTGAGTGTGTGAGAGAGTGAGTAAGTGTGTCTCTCTGTGTGCGTGCGCGTGCGTATGCGTATGCGTATGCGGCGAGCGGGCACGACTGCATTCGAGGTCTTCCAGGGCTTGTTTATCGGCGTCTGGCTGTTGCATCCCACTTCCTGCACCTCTGCTTGGTCCGACTCCTCCAAGGGACTTCGCTTGGCCCGCCCAATTTGTGTCCTCTGCCGCAAGCCAGTGGGCTCATCTCCCTTCGCTGCCGCTGCATATTATCTGGGTCGCCCGCACTCACATCGCTCTCCACCTAGGTCCTTCACCTAGGCCACCAGGAGAACTCCCTACGGTACGTTGTCTGTGATTTCTTCCTTTCCTCTTCCCTTCCCTTTGTCTCCTCTAATCTACTCTCCACCATCCCCCCAGGAAGCTGTACGGACTAGTCTATACAGAAACCAGCGCTCGAGACCAAGCCGTGCCATCATGCCATACTCGGTGTTCGCTGCGATAGTCTTCATGGTCCGCTGACAATCCCAAAGTTCTCCAGGCCCTTTGTGGCTCACGACATAGAAGGCCTCCCGCGCGGATCCTACCGAACTCACGCCCTCCGAAGGAGTTATTCACCCCTCCACCACATTGTTCCTCCAGAGCCTCCGTACATCGTGGCCGTTCCCTCCATCCTCCGCGACTAGACACCTACATATACCGTGTGAAGAGCCCTGCATGCAGTTGTGGCCTACTTGAAATCAAAACATGGACACTGAAGATGGACAAATATTCATAAAGGTATGACGCCCCACCATGCCACAGACCCGTGAAGCGGCTACCTTGCCCAATATCCATATCCACATCACGTTGGGCATCACGCTTCAAAGATTGTGGCAGCCACCAGGCCAGTCAGTTCTAACATGGCTTGATTAGAACCTTGCGTACTTTGTACGAACTCACGAGAAAGCCCTCGCCAATGCCTTGCAACTCCAGCGGCAGGCACCGAAAAGGCAGAGCACCGACCTCACGCCCTCATCTCCCACCGCAACCTCTAATGCCACAACCACGGCCTCTTCCAGCTCCAGCGTCTGGGCCGCTGCCCTTTCGCTTCCTTCGCTCACGTTCACGTCCCAGACCATCAAGCCTGCAAAACTCACCCTCACACCCCATCATCTGTTCTATCTCCTGTCCCGCTTCGAGGAACTGAGTATACCCGTGGGGCCGATGAATGTCCGTTTGGAGAACATCCACACTGACGCTTCGCCCACTAACTATGTCTCCTTCCTCAGTAAGGCTCAGCGCAATAAGACACGATCGTCAGATCGAGATTCAATTCACTCGGTCTCGAGCATTCGCAGCGTGATGTCAGGCATGTCTTCACTATGGTCATCTCTTCGTCTTTCCAACAACAGTGCTGCCAAGGCGGAGAAGCAGAAAGCGGCTATTCAGGAAGATCTGAAATACCTTTTCTCTGCTTTTACAAAGATCCCTTGCCTGAGGCTTGCTCCTGACCACAAGGCCCGCCTCATCGCAGGCTACGAAGAGTTCCCCTTCGACACTGCTGTGCCGTTATTTGCGTTTAAGAACGTCACCGCTCTTGAGATCTACGACGTGGATTTCCGGCAGTTCCATGGCTGGGATCGACTCGCAGAGAATTTGCGTAGCTTAACGGTAAAGCGTGCGGGCGTGGATGACCCTGCAGATATTCTAATCAACATCGTCCTTGATGACATAGACAAGCGCCGTCGTCGTTCAGCAAAAGCGCCTCCCTCACCCTCTGTTCCATGTGCAACTCCAAGTCCTGTGCCAAAACATGCTCATTTAGCACAATCGGAATCACCCCCCTCACCTGGCGCAACTGCACCCAGGCATGCCTCGAGCCCAAGGGTTCATACCACCATGACCGCGGAGGGTGAGCTTTCGACCTCTGCACAACGCCAACGCAGTGCTTCACCTCATAGACCAGCAAGTTCGCGACACGGCTCAGCCTCCGTTTATGGGAGAACCAGTACTCCCAATGTCCGACGCGCTTCTGGTAGTTCTAGCTCAAGTGTGCGATCCACGACTCCCCGGGGGAGCTCATCTAATCTTCTCTCATTGGGCTGGTTCCCTTCCACCAAATGGCGCTTCCTGCGACATCTCAGCTTAGCCGACAATGCCCTCACGAGCATTCCGGCTTCTAGTCTTGCTCCTGTCGCTAATACATTGCAGTCGCTCGATCTGTCTGCCAATCTCTTCACGGAGATTCCAGATAGCCTTGCGACTATGTCGTGTCTCCGTGCCCTCAACCTATCAAACTGCATGATCGAGAGCCTCCACTCACTCGGCCGAAGTCCTCTTCCCGCGATAACGACACTCAACCTTCGATCTAACAGACTGTCGTCTCTCGCCGGTATCGAGCGCCTACTCTCCCTGGAGCGAGTTGACCTGAGGGACAATAAACTGACTGATCCCACTGAGGTGGCAAGGCTTACAGGAGTGCCAGAGATCACCCACATCTACGTGCATCGAAATCCGTTCTGCAAGTCTTACGGCAACTACCGTGTCATGATATTCAATCTATTCCGCAAAACCCCAGGATATACAGAAGACATCGTCATCGACTCTACTGGCCCAAGCAGCTCTGAAAGGAAACAACTGGTCGACAGGGTGCCTGAACCCCCCAGTGTGCCTGTTGTCAAACCACCCCCGGAGGATGACGTGCCTCCGCAACCAATACCCGTTAAGATTGTGGCGGCCATGGACGGCACTCGCTCTCTACCCGACTCGCCTCGACGAACGAATTCCCACTCGCACCGGTCCAAGAGTGGACACACAGGCTCTCAGCGGCGCAAGAAGGTGACGAAGCGGAGAGTAGTCGAGCTATCCCAGACTAACACCACACCTGGACCGGCAAACGATCAGGCACCTCCAACGAACCTATTCGAGCAGCTCCCTTCGACCGTGGACGTACCCAAGACGTCAGATCCCGCTGATGACTTGACGGGAGAACGAAGCCCTCCTCGCTTTAAGGAACCGTCCTTCGAGGCTGCGTTGGGCGATCCGACGAAGAAGACGACCGCCCAAGATCATGGGTTGACCCAATCCGTGCACATTGTCCACCAGCAGCTGCCATCCCTCAATACCACACTCAGTGCGGAGTCTGTGCAGCAGAGTACGACAAGTCCACCGGAATTTGACGCCAGTAGCGATCTGTATAGGAAGAAGATCGAAGCATTGCGTCAAGATTTCGGGAACACATGGCTGAGCGCTCTCAGCGACGAAAGCTGGGAAACGGCACCCGTAACGAGCTTCCCGGAGCCGGGATTTACCACTACCATCCGACCAGCCATGCCCCGAACGCCCAGTCAAGGTATCGTTTCTGGTGGCAGAACACTTGGCTGACCACTGACCTAATGTAATGATTTATTAGCGATACCCCAATCTGATTTTGCCTGGTTTTGTTTTCACTGTTCTGGCAGTACTCGATGTTTATTTTTCCGTCCCCCCCTGCTATATTTTGCTTTTCTCATGCTGTTCTTGCCTGAAGGAGTTTTGCGGTTGTAGAAAGTTTCCTGCATGGCGTTGGTGGGTGTTGGGTTTTCTTTTGCAAGACTCGGGCGGCAATATTCTGACGCTCGCTTGTATTCTTATTGGGTCAATTTCTGGTTGCTATCACTTCTTTCGTTCTTACTTCTTCTTCTTCTTCTTCTCCCTTCACTATCGCCATTAACATCCTCTTAGTCCTCTCCCTTTTCTCCCCTTCTATTCTTCTTACATTTCTTTTCTTTTCTCTACGTATTTATTCGGCGGCATTCTCAAGACCACGCTCTCCCCCCACCCTCTTCCCCCCAAAAAAGAAACGGCTTTGCTTGCATCTTCCTTGCGGATATATGAGTTGGGTAGTCCATTCCGTCACATTGTCTGGGTTTTCGGGAGGGTCCCGAAGAGATAAATTTTTGTATCATACCATATTTGGGTGTTCTGGGGAATCATCATGTCAGCCATGGAAGGGTGGAAGGACGAAAGGGTGGATTTTGCGGGTCTCGATGCCAGCCAGGTTGGTTGGCAGCGATGTTGCGCGCATGTCCGTGTGTGTGCGTGTGTGTGCAACGTAACCCAGCTGGAGCTGGGTGGGTGTGGAATCCCCCCGTTATGCCGTGAAAGGAACAACGGAAACACCACGGGCACTGTTGAATCCCCGTAGGAGTGGAGGGGAATGGGGAATGGGGGACGGGGGATGGGGAGTGGTAGTGAGGCAGGGGTTCTAGACAAAGGCGTTGGGCATGGAGGGGAACAAAAAAACAAATGCAAGACACTTCTCTCATCTCTCAATAATCGGGGTCTGCTCTGGTGTCTGCGTGTGATGCTGAATGTAGTATATTCGTATATGCACATGTTGCCAGAATGGGTAATTGATGCTCGAACCTCCATCCGGATCTTTGGGTTTTACGAGAACATCCAAGGCGGGAGGAGAGAAGGTGGGGGGGGGGGGGGGGACTGTCTCAGAAAAAGGTGTTTCCTTTTTCTTCTTCCCCCTCGTCCTCCACTTCTTTCCCCCATTGAAGTCCCTATACGATGATGATGCCATGTTTTGTACGTTCCTGGTAGCTGATGGTGGTGTGTAATGATGATGTAGTGAAATAGTGGGGGGGGGAAGGGACTTCTGGGACTTCTCAACACATCTGATATCATGTTTGAATCTCGGAGGGGGGGCACAATCCGGGTGTTTCCTTAGGTGAGTAACAGGTGTCTATACGGAATACTGTGATTAACAAGTTGCTAGACAGGCAGGGGACGGATGGAGGAAGTGCAGTCGGGGTTGCTGGGTTCGGTCGATGTCTTGCGGGGGAATGGTAGGTATGCAGGTGCGTGCGTGCGTGCAGCTAGACAGGCAGCAATGGCGATTGCTGGTGTGGGTGGGAGAATCATAAGAATGGGGATTTGGATCAGGAGGTTGAGAAACAAGCAAGCTGCTTGCGATAACAGACATATAAAAAGGAGAAGCCGATGCGCCGGTCTAGAATTGCATGTGTCTTAAAAGGATGGGGTCGGATGAGACGGTGGTTCGGAGGGACGCACTGGAGGTAGCCACTTAGGTAGGTGTAGGTACCTAGGTAGGTATCTGGTAGTGGGTACATGCAACTTGGGTACGTTAACCTTAACCCATTGTGTTTATAATTAGCTTGGTCATAAGGCAAAGGCAACTAGACACTTGTAGGGAGTTACTGTGACTATCACCGGCGGATGACTGCGGTTCTGTGTTCGTGTTGCGACGAAAGGTAGCCCGAAAGGGAGTTGGGGTGAGAAGTAACTGTTTACGGGAAGTTGATGGAAAGGTCCTGTGGAATATGGAAGAATGCCAGTACCAGTACCAGTACCTAGGTACACGATATGGACATAGGCACTTATAGGTACCTACACAGTAGGGTACTGGTACAAGTTACCGACGGAGGATCAGGCGGAGGCTTAGCGCAGCAATGGCGAACTGGTAGTTAAGCCATCAATAGCGTTGGAATGTTTGCCCTTCTTTTTGGTGGCTGTTTTGACCTCTTTTTTTTTTCTTCTTCCTCCCGTCTTGGCTCCCAATTGATAGTGCCACCGGTTCGAAAGGAACCATCGATTGGAAGAATAGGTATGGTACGGGGGTGGAAGTGGATATAGTAGGTGGTAGAGGGGGGACGATGTAAGTGTACATGTGTATTAGGTACCTAGGCAGTTACATGAAGTACATGACCTCCGTACATACTACGGAGTACCAATCCAATAAGTAATGGGACATATATACATAGATATCTACGAGTAGGTACAGTACCTTGTACGGAGTACATTCCTACCACCTAGTGACGGACGGAGTACACATTCGTTGACCGAAGGCTACAGCTCACATAAACATACGAGTAGTCTATCATGTCCATCTCAACTACCTAGGTACATAGTTAGGTAGTCGGTGCTTATTCCGGGATACTATTCATAGCCGTTGTTACTACTACTAATACTTTATTCAGAGGTGATTAATGGGTTCACTCTCCTCTTCTGTTCCGCTTACTTCCTTTCCCCTCCACCGACTACGGAGTACTACCACTCGGAAGGAATCCAGCCCTATCGCCGCGCGTCACCCAATGAAAAAGGTGGATTTTGGATTCATTCCTTCTTTGATCATCTTTCATCGTCCTCATACGAGGTATCATATGCATGCACCCTCTCTTTCTCTGGCTCTGGCTCTGACTCTGACTCTGACTCTGACTGTTTTGGTGATTTCGCCTCTCCCTGCACTGTACTCCCTACTATGTATTGGACTACGGCTACGTGCTGTTTGGCACCCGAATGAAGTAGCACACTGTACCCAGGCACTGCCAGGTATAATGCAATAGAGTAGTTACCTAGCAAGTCGATACATTCCTGCCAAGGCTGCGCGGCAAGCGAAACAAACATCCTCCTCAGCTGCTTACCCTTACCCTCTGGTCACTCGTAACTCGTATGCAACTACACAGTACACAGGCGGAGAACTGCATCAAGTCACCTACGGTACTGGGTCGAGGAATCATACTCCATACCTAGACAGTTACTACTGCTACTACTGCTACTACTACTTACCTAGGTACACAGTAACACCACTTACTATGAGGTATCTATTAGGTAGTCGTACGGTCGCACCTGCCATTTCTCGCAGTGATTCTTTTCTTTATACGTGATACGTGCCTCCCTGCCCTCCCCTCTCTTTGACTCCTCACTCACTCACTCACTCTCTCTCTCTCACCACAGGACTCAGGCAATCTCGGTCTGTTTACCTGTGTCGTTTCTTTTTGTTGTCATTCCTCCTCCTCGTCCTTGGCTTGAATCAATAAAAATCCACAATCAAAGTGGACTGGACGGTTATTGGGCCTGGGAACTGCAACTGGACCTGGAACCTACCTGAACTTGGACCTTCCTGGACTGTAACATAAGCCATCCGCCATCCGCCATCCCCTCCAGTGCTCTCCTCCGTCTACTCTAAGAGACTCTAAACCCCCCCGACTCCACCCACACTTGCCTCAAAACCCTTCCCACTAAACCTACTTGTACCCAAACCCTCCACTTACTCACCCAACTTTCTCTTTCTCTCTCTCTCACTCACACTCACACTCACACTCACACTCACACTCACACTACTCTCTACCTCTCTTACCTTCGCTTTCTTCCACCCCTTCCCACCCTTCCACCTACCCTGCACTGCACTTCACTTCACTGCACGCAAGCACACGCAAAGTCAAACACCAGCATCGTCGTCTCACTGCTCTGCTTTGATCTACTCTGCTACTCTGACTACATTCTTCATCCCCAGGACTCAAGCAAAATCTCGCATTCACACTCTCACATCCTTCCTCTCCGACGCTTTCGCTTTCGCTCCCTTCGAAAGCCTTTCCTCCACCCCTCTAGCGGTCAAACTCGTTCGCGCCATCCACCGCTCCCACTCTCTTACAGGCACCGACCGACCACAAACAACAAGACATCCTCCTCCACCCCTCGCTCATCGCCATCGCGCTCCCCCTTCACCCAACTCAGTCCAGCCTCAGCTTCATTCCGTCATCTCTTGTTATTGACCGTCCCATCTCCCAGTCTCTTTCTCAGGCTCCAAGTCGCGTGCTCCTCCGACTAGCCGTCCCTGCCAAAATCTTTTGAGGGGCTTTTGAGCCACACTCCACGCCCGCGAGCACTGCCCGACCTCTGCACAGATATCCAAACTTGAGATCAGAACGAGTCAAAAAGGTAAGTAATTATCCTCATGGCCTTGCATCTCTTCATCTACCTCACTTTCCCAAGCCCTTTCCCTCTTCTACTCCTCTCCCTTCCCTTCGCTTCCCCTCCCTTCCTTCATCCTGCCCTATCGCATCCGCGAGTCACAGTCTGCGTCCGTGCCAGCAGCATGGTTCAGATTGCGTCACGGCGCGCTCTCGACCACGAAATTAAGAAGACGAAGACGAAAACGAAAACAGAAACACATGCTGACCTCCTCCAACAGAGAGTTACGAACCCCGTCAACGCCTCGCGAAATCTCTGCTCCTCTCCGCCCTCCCACCCGCGCGAGGTCTCCCTTGCTCCCTTCGCAACACCCTCTATAACCACACAGCCAGTAGCACGTCCCAGCTATGGCGGAAAATGAGGTGGATTTGGACTCCATCATAGACAGACTTCTAGAAGTCAGAGGCAGCAGGCCTGGCAAGCAGGTCCAGCTCCTTGAGACGGAAATTCGCTACCTATGCACCAAGGCTCGCGAAATTTTCATATCGCAGCCCATCCTGCTTGAGCTGGAGGCGCCCATAAAGGTAAGCAGACACCGCTCGGCCATGTCTCTGCGTCGGCCTCGCCACGTTACCAGCTGCTAACAAGCATGCCAGATCTGCGGCGACATACACGGACAGTACTACGATCTCCTCCGTCTGTTCGAATATGGCGGTTTCCCCCCCGAGGCAAACTATCTCTTCCTCGGCGATTACGTCGACCGTGGCAAACAGTCTCTCGAGACCATTTGCCTGCTCCTTGCATACAAGATCAAGTATCCCGAAAATTTCTTCATCTTGCGCGGCAACCACGAGTGCGCCTCCATTAACCGTATCTACGGCTTCTACGACGAGTGCAAGAGGAGATACAACATCAAGCTATGGAAGACCTTCACCGATTGCTTCAACTGCCTGCCGATTGCTGCCATTATTGACGAGAAGATCTTCACTATGCATGGAGGTCTGAGCCCCGATCTCAACTCTATGGAGCAGATCCGCCGCGTCATGAGGCCGACTGATGTAAGTCCTTTCCTCGCCTTGGTGTGGCTTTTCACGAATATTTTTTTTTCGGCATCTGGGTGTGTCAATTCTCAACCGTGCTAATCAACAATGCCTAGATCCCCGACTGCGGACTACTCTGCGATCTCTTATGGTCTGATCCAGACAAGGATATCACCGGCTGGAGCGAGAACGACCGTGGTGTGTCTTTCACATTCGGACCCGACGTTGTCTCTCGCTTCCTACAAAAGCATGACATGGATCTCATCTGTCGTGCGCATCAAGTCGTTGAGGATGGTTACGAATTCTTCTCCAAGCGACAGCTTGTGACGCTCTTTTCCGCACCCAACTACTGCGGTGAATTCGACAACGCTGGTGCTATGATGAGCGTAGACGAGAGCTTGCTCTGTTCTTTCCAGGTTAGCACCACCCCCAGAGTCTCCCCGATGTGTGCTTGAGAGATTGTCTGACAAAACTTTCCATGTAGATCTTGAAGCCGGCAGAAAAGAAACAAAAGTACGTGCCCAATCTTGGAAGCAGCCGACCGATGTCGATGCGAAACAAGAACCCCCCAAAGTAGTCCATACACCACATGAGAGAACAATTACCAACATCCATACAGCAGATTTGGGCGTCGATAGACAATTGCTCAGTATTGAGCCCACTCGAATTCCGCCGTCGGAACGACTTTTCGAAGAATCCATCCTTGCAAACAATCGATCCCGTTCCCCACCTTCCTTTCTCGGTGCACCCCAGAACCCCCGTCGACATTTCACCAGCTTTCACTCCTTTCCTTGGCCGCCGCCTGTGTTATAAAGTTTTTCCTTCAACCAATGGTGACGACCTCCACATGACGGCCTGCACCTCTTGTCTTGCATTTGCAATTAATGGCGTTTGAAGGCGGTCTGACGCACTTGGCTTTGTCTCATACTCGCCGGCGACAGAGGCAGAAGTATCGAGGTCAAGACCCGTCTTCCAGTTGGTACTATGCATATTCGGTGGTCATGTCAAAATCATAAAGACACGATTTCATGGTTGGACACGATTGACGGTTGTCTCGAATTCACTTGCATGTATAATTCTCGCAGCGTCAGAACATCGGATTTGGCGCCTGTTCCGCCTGGCATGGATATCTTTTCGCTGGGGGGGCTGCGCGTGATGGTTAGTTCATGCGCCCGGTCTCGCTTTCTCACCATGGACGCTGTGTCGCTGTAGGAGTGGGCCTAATCATCTGTCGTTTCCTAGCTTTGTTTTTTTACTTGTCGTCGACTATACGTGCACTGCACGACATAACCGGGTAGGGGTCATTGGGGATGTAAGCTATGGGAACGGAAACATGCGTCTCTCTCTGTGGGGATCGTGGGCTCGTCGTATTGGTCTTCGGCCTGCCGCTTCTCTCCTCTTCTTGATGGGGAGAGAGAAAATAAGCAGGATGTTTAGAGGTCTTCTTGGAGGGGCTTCCCGGGGGTTTCACTACTCTTTTCTTTTCTTGCCTCCAACCATCACCATTATCTCCTTTGTTCGAATGCTATATTTTGGCTTTACCGTTTAACGCTTTCCTTTTGCACAAATATGAATTCCTCATAGTGGCATCGTGGATCATTGTTGTGCTTGCTACCTTTGTCCGTTTGAGTGCATGCTGTTTTATTGATGATACATCGACGAAAGTCGGGACAAAGATTGTTGATTGCTCATCCCCACTGCGGATAGATGCAACGACTTCACTGTGCTTGGACTCCTCGAATGCTTCATGTCATCATTTGGTTACTAGCAGCTTCCTGAACAGTATCGGCCATATGCATGCATGTATCCATATACTTATGTAATATCTCACTTTTGTCATGTATTCCATATTCAACCTTCTTCCAGGACGACAGTTTTCAGCTTGGTCGAACGGTAATCATAACACAAAGATGAAATGCAAACATGTCCGTCTCTGTATGTGTCAGTCCCCAAGCAAAACCACCCATTCCTTCATTCAATTTACGACATTCACCGGCCTCGCAGCCAATCTCGTCCCACGATCAAACAGATTATCGGGATCGTACTTGGACTTCAGCTCCTGCAATCTCTTCACGTTTCCTCCATAGATGGCCTCGGCTGGGACGTCGGCCTCGGCATAGTTGCCGTACAAACCCACACCCTCCTGGCTCTGGTGGACGTCCTTGCTGGCAGCGGAGCCATCGGTATTGGGAGGAACCGCGACACCCGCGGACGCCTTCTTGAGGAGGCCACGGCTGAAGGCCAGGACCTCGTCGTCCAGCTTGGGGTCGTGCCACTTGAGCACCGTCGCGACATTGTAGTATTCTCCGCGGTTCGAAAACGCCGTGTCCGCGTTCCCGACCTCTGCGATCTTCTGCCACGGGATCGTCTCGAACAGCATCAGGCTCTCACGCATGCCGTCGTGCGCGGCCACAAAGTCCATGAACTCCCCGCGCAGGGCCGCCACGAAGCCCGCGTCGATGGGCAGCTTGAACGCACCGCCGCCGAAGACCTTGCGCCCGCCCCATTTCGCCGTGTCGTTCAGCTGCGAGTTGACCCTCTCGTACGGGATCGAGGCGGCGTCGTTCGCGATGGGCTCCAGCGCCAGCAGGTCCGCGAAGAAGGCCTCGCCTTCCTCCTGCGTCCCGTTGTGGAAGATGTGCGCCAGCACGACTGGCCCGCTCACGGGCGGCGGCGCGTCGCTGAACCCCCAGGCGATGGCCTGGTTGCCGTCGTTGGCCGTGTCGAACTTGTTCACGAAGTCGACCACCTGGGACAGTTTGTCCGGGGTGAAGAGGAGGAGGCCAGAGTAGACGGGATTCGGCTGCGGGTGGCCCTGGAGGATGAAACAGGTCGTGACGCCGAAGTGCTGGCCAGCACCTCGTATGGCCCAGAAGAGGTCGGCGTGCTGGGTCCGGGATGCGGTCACGAACTCTCCTGACGGGAGGACAATCTCGACGCCGAGGAGGTTATCTGCGGTGAGGAAAAGAGGAGTCAATGTCAATTCGCCCAGCAAGCAGGTAGACCGTAGTCACCAGAGGGAAAAAGAGGGAGAGCGAGAGAGAGAGAGAGAGAGAGAGAGAGAGAGAGCAATAGCTAAGGACCCAACGCTACTCACCAATTGTCAAGCCATACTTCCCGCTGAGATACCCATATCCTCCGCCCAACGTCAATCCGCCAACACCCGTATGGTTGACCGTCCCGCCCACAGTAGCGAGGCCATACTTCGCGGCCTCCACATCGACATCTTCCCAATTGGTTCCCCCCTCGGCCCTGATCGTTCTTGCCTCGGGATCGACCGTCACCTTGCGGAGCTTGGAAAGATCGATGACCAAACCGTCCTCTATGGACGCCGAGCCGGATGTGGAGTGGCCGCCGCCTCGAACAACGAAGGGGATGCCGTTGGCTTTGGCGAATTGCAACGTTCTGGACACATCTTGCGGGCCTGAGACCCTGACGACGCAGGCCTGCGTTTGCCGTTAGTGGATGGTGATCTCAATTATATCTATCACCAAGGAGCATTCGTTAGAGAAAAAACAGGAAAAGAACAAATGTACTCACGGCTCTCTTCTCGCAGTGATCACTCCACCTCTTGATGCTCGCCTCGTACCCCTCCGAATCAGGAATGAGCACTTCCACTCCACTGCCTCGCAACTGCTGGCGCAGAGTCTCGTAGACGTCGGAGACGGTGCCGACCATCTTGGTCAATCGTCTGTCCTTTCCCGATCAAGACTAATTTCCTTTTGTCTTCTCCCTTCTTTCTTTTCTCTTCTCCTTTTGCCTGGTTGGTTCTGCTTCCGAGCGATGATTCTGGATTTGCAGAGTTTCGGCGCGTACAGACTGAGATAGTTTCCTTAATACCGAGAGTGATGGTTAAAATGCTATAACGAAAGTGACTAAAGGTACCTTTGTCTGTTTTTATTTTGATTGAGTAAACAAGCTGTTCCCCCTCCCCCCTTCCGAATCTGTCCCAGTGCTGAATCAGACGTCAGCAATTAGACCTTGTCTGGCAACGAGGCAGGATAGATATATGGCCAATTGAACACGGGGTGCCTGGGTGGACGGAATAGAAGGAAGGAAGCATACAAAGTGGTACGATACTCTTAAAATTCCTCGGCCTGAGGTCGTGTAGCTTTGGGATATAAAAGGGAGATGAAGAACCGGGTTAGCATTGTTATTCCGCCTGCCAAAGACTTCCTGCTTGTAGTTATATGGAGGTAACCAGCTGCTTTTGCTCGGCGATTCGACCTTTTCCAATCGAGATTAAACTCGTTCAAATAATGCATCCATCCCATTTGCTTGTTGCTTTTTCTTTCAAAGAACGAAAAACTTCACGAGGTCTGGACCGAGCTGATGGTTAGAACTAACAATTGAGGCGCGATAGGTGAGTTCGCAGGGCCCTTTGTTTTCGTGGGATCGCGGGTGGGCAGGATGCTGATTGGGCGGCATGGGCGGTATTGCTCTTCGAAGCTCTTTCAGCTGGGCGGACGGGCGCTCCGGTTGACGCAATGCGGGGTTCTCAATTCTTTTCGTCCTACTCGAGCGGAGGTTATGAATGGTACCTTGTGAAATATGCCCCATGACATAGTAAGTAACTTTTGGCGATGGCTCAACGGTCCTCTATGTACGCGATCGAGCTCCACGTGACCCATTCATTGTGTGGAAGATAACCCCTTTCGTCTGTGTCTGTGCAGTGTCCATTGGAACTTTCCTGATCGAGTAGGTTTTTGGATTTCCGTCGAAGACACGAGGACCCCAGCGGGCCTGCCAATCTCAACGCCGTAAAAAGCGTGCTGGAATGACGCGTGAGCGTTCTGTACGGATGCCTTACTCGTACCTGCACCTGCCGTCACCGGTATGTATTGCCCTCGTTGGGCAACCACCACCATATCAGTCATCTTTCCTCAGGCGCTACCGTCTCAACTTCCATTGCGAGTGGGAAGTTCCCCCCCGTGTAGCGTCACCTTCATCATCGTCGTCCCAAGCCATAGCTAGGTATCCAACCGCCCTTGACGCCCGGATCGCCTGCACATGATGGCTTATTGACGCGTGTAGTCGTTCGTTACTATGGATTCCATCGTCGGAGACACCTCTAGCTGGCCTCTACACCTTCAAGGCGCTGCTGAGATACTCCGGAATTTCGCTTATCACGACGCCCTTATGAGTGTGACAATGGACCGCGGCCCTCTCATTCTAGGCTATTACTGGCAGGATGATAACGGCAACGAGGTTACTCATGTGGCTGACTCGTACTTTGGTTTTGCCTCCACTCCTATCTTCCATATCGCCCAGACCAGTGCCTTGCTATCCAACGTCAGGTCTGGCGTTAGAACGACAACGCACTGGAGGTTTTGGCCAATATGTATCGGAGTGCAGCTCTTCTGCACCTCTATCGATCCATCTACTGCTATCGCCCAGATCTCAAAGCGGTGTATCATGATAGCATTCAACGAGAGGTGGATGCAGTCATGGACTACACGTGCTCTTTGCCTTCGCGAAGTTCGCCGCAATGCACTACCCTCTTCCCTATTTTTATGTGTGGCGCCGAAACTGACAGGTTCCATCACACACAGGCGGTGCGAGATGGCTTCCAGTCAATTCCGAGATCGCGGAATTTCGAAAAACTTCAACCATGCGATCTCGGTCTTGGGAAGATCTATGGAAGTCCCGCTTTGTGGGGGTCCAAGAACACATCCCTTGCAGAACCGCTAGATTGGCTCGATATTCTGCAACAGCGTGGCTGGAAATCATCACTTTCGTGAACGGCACGGCGCATTCACAGACCCCATGGGGTCCTACCCTGTCACTACGGCTACGGCGGTCGGAGCGAGCTCTGATTGGGCGGCGTCAACGGCGGAGTTGCATGCACCAATCATAGTTGAGGCCATCAAAAGCCCCCCCAGAATGGACTTATCTTTACTGACAATGTTCATAGTTACGCCGAGTACATAAATCATCGCGAAATGCTAATGGAGGCTCATATACTTAAGGTGTTGAGATGCTCGTTCATCTCACAGAGCACATGGTGTCTTTGAACCTTCATCGCCTTTATTCAAACATTCTATCAACTTGTCCCTACCATGGCCGCCGCATCAGACGGTTTTGCCGCTGGGAGAAGCCTTCCATCTCTCCAGAAATTGAATTCGACCACCTGGAAGATATGGAAACTCAGCGTGGGCCAGGTCGAAATGACACAGCAACAAATTCATCGCGGACTGAAATCACGACACGCTCAGATGATTGCAATCGGACTTGGTATTAAGAAAAAGGCTCAAAGGTCACATCACATGCAACTTGTGATAGATTCTTCTACGGAACGATCAACTATGAACACCTTGCATAGATTCCCCAGTGCGGTCAGCTCGATAAGCCCATCTAGTCCCCGACGTGATCCGTCATATCTGTTATCTTGTTCACTCAAACTCTTCTCCTCGTAACAAATCCGGATGGCGCGGGACGATCAGTAGGAGGTATTCCAGTAGGAGGTGGTCCGGTAGGAGATGGTCCGGTAGGAGGTGGTCCAGTAGGACTGCCGCTGGGAGGAGGTAGAGATTCGAATCCACTCGCTGGTGGTGGAGGTAGGTCACTAGGAGAGCCGGTAGGGCGAGGGCCATGTCCACTGGGCAATTCGGCGACACGGACATGGGCCGCATCAGAGGGAAAGGGAGCACCTGATGGAGGTGGTCCAGAAGGAGAGGCACCGGATGGACGAGGACCAGGAAATTGATCAGTGGGGATAGGAGGCTGTCCACTGATGTCGGATGGTCTGATGGATGGGAAGTTGGATGGACGGGGACCAGAAGGAGCTTTTGCACTCTGGGGTGGCAAAGGAATGGAAGAAAGGCTCTGGGCAGAAGCCAGTCCGACGAGAGCAATGAAGGCGATAAAGTTGAATTGAACCATTTTCGAAGGTAGGTGGAAGTGTACGAGGTACGATGGATTTGCAAGAAGGTGATCTGAGACTGTGAAGTATTGTATTGAAGTGCAATGCTGCGTTTTGGACGTCTTGTTGAAGGTATTATATACATGCTTCTTTCTATGTTGGAAGACTTTTGACGCAAGATCCTCTCCTTACGGTGACGCGTCGCATCGTGCGCTTTCCACAACCATTATCTTGAGTACTCAATGAATTGACTTGGATTCTGATGCTCTCTGTTCCTACTAATTCGTTTGTTTAGACGTAGCAGTAGTGGGCTTGTTTCAAGTTTCATAACGACAATGGAAGATTGCACTAAACGGGACTAGCATCGTGCGCCAAAGTGAATGGTCCCACAGTGACGCGGCAACACCACGACATTGCTGTCATTATGCTGGTCGTTGAAAAACGCACAGAAATCAAATCTAGCCTAGTACATGAGAGTGGTTGGTTTCAAAACGATAACCTCGTCGTCATGCCTACGAATCAATGCCAAAGACAAAATGGCACGGCTTGCGCGTCCATGACCACAACTCAGTGCAGGTAGTTAATCTAAGATATGCTTGCGTAGTAAGTATTCGCAAGGACGGCGAGGAATTTCATAATCTCCCAAGAGCCAATGTGAGATGTCTACATTGTCGTTCCTGGAGCGGAAGCGCTGCAGCTGTAGCAAAGCCAGTCGGCCGTTCCAAAAGAGCCACCAACACACTAAAGGATAATCAATCGTGAAGGTACAAAAGGGTGATGATAACTGAATCAATGCCCTTACGGTCATAGATTTGATTACGACGTTCTCATCCCCCTTGATTTCATGGACTGACGTAGATCGTACCGGAAAGCACGCTTCATGACCATATGCCATCCATGATGATGATTCTATGAGTAAAGGGATAGCTCATGCCTGTATGGAACAAGATTATTTTTGAGGAAACACTAGCTTCCTTCGAACATCTAGATACACTAGACGGTGTAGATACAAGAATAACACGAAATAGCTCACGAGGCCATTTGATTTCTATCTTTTGGTTAGAGAATTCTACCCCACTACTACAGTACTGGTAAGTAGCATGAACAAGCAATATTGAAAGTACGGACCTACGATAGAGAACATAGTGGCATTCCAATCCGTCAACGTACAAAAACTTGGAGAAGACGCACAAGGGAATTATTCCTTAAGAACATCTTGCAATACATAATCAAATGTAGTCTAAAGATCTCGTTGTAATCATGGAGAGGGTGCTCTCGATTTCAGGACTAAAGTCGGATCTTATTGTGCGCCGAAGATCCGCGAGCCCTATTGATCGCCTCCTCGTAATGGCAAGTTGCATTATTAACATGATGGATGGAAAAAGACACATCAATTGAACTTTAGTAGCCCGGTGGACAAGAGCATACTGATCCATCAAAGTCTTCAGATTTTTGGACGTGAAGAACTGCGTCTCTCTGTACTTTTGGATGTGTTTTTGTTCCACGTTTATACCATCGCAATTGTCTGACGTACCTTGTACCGAAAAGTCCATTCTCGACTCCGCCCGCAATCCGACCCTCCGCCACTACTCTCTCTAGATGGCCACACTCGCCTCAAGTACATCCCCTATCTCGACCCACAGAAGGCTGCTCTGCAAGCCGTTAGCATACGAAATAGACGAATCAGCCCCTGTGGATTGACAACTGGATCAAAGGGCCAGCCGCTGTGCGCCGAGCAAGTGAGGGTGAACATAATTTTAAGTAGCGACACGGACTTTTCGCTAAAGTTCTGTTAAAGCCGACTAATTCCCATGTTCCTTTCCAAGTCCCCAATCGTATTCGCTGCAATTGCCATGATCTGCTATATTGAAAGTGGCTCCTTGGGGCACTTTCTTAGGTGTATAAGATGTCCGCGTGCTGCGTATGACGATGAAGGGATCACAATATAATCGTGATAAAATACTCCGAGATTCACTGTCAGTTAGACCAGTGTATCCTCGAAGGAACTCAACGCCAACCGTATACGTCACAGTATATTCATTCGTCTTTGATTCATCCTTGCTCGAATAGCACACTCAAAACGCGCCCCTCATGGCGAACTCAACGAGATCTCGCTCTCGCTCTCGCTCTCGCCCAAGTCGCCCTTGTAGTCCACGGCTGCATCGTCTGATCTCGACCCAATTCCCAGACGACCATTCGGTCTATCATCATGAAGTTGGAGAAGGCATTGTTCTTGATGAAGCCCGACAATCCCTTCGCGGAGTTGATTGCACGGGTAAGGCCTCATCTGACTTAAGTAGTAGCTCCGAGGACACAGATACGGATAAAGACAGTTTATCGCCTTCAAGACAGGAGTCTAAGTTTGAGGAGATAGAGAGCAGCATGCCTAATGAGCGCGATGTCGAGGCAACCTCTCCACCGCTAGAGAAGAATGTATCTTCACGAACCACGACGGATCCAAACCTTGTAAGCATTTCCGTATTGCCACGAAGAAGCTAGTTGAGATATTGATTGTGATGAGGTTACTTGGGATTCCCCAGAAGATCCTGCAAATCCCAAAAATTGGTCTATGAAACGAAAATGGGCAGCCACCTTCATCGTCTCTGCGTTCACACTGGTTTCACCAGTATCGTCGTCCATGATTTCTCCAGCTTTGCCAGCAATAAGCAGAGATTTCCATCTCACTCAAGATGTCGAGGCTTCGATGACCCTCTCCATTTTCGTCCTAGCTTATGCAATTGGGCCGTTGTTCCTGGGGCCTCTGAGTGAAATCTATGGCCGTGTTATCGTAGTCCAGTTGTCAAATCTATTCTATATGGCATGGAATCTAGGCTGCGGGTTTTCACAGAACGAAAGACAGTTGATGGCGTTCCGCTTCATGTCCGGTCTCGGTGGAAGTGCTTCGCTCGCTATAGGTGGAGTAAGTTCTCTATCATCCTTCCCAGCTAGGTTTTCTAATCAAGCATAGGGGCTTCTCTCCGACACCTTTCATGCGGAGCAAAGAGGTAAAGCTATTTCCATCTATAGTATGGCTCCTCTACTCGGCCCAGCCATTGGGCCTATTGCTGGGGGCTTCATTGCGCAGAACACAACATGGCGCTGGTGCTTCTGGTCGACTACCATCTTCACAGCCATTGTGCAAATGTTTGGATTCTTCTTCCTGCAGGAGACTTACGCACCCAAACTTCTTGCCCGGAAACGAGACAGACTCCGGAATCAAACAGGAAACATGCAGCTGCATACAGAGTATGACGCACCAGACAAGACCCTTTTCAACATTCTCAAGGTGGCACTGCAACGGCCTTTCCGACTTCTTTTGACACAGCCCATCGTCATCGTCCTTTCTTGTTATATGGCTTACCTGTATGGGTTGATGTATCTGATGTTATCCACCTTTCCAAGGCTTTGGTCAGTCCGCTATGGACAGTCAACCGGGATCGGATCTCTTAACTTCATTTCCATGGGTGTTGGGTTTTTCGTCGGCACACAGGCATGTGCACCATTGAACGATGCTATATATCGTAAGATGAAGAAGCGGAACAACGGTGTTGGAAAGCCAGAATTCCGTGTTCCTATGATGATTCCAGCCTCATTCCTCGTACCCATTGGGTTGTTCATGTATGGCTGGAGCGCACAAGCAAAGACTCACTGGATAGTTCCCAACATCGGGGCGGCCATCTTCTGCGCCGGGGTCATTGTGGGATTTCAGTGCATACAAACGTATCTTGTTGATTCATACACACGTTATGCGGCATCTGCTATCGCAGCAGCAACATTTTTGAGGTCGTTAGCTGGGTTTGGTTTTCCTCTTTTTGCGCCTGCAATGTATGATGCCTTGGATTTCGGCTGGGGCAATAGCTTGTTAGGATTTGTTGCCATTGCTCTTGGGGTTCCGGCACCCTTTATGTTATGGAAATATGGCGAAAAGCTACGGAATAAGAGCAAGTTTGCTGCTGGAGGTTAAGGTCTGGCAAAAGTGGCGGGTCATTGAAGCTTTGTGACTGAATCAGCATGGGCTGCACCTTCTACACTAACTAACAGTCCTAGTTACGTCGGGGGGACTCTCAGATCCCTCCTGCATTATACTGTGTACTGTGTAGTGTCTAGCTATGGGTTAATTTCAGGTATACGCAACATGGAACAACAGCAAGCCTAATATTGTTAAAGAACGGACAAGTAGCACCAGGTGACCGCCTTTAGGACAATAGGGGTTCAGTACTTTCGTACCCCAGTTGTTCCTAGCTGTACTCTATACAAGTAGGTTCGTCCGGCAATGTACAGCCAGTCGTCCACAAACTGCATATTGACAGCAACATCCCCCCGCGCGACGTTGATCTTGCCAATCAGCTGGCCACCAGGACTAAATACATCGACACCGCCCGTAACGCCTCCATACACTCTTCCCTCAGCATCAACCTTGATGCCATCGGGGAATCCCGCATCTGCGTACGCAAAGATTCCCGCTAGCTGTAGCGGAGGGCTGTTCGATCCTTCCGGCTGAATGTTGAACTGATAAATGGTTCTTTGACCAGCAGCATCAGCTGAAGTCTCGCCGCGAGCTGTGACGTACAATCTATCCTCGCCCGGAGAAAGAGCAACACCGTTGGGATTAAGCCAGATACCCGTTCCGGCGCCCGCGACCTGACGCACATCGCCAGTGTTGATGTCCCAGCGCCATACGCCATTTGCAAGCTCTGGCTTGAGAGTATCGTTGAAGTTGTCGAAGCCATAGTACCCGTCAGTGAAGAATGCAATACCGTCAGAAGTGAGAACGACATCGTTCGGGGAATTGAATCGATGACCGAGGAAGTTGTTAAGCACGACCTCCGTCTCAAGCGTGAGTGGATCCATGCGCACGATGCCGCCAGGGTTGGTGTAGTTGCCTTCCTGTGCCCAGTAGATACTCCCATCATGATAAAACGCCCCGTTTCCCACTGTAAGTTGAGGTTGCGGGTATACTTTTTCGACGACAGGTGTGCTTTCGTTAAGGTTTACTCGCCACACCCAGGGCATTGCATCGGTCGAGAAACCCTCCTTGGGGGGATGGAGCTCAGCAAAGAAGATGCAGTTGCATTCAAGAGAATAGACAGTTCCATCATGCACGAGGCGATTGGCGAAAGAAGGGCCGGGTGGGAACTCAAAGATAGTCTCTACTGATTTGTTGCTTTGGAAATCATCAACCCCAAGAACCTATAAGAAGATGAGTGACGACCTTAACCCACTGTGGATGCTGATACACTTGCTATCCATGTACGTACCTCATAGAAACCTTGGTCAAAAACGATGAAGTTGGCGTCGCGGAGAGATTGAAGAGTTTTTGCAGCAGTTGATTCGCTTTCATCGAGAGACTCGGTCTCCCACCACGTAGTAGTAACATTGCGATTGAAGTTCTTCACTGGAAACACGTTCCGGAAACTCGGCGAGACCTCGACGATTGAAGGCCCGACCTTCAACTCTGAAATGACCCCTCTGGGCACGGCAACCGAGCTACATGAACAGGTGAGTAGCGAGACTACGACAATAGCGGGTCGAAAGTGAATTTTCATATTGCTGATTATCAGTACAAATTGGGGAGCTACGACTATTGGATCAGAGCAAGTAAGTACACGTTATATATACTTCACTTACCCCGCTCCTTTCATCCCATTGATATTTTGTTTTCCATAGCCAGCTACATAACACGGCAATGATTTACATAGTAACCGTGGAAAATGACGATGTTTGTTCGCGCTGGGGTGTTTCGGGATCAAAGCCGTGGACCGCCGGAAAGATACCGAGCAGTAACCTCTGCACCAAGATTTGCGGTGCCCTGTTACTAAGACTTTCGATTTCACTGGCAAGACTACAACCGGAGCGGGCTGCGACAGGAAATCTTGCAGTGTCTCAGGGGGTGGACAATACTACCTTGGACAACAGACTAGATAGTCACCTGACTGTCTGTCAGGTGATTGGGGGTGGTTGAAATCGACCCCAAAGGTATCTCTGGGGACTCTATTTGTACTGTATGGGAAATCGCGTTCTTACTGTGTATATAACGACCTGTACAGTTACACGGCTACACTCAAGTGCCTCCCTCCCTGACCCAGGACTTCAAGATCTAAAATCACGACATGTCACAACAAATCCTATTTCCAAGCAATGTACGGTACTAACTCATTTGTGCCTATCAAGATCGACTGTTGTTCATCTTAAAGTCCAAAAGCCTTTGTTTCCGGTTCTGAGACTTCTACTCGATCTGAAGTGTAAACTCGGTGGATTCAAGACCACTCGCCTGGGCTCCAACAACAATGGCTCCAGAACCCCCTGCCTTTGCACGCACAATAGCCAAAGACAGCCCTCTAAACGCTTTCCGTTCCTTCGATGGGAATACGGTCATATCTGTTGGATCTCCATTATCAGTTGACACGATCTCCCCAGCACCTTTGACAGAGAAAGTAATTGTCGGGTTAGCTTCTGGCACAACGTCGCCCTTCTCATCCACGACAGCAACGGTTAGGAATGATAGGTCCTCTCCGTTGGCCCTGATGCTTGTTCGGTTTCCATACGTCGTGATATTCAATTTTGCGGCAGCTCCAGTTGTGCGCCTCGTTGCGGTCGCCCACTCTTTGCCATTCTTGTAGGTGACTACCTTGACTTCACCGGACTGGTATGTAACTTTATCCCACCGGAATCTGTAAGTAGATGTTGCTTTCTTTTGGCGACCTTGTGATACTCCATTCACAAAGAGTTCAGCCTCGTCGCCAGACGAGAAGACGTGGACGGGCGTGACTTGACCAACTCTGTCCGGCCAGTTCCAATGCGGGAGGATATGGGCCATCTTCACATTCGGATTCCAACGTGCCTGGTACAAGTAGAACCTATCCTTTGGGAATCCTGCCAGATCGATTATCCCGAAGTAGCTGCTCCGCGACGAATCGAATGGTGTTGGCTCGCCCAAATAGTCCCAACCCGTCCAGACGAACTCACCGCCGACGTACGGATACTGGTCCTGGCCGGCGAATACCTTGTCGGGCGAAGCTCCCCACGACACTGCATACAACTCATAAGAACTCACTTGTCGTGTACGGGAATCGGCGCCTTGCCCATTCGTATTCACCGTGACGCTGTTACCACTCGCGACGGGGAACAGGTACGTCCCTCTCGAGCTGACCACGGAAGAGCTTTCTGTACTAAAGATCATTTTGTCTGGAAATTTACTCCTGAAGTTCTGGAACGTGGGCGCTCCGGTACCCATGCCTTCGCCTTGATAGTTGAGACCAATGAGATCTACTATGGAAGTAAATGCTGTATCGGGCCCCGCGTTGTTCATTCCCACTGTCGTGCGACGAGTGCTATCTTCTTCTCGAATGATGTCTCGAAGTCTTTGGGCAGCCGTGGCGCCGTTGCTGCTCCGTTGCTCCGCGATTTCATTGCCGAAGCTCCAGGCCCAGACCGATGGATGGTTGCGATCCCGACGGATGAAAGCTCGGAGATCGGGCTCGGACCAGTCTGCGAATATGGTCTGGAAATCGTTCTTCACTTTATGGCTTCCCCAGGTATCGAAAATCTCGTCGAGGACCAAGATTCCCATGCGGTCTGCGAGCTGGAGCAGTTGTGGAGCAGGAGGATTGTGCGAGGTCCGAATGGCGTTGGATCCCATATCTTGCAGCATAGATAGTTGACGTCTAGCTGCTACGATGTTAAAAGCAGATCCAAGTGATCCCAGGTCGTGATGCTGGCAGACCCCTTGTAGATAAATCCTCTGCCCGTTCACTCTGAGGCCGTCGCCGGCATATGACACCGACCGAATTCCGAATTCAGTCTCGTACGTATCTACGACTTCTCCACCAACATAGATATTCGTGACTGCTACATGCAAATTCGGTTCTTGCGCTGGGGGAGGACCCCATAACTTCGGGTTTTGCAATATGACCGTTGCATTGGTCGTCACTACCGTCCCCGCCTTCACACTGATATTGGCGCTCGGGAACTGACCAATCTTGCTTCCTCGACTCCCCGTCCCGGCGTCCAGGATATAAATATCTGTCACAACCTGAACCTCTGTCGCCTCGCCACTTTTCGCCGCACTCTTCACCTGCACGGCGAGGTCTAAAGTAGCAGTCTGCGCAGAGACTGACTTTGATGTCACATACGTGCCTGATTGACCAACGTGAACTGGATGAACTTTCGTCAACCACACATCCCTATAAATCCCCGCTCCAGGATACCATCTCGAGGACTCAAGCGGTTGGTCCAGTCGAATCGCCAACTGATTATCCCCAAGCCTCAAATACGGAGTCAGATCCAATCGAAACGAAGCATAGCCATAAGGCCAACCGCCAACAAGGTTCCCATTAAGCCAGACAGCCGCGTAGGACATCGCGCCGTCGAGGTCCAGGTACACTGTTCTGCCCTCGTCGGCAGAGGTGAGAGAAAGTCGCTTTCGGTACCAGCCGATGCCCTGGCTGGGTAGGCGGCCCATGCCTCCTCCCACGGGCGCATTGCTTCCGGTGTAGAATGGACCTTTGACCGCCCAGTCGTGAGGGAGGTTCAGAGACTCCCAGGAGCTGTCGTCGAAGGTTGCTTGGGCGTAGGTTACATTTTCTGGCGGGTCTTTGGGTCTTTGCACGCGGCGGGAAGCGTCTTTGACGAAATCGTTGGCGGAGGGTAGGATCCAAGGCTTCAATTTGGCGTAGCTGAGATTGTCTGGGTTGGTGGTGAAGCGTTGAAATCGCCAGTTCGCGTTGATGTTGGTTCGTTCACGAACGGGAAGCTGCGACGCACGTTCGCGATGGCCATTGATGTTGTCTGCGTTTGCGCCATGGTTGAATAAGATCATGAAGCTCAAGAGCAGGAGACGGAACACTTCGTGTATTGTAGACATGGTCAACGCTTCAATTGCGGCTGCTCGCCGGTTGTACGATCGATGAGGGTTCTGTATTCCTCACCAATATGAAAGCATCACGGTGGTAGATATTTATCTGGAGAACAGTTACAATGTGGGCCCCTCCTCTCCATCTTGCTCAATATCAAATGTGGGGTATTTGGATCTATATAGATCTTCCATCAAGTTAATATAAGCATCCATAGCGGTGGCCCATAAGGGCAAGGTAGATAGTAAAAGTTTGTCCCGGTTGACGCAACATAGTTTCAGTCATCAACGATATCTTTATTGAGCGCATCTTCTCGCGGCATAAGAAATAAGTCTTACCAGGCGCATATCTTAATCAAACCCTCACGGAAACATCTAACGACGAAAGCTTGAAATCCGTACGGTTGACAAAAGATAGGTAGCCATTGCATGTGGGGTATTTCATGAAAGACTGTACGTGTATTTGACATGGGGAAATTGCATCGAATACAGGGAGACGTATTGGTGGAGAAATGGCAAGATGGATATTCCTATGTGCAAGGTATATGCAAACAGCCGGGATATGTATATTCAACTCGTCGCTCTACTCCCTCTCTCCTCCCTCTCTTACAACGCTCTTACAACACTCTCCCCCTCTCACTTACAATATACTTTTATAATATACTCTCACAACACACTCCCATTCTTGCTTATAACTTACTCTTACTTTATACTTTACTTTATACCCTTATAACATAATCTTACAATATACTCTTATAACATACTCTTACAATATACTCTTATAATACTTATAACACTCTCCTCTCTTACAATACTCTCTCCCCCTATATTCACTTCGCATAATGAGTACATGGCTTACTCGAAACTCTCGCTTTGATGCGCTCGGCGCATCTAAGAACCAGAGGCGCTCAATACGATGGTAAAGGGATTCATTCGTGCCGTGAAAATTCGAAAAAAAAAGTACTCTACCTACGAAATGCAGCAGATATCCTGTTGTACATACATTACATTACACATGTGCGTTCGACGCTGAAGGACCATCGCTAAACTGTAACCGCCCACGCCGCCCCTGCATGGATGAGACACATCAACCTAAGCGCCTGAGGATTTGTCTCAGCCTCGCAAAACTCCGACTAGCATCATATAAGCGCCACTTCCTTCTACTGAGATGATGTGTAAAATGTGACGTTCGATAACTTTTGCTTTTGCACGTACGCGAACATCTACGTCTACTCCAGCAATACGCGGGAGATCACATAGATCAAGACAAAGCTCTTGAGAAGTCTGCGCAAGGCTATACGTTGATTTACATTTTTGCATATATTGCATCTATCTCCTCTCTTTCTGACTTGCGCCATTTGATTTAGCTGTAAGTATATTTTCATAGAATTAGGTTGCATTCACAGGCCTCCATCACAATATACCAGACTTGAAATATCCTAACCATGAACTGACTTAGGAAACGCTTCAAAGCACAGGCCGGGGAGGATTTTGAAGGACCTAGACCCACCCATAGATCGCAATTCACTGGGGAGAGAGAGGAGAAATGGAAGCAACAGCCAGCATCATCGCCGTCCTCCAGCTCTCCGCCAAAGTAATCCAATACACGCGATCCGCCGTCGGCTCGAAAGAAGTTCGAACGCGACTGCGCGAGGAGATCAGGGCATGCAAGACAGTCCTCGAGCAGCTCAAAGACGAAGCCGACGACTCTGAGGCCGGTGTCGCGTGGACGGAGACAATCAAGGTGCTCGAAAGGCCGGATGGCCCGTTGAGTCGCCTGAAGGATGCACTGGGGTTGATTAGTCGGAAATTGGAGAGAAAAGATGGCGTTTCCTCGGCGCTGGTGTGGCCGTTGAAGGAGAAGCAGGTGCAAGAGATTGTCAATACGATGGAGAGGGAGAAGGCACTGTTGATGCTGGCGGTGCAAAACAATTCGAGAAAACTCTTGCAGGAGGTCGTGAATCATTCGAAGGAGGGTTCGAGACAGCTCGAAGCTATTCGTCTTGATTTGGAAGAGATGGCGGATAGTTTCACCCTACTTCGCGCGGACACGAAAAGGGGTTTTCAGAGTTTCCACGAGCGAGAAGATGATCAAGAAGCCCTTGCCGAGCGGCGAAAGATACTCGACTGGGTTACGGAGATGGAACACTCTAGTCAGCAAGATGATTTTGTCTCCAGGCGGGAGCCGGGCAGTGGAAAATGGTTTCTCGATCAAGCGGAATACCAAGATTGGCTCGCCAGTGAAGGGAAAACGTTGTTTTGCGTTGGCATTCCAGGGGCAGGCAAAACAATGATCACTTCCATGGTGATTCAAGAGCTATGCGACAAGTACCAATATGATACCAGCGTCGGGATAGCTTATGTGTACTGCAACTTCAAGAGTAAGGATGAGCAGACGTTGGAAAACCTTTTGGCCGTTTTGCTGAGGCAGCTGCTCCATGGACAGGATACCTTGCCTGATCACGTTGTCGAACTTTACGAGAATTGCCGAAGAAGAAGAACCAGACCCACAAAGGATGACATGCTTGAAGCCCTGGGGGAAGTTGCCAAATCTCTCTCCAAGGTATACATTCTCGTAGACGCTCTTGACGAATGTCATGACGGCGATGGTCGAAGAAGACGTCTAATATCCTATCTACAATCGTTGCGAGAGGATCACAAAGTCAATATCTTTGCCACATCTCGTTTTATTCCGGAAATCACCGATTGCTTCCAGGGAGATGAAGTCCTGGAGATTCGTGCGAGAAGCGAAGACATACAACTATATCTTTACGGTCAGATGTTTCGTCTCCCAAATTTCGTAGGCCGCAACACAACCCTACAAGAAGAAATCAAAAGTGCCATTAGTTCCTCTGTGGATGGAATGTTCGTGGAAAAATCCCTATCTTTGGAGCAGATTCTAACAGTTTGATAGGTTTCTGCTCGCTCAACTACACCTCGAGTCGTTGACCGGCAAAAGATCGCCCAAAGCCATCCGCATCGCACTTGAAAAACTCGCTACAGGCTCTGATGCCTACGATCATGCGTACAGGAATGCCATGGAGCGGATCGAAGGGCAAGTGGTAGACCAAAAGGAACTAGCCCGGCAGATTCTCTCCTGGATAATCTGCGCGAAACGGCCTCTGAAGACGATTGAACTCCAACATGCTCTCGGTGTCGAAATCGGCGAAAGTGAGATTGATGAAGACAATTTCTCTCAGATCGAAGACATGATATCCGTGTGCGCGGGTTTGGTCACTGTTGACGAAGAGAGCGAGATCATCAGATTGGTGCACTACACCACACAGGAGTACTTTGACAGAACGCAGAATGAGTGGTTTCCGAATGCGGAATCCGACCTTACCGAGATCTGCACGGCTTATCTCTCTTTCGATACCTTCGAGACGGGATTCTGCACAAGTGAGGCCGCTTACAGTGAGCGGTTACAAACTTACAGACTCTACGACTATGCATCACGGAACTGGGGGCACCACGCAAGAAAGGTTCCATATGCTTGCGAACAAGCAACTCAGTTTCTGGCATTGCCTCATCATGCCGAAGCCTCTTCAGAAGGATGGTTCGAGGCCCTTGGTCGAAGTCTGGCCTCCGTCAGTGAGAATAGACTACGACAATTCGACTCGTTGAGGGTTACTGCACTCCACATAGCAGCCCACTTTGGCCTAAAGCACAACATCATCCATCTTCTCAAGTCTACGACTGATCTTGACCCAAAGGATGTATTCGGACGAACTCCCCTCATGCACGCAGCAGTTCGTGGCCACGACGATATAGTGCGAATACTGTTAGATGCAGGAGCGGACATAGAAGCAAGAACACCTGATAACGCATCGTCACTGAGTCTGACCGCACAATATGGACAAAGCGCAGTCGTTGAGGTTCTGCTTAACTATAAAGCCTGTATAGATGTTCAGGATGGAATCGGATGCACGGCGTTAATGGATGCCGCTCGAATAGGAGATAAAGTGGTGGTTCAACTACTTCTCAATCACGGTCCCGCACTTGACCTACGGGACCGACGTGGTACAAACGCATTGCTACATGCCATCCAAAGCAAACACGAACATGTTACTCGATTGATTCTTGAGCACAATGCTCCCGTGGATACCAAAGACCGCACAGGATACACTGCTCTAATGAGAAGTATCCGCGATGAAGATGAGGCTATTGTGAGATTGCTACTCCATCACAATGCCAATCCGAATATACAAGATGATGAAGGCGAGACAGCACTTATACATGCTGTCAGAAGAGGCAATGAAGCAATTGTCAAATTGCTGCTCGGCCACAACGCCGATATCAACATAATGGATCACGAGGGCGACACAGCACTCTCGCATGCTATCAGAAGAGACGAAGATTCCATAACAATGCTGCTCCTGAAAAGTGGTGCAAGTGTAAGTCCCCAACACATAGGTGATTGGAAGGTACTGGATGGGCCTAAAAGATGTTCCTACGAATCTATCATGAATATGCTCTGTTCTCAATCGTAGCATAATATAACCAGACGAAACTTATATATGAGCCGTTAAAATATAATCTTTAAAATACCTATTATAATATAGATACTTAATATATCGTTCTTAACTAATTGGTGCAGGAGGGAGGTTTGTGAAGACATACACACACACTAGAGACGGATTGGGTTAGACGTGATAGAGCTTCATTCCGTGAATCAATGCAGCGTCATCGTTTTTCCATAGAGCTCTTTTTTTTGTACACAGCGACGTATGGAGCAAGCAATTGACGGCCATAACAGCTCCCGTTCAATGTCATATCCAAGCAATTCCACATAAAAACACACACTATGTTTACCTCGGCGTTGACGCGCCCCGCGCGCACGTCGCTCTCCCGGCCCGCACCACTTCTCCTCCGCCTCCAAGCAGCATCAAGATCTATATCCACACTCCCAAACAACCCACACATCGTACGTATCAATTCCCTCTTCTACATATTCATCTTCAGTCGATCTAACAAACCGCTAATAGTACGTCCACCAACACCCCATCCACCCAAACTCGCACATCCTCTCCCTCCTCCCCACCACCCCACCGACCCAATCCCTCGCAATCGGCACCACGACCTCCCTCCCCCCAACTCCAGAGTCCTTCACCGAGAACACCGAGTTTCTCGAAATCCTCCAATCCGTCTTTAAGGCCCACGCATCCAGCGACCCAGACGTCCGCCAACAAGCCGCCGTCTTCTCCACCCCGGGCGCGGGTGGCTTCAGCTTCAACACCGGCCGGTCGGGTGCGCGCGGGGCGCACCAAGCGGGCAGGCAGCAGGAGAGCGTGAGTAGAGGCGGTTGGATACATATTAGCGATACGAGGAATCCGCCTGATTGGGGGAGGATCGCGTGGCCTGAGGATATATTTGGGAGTGTGGAGGTTGATGGTCAGGGTGCGTTTGTCGAGGGTGATGGGAGGTATCAACCTAGTGGGACGTATAGGGTTGTAAGTAGGGAGGGCATATTGGGAATACCGGCGTTCCTGAGGGGGAAGCTCGTGGAGAGGTTGCAGGAGTTGGAGAAGGGAGGGAAGTAGAGAGGCGTAATCGTTTGGTGTGAAGAGAGATGAGTGTAAGAATATGTGTATATAAAATCCAAGGTATATGTTCAAAAGCATGGGCTACGATACAACACAGTACGATACAATAGGTCTTCTATGGGTATCATCTTGCCAAGTCTCACATCTGCGGCACAGCTACAAGTTGCCTGCCTCCAACTCTTTCAGAAAAGCCCGCGAGAATCGAGTACACTGCTCGTATGCCACTTCAAATCCAGTGTTGTCATCCCCGTAATACGGATCATCAATTACTTCTCCTTTTGTCGTGCCTTTCTCCTTCCCCTTACCTCCAAATTCGCCAAACAGCATGACCTTCCCTAGACCTGCTTCTCCGCCGGAAATCCTGACTTCCTCATTCCGCATACTGAGGAGATTTCTTAGGTTCGTTTTATCCATAGCAAGTATATAATCAAAGTTTTTAAAATCCCCACGTCGGAATTTGCGTGCGCGATGCGTGTAGTCGGTTATACCATGCTTCTCCAGTGTCTCCATGGTACGGTAATCTGGGTCATCGCCAGCGTGATAGGCACCGGTTCCGCTGGAGTCGACGTGCGATACTAATGGGTGCGAAGGATGTTGCGTCAAGGAGCGAAAGACGCCCTCTGCCATCGTCGAGCGGCCTAGTAAAGGTTCAAACATGTAAGTCAAGATCAATTACAACGGTTCGGGCACGCGCTCGTGGTGAATTGGGGTGCTTCTTACAGATGTTGCCTAAACAGACGAAAAGAACGGACACAGGCTGTATCGTTGATTGGTCGATCGCCATCTTAAGGTTCCTCACAAAGAGAACAAAGAACAATTATCAAGCGCCGAGGATGTACTTTGAAAAGTTCTGTGTTTATCAAAGGAATCCCCGTTCCGACTAGTGGGGGTTGAGGTGGTGCCCCTTCCCTATCGATTGGGTCATTGCCAAGGAAGGCATGGCTGACATGCTGTACTAAAAATTATTTTATAGAAAGTATGAGCAATTGACCAAACATCTTTTAGAATTCCTGTTACCTCATATTCTCCGAGATCTCTTCTCTCTCTAATGTCTTTCTCCGATCGAGCAAGTTATCCCGGAGGTATCCTTCGCAAGCTGCTCCAAGAGCAGAATCTGTTGAGCGCGTGGGCTAGCTCTCCGCATCCATGGCTTGAAGAAGCACCGTACCTCGACTAAAACTTGAAGGTTTTAGTTTCAGCCCAGGCCAAAAGTGTCTCTTCAACTTCGTTCGTGTGATCGTCCCTGGATTCCCGCGTTTTAGTGTGCACCCCACCCGTGCGTGATATGCGGAAAAGGAACCTCTCCGTCGGTGAATAGCGAATAAGGACGTATCAAGCGTGAACTCACCCCCACAATGTGCGGCCGGCATCGGCTATAGCTGGCTATGGACGATTTTGTCCAGTCTCGTCATGGCGTCGAGCTTTAGACCTTTATCAGATCGATCGAGCTTTTTTTTACTTCTGGTATTTTGCACGTCGGTGACTCAAATCTTCAACTTGTCGTCTACTTAAGACTTGATTGTCGTCGTGCAAGCTCCATCGTTCTCTAGAACATGGCTTCAGAAGGCATTGAGACACGTCCGGAGGGACAACCCGGGTTGCGGGGTGTTGGCAAGCAAGCTCAATCTCTTACCGATGTCGAGCTTGCCCAGCAGGACATGGTCGACATTGATAGGATAGAGAAGGTTTACAGGTAGAACCACATCATGTTTCCTCTTCATTATAAACAGTGCTAATTTGTACTACAGCAAACTCGATCGAAGGATCTTACCTGGTAAATATCCCGCTCATTCTACGGTATTCTCAGCTCAGGCGCATCGGCTCACATGATATCACAGCCTTCTGGGTGCTATACTTCCTCTGCTCAGCGATTCGATCCAATGTCGGTCTGGCTCAGACGATGAACACCAACAAAGGCCACGACCTCGCCTCGGAGCTCAACTTGACTCCCAAGCAAGTCTCAACCGGTCTGGCGCTGTTCTACGTCTGCTATGTCATCTTCGACCTCCCATCGAACTTGGTCATGTCGAAGCTCAGTCCACATATCTGGATGAGTAGGATCGTGACTGGTGTGGGTATCATTGGTCTCGGTCTCACGGGCATGAAGGCAGCTTGGAGTTTCTAGTAAGTTCCTATCGCAGATTCCACTCGGCGTCGCAAATGGGTGCTCATTCAACAGAAAGAGAGAATGGAAAAGAAAGAAAGACCCAAGTCGCTAACACGATCTACAGTCTCCTTCGACTTCTCCTCGGCATCGTCATCGCCGGCATGTGGCCCGGCATGTCGTACTATCTCACCCTTTTCTACCCACCGTCCCGCACAGGGAAACGAATCGGTCGCTACTTCACGGCCGCACAGGTCTCCGCTGCTGTCGTGGGCCTCGTGTCCGCCGGATTCCAAGAGATGGACGGCATTGGCGGACTCGTAGGATTCCAATGGATGTTCCTCCTCTACGGCCTCGTTGGCACCTTGGTCGGCATCTCCCTCCTGTGGTGGCTTCCCGACCGGCCTCTGCCTCCAGGCGAGAAGCGCGAGAAGAAAGGCCTCATGAAGTGGCTACCAGCCAGCAAGCCCGCGCTCACCGGCGAAGACGCGCAGATCCACTACGAGGACCTCAAGCGGGTGTACCACCGACGGATCTGGACGATGAAGGAGCTCTTAGCCGTGGTCATGGACTGGCGTCTCTGGCCGCTCGTCGTCATGTACTTCGGCGTCGTGGGCGTGGGCATCGGAACCCAGAGCTACGGCACCGTCATCATCCGCGGCATCAACCCGAAGCTCACGGGCATCCAGCTGAGTTTGCTATTCGCCCCTATTTGGATCGTACGTCCCCCCCCCGTTCCCAACTCTCCTACCCCCTTTTTCTACCGTTCACTGACTAACTCTTGCCCACCAGATGGACCTCATCGCCATCCTGATCGTCACGCCCCTAAGCGACCGCTTCCACCACCACCGCGCGCTCTTCTTCAGCGCCGCCGTCCTCATCCAAATCACCGGCCTCCTCGTGACCACGTTCTCTGGCGCCAACAACCCGGCCTCGTGGTCCCGATACGGCGGGCTCCTCCTCGTCGGCTTCGGCCTGGGCCCGACCGTCCCCATCTGCATGACGTGGACGAACGAGATCTTCCAGCCGCGGCACGGCGAAGTCGGCGTCGCGGCCGCGAGCGCGCTCGTCTCGGGCCTCGGAAACCTGGGGTCCATCCTCACGACGTACGCGCTGTACACGGGTTGGCCGGCAGACGCGAAGGGGAAGCACAAGTACCGGAAGAGCAACCTCGTCATGATTGGCATTCTGTGCGGGAGCATCTTGGCGGCGGTGTCGATGGTGGTGCTGTTGAGGGTGTTTGGGGATGGGGATAAGAGGGCTGGGAATGGGGAGGAGGAGGACGAGTATGTGGATGGGGCGGCGAGGAGGGAGGTCAAGCAGAGGGGGTTGGGGCGGTTGTTTGGGGGGAGTAGGAGGTGATGTGAGGGTTGGAATGCACTGGAAGATGACAAAAAAGAAGAGTGGGCATGATATGTGGTAGATGTTGTGACTACCATTGATTCGAAATGCTTGTAGGAGGGAGGGCAGATACCGAGCATTATAACATCCGGAAAAGACGATGTCTTCCCGCCAAGTACGAGCAAAAAAAGCAATTCTTACAAAGTAAATGTAACTACCATTGATGTCTAAATGATGGCGATGATAAGGGAAAGACATGGAGTATCATAATATCTGAACCGGGCGATGTATGCCCGCAACGTACGAGCCAAAAAAAGCAATTCTTGTAACTAAAGTAAATAAAGATAATGTTCTACAAGGTCCCGCTCCTCCCTAATCTTGTAGAACAAGGTGTAGGCCGTCAAGTTCTTCCACGCTCATGATAATATCCCAAAGAGTAGTAGTACCGCATAATCTGGTGTAAATGGCTAACTCCTACACTCTATCTAGAGCCTAGGAGTTGGCCATTTGTCCCAGACCCAGATTATGCATGCGGTAGAACAGCATAGAAAAAAAAAGGGATCCATCCACCCATCTCTAAGATGAATTACCACCGATAGGTTCAATCAATCAAACTTGGCCGTGAAAATCCGTTCGTCGGTTCCTCTTCATCACTCTTGACATGGAGTCTTTGAAGGCTATCTCACTACTTACAAAATTTAATGGCACACACACATCAATGTCACAAAATATGTTGAGGAGATGTTAACCATATATTTTGTTCTTTACTTCGTTCAAAATTAATCTTTCGATTCCATTTTAGTTAATTAACCATTCCAGCAAAGATGCTCGATGCCATGCCATATCACAACCTCTGTATGCACAACCAACACAACTTCGCTATGTCAATGGCCAACTTTCCTAATCGAGTAGGTTTTTGAAATATCCGTTGAAAGCTTCCGGATGAGTTACCCGCCCAATCAATGACCCAGCCGATGAAATCCGTGTGTAACGTTCAGTGGGAGGAGAGAGAGTGCCTATCAACATCCAACAACAGCCATTCCACAGGCCGTGCGCAACAGCTACCCATACCCCACCAAAACACCAAAACATCAAAACATCCAAATCCAACATCTCAAACTCAACTCCTCTCCTCCGATCGGACGCGTCTTCCTCCCTCCCTAATCCTCCTCCGCCAATAAATGGCCACATTCAACCGCGAACGCGTCGAACACGCGTTAGACCAGCTCCTCGAGCGCATCGTCCCCGCCGACCCGGAAGAAGACGAAGACGCCGCCAACGAACGCTACGAAGAAGCCTACGACTACGCCCTCGCCGAACTCACCTCCGCAGGCGACCTCGGCGTCCACCAGGACATCAATCATGTCGCGGGTCTCATCGACCGGAGGATCGCGAGGGAAGGCGGCCCCGTCGACAGCGCGAGATTTCACAACTTGCTCTCCAGACTCATATCGCAGCCCGTGCTCGACCAGAAATGGGGAATGCTGTGGTTCCTGAACAGCCTTTCCGATCTACCCACGCCTGTCCCCGAACATCTGGAGAGGAGAGAAAGGGAGAGGGAGAGGGAGAGGGAGAGGCATGGAGGTGGTGCTGGTGCTGCGCAACAATCGCCTACGAGGCGCCATCGCCCATCCGAATCGAACGGCCATGGGATGGGAAGTCCTGTCTTCAGAGAGGCATTCGCGAAGCAGGGACTAGAACACATTCCGCTCAATGACGGCTCGCCAAAAGCTCCGACCCACGCGGCCCAGCAATCAGCAGCAGCGGACAGAGCAGACAGAGACAGGCGGAGAGAGAGGCCGACACACAGCTCGGGGAAGGACCAAGCAGCACAACCACCGACGTCTACTGAGAGCGAGAAGCCTGTGGCCGGGCCCTCGGAACCTTCATTACTACGGGATCTGCCGTTCACGCTGCAGGGCCTTTCTTCTACCAACCTCACTTTTCCTTCGTCGACGGCTTTGAAGCTTCCTCCCACGCTGCCCGTTCCGCTGGTCAGCCTCCTACACACGCTTGCGGAGCCCTCATTGCTATACCGTGGACTGTCCGAATTCGTGGAATCGACAGAGGGGGGTTTGGTCGGACAGAGTTTTAAATCCGCACTCGGAAAGGAGTTGAGGTCATACTTGGGCCTGGTGGCAACACTAGAGGGTCAAGTTCGGAGAGCTCTGGCACAGCTGGACGATACCCAGTCACGGCAGGGTATTGGAAAGGCTGGTGTCACACTCAAGAGATGTGTCATCTGGACGAGAGAAGCGACCATGGGTCTCCGACTGATGAGTCTCATGGTCGAGGAGTCAAAAGGTAGGTCACAGAGATCTTGTAATGAGTGCTCGACTGACACCGTGCAGGAAAGAAAGGAGGCGAACTAATCTCGCTGATTCACTCATTTTCTTCATCACACGGTGACCCCTACGTGGGTGCCTTTGCTGAGCGGTTGCTCTCGCATGTTACAAGGCCATTCTACGACATGCTTCGACAGTGGATCTACGACGGCGAGCTTGCAGATCCGTTCGGAGAGTTCTTCGTCTCTGAGCAGAGCGAGCAAGACATATTAGAAGCGAACGGAAACGAGGGCAAAGGCGGTGCTACGAGTGTGTGGGAAGACAAGTACAAACTGAACGAACGCATGATACCGTCAATCATCACCGAAGAGTTTGCTAAGAAGGTCTTCCTGATTGGAAAGACGCTCAACTTCATACGGTACGGATGCGGTGATGCAGCTTGGGTGGACACCTACTCGAAAGAAGCATCCAAGGAACTGAGGTATGGCGACACGGCGAACCTCGAACAGTCCATCGTCGATGCGTACAAGACGACCATGGCGCGTCTCATCGATCTCATGGCGAACAAGTTCCACCTATTCGAACATCTCCAGGCCCTCAAGAAATACCTTTTGCTCGGCGCAGGAGATTTCATTGCCGTCCTGATGGAGTCTCTGGCTTCCAGTCTGGGACGCCCCGCGAACACACAATACCGCCACACCCTCACAGCTCAGCTCGAGCACGCCGTGCGGAATTCAAACGCACAGTTCGACTCCCAGGATGTACTCCGTAGACTGGATGCCCGCATGTTGGAGTTGACGCACGGCGAGATCGGATGGGATGTCTTCACTCTGGAGTACAAGATCGACGCGCCCGTGGACGTCATCGTCACCCCCTTCGGCTCCAAGCAATACCTCAAAGTCTTCAACTTCCTCTGGCGCGTCAAGCGCGTCGAATTCGCCCTCGGCTCCACCTGGCGCCGCTGCATGACGGGCGCGCGAGGGGTCCTCAGCACCGTGACCGACAAAGTCGGCCAGGACTGGAAGAAGTCGCGCTGCGCAGTGGCCGAGATGATCCACTTCGTCAGCCAACTCCAATACTACATCCTCTTCGAAGTGATCGAGTCCTCATGGGCGGAGCTCCAAGCCGCGCTCACGAAACCCTCCTCCACCCTCGACGACCTCATCCAAGCGCACGCCAAATACCTCACCTCCATCACCCGCAAGGGGCTCCTCGGCTCCCAGAGCACCGACTTCACCGGTCAGCTCCACGAGCTCCTGAAAACCATGCTCGCGTACACCGACGCCGTGGACGGCCTGTACTCGTTCTCTGTCGCCGAGTTCACGCGCCGCCAGGAGCACGCCGCGAAGATCGAGACGCGCACGGCGGCCGGGAAATGGGGTCTCTCGGAGCGCGACCCGGCCGCCGCCTCATCCTCTCCCCTACCACCTCCGCTCCTCACCATCAACACCAAATCCTCCAAAAGTGCCACCGCGGGAGCAGGCATGTCAGAAGACGACATCCTCTCGCACCTCCGCATCCGCATGGACTCGCTCGTCGCCGACTTCCGCGCCAGGATCAACGTCTTGCTCGGCGACCTCATACACCAGCCCGACCACGACATGCGCTGGCTCGCCATGGTCATGAACTTCAACGACGTGTACCAGCCCGTCAGTCGGCGCAGGCGCAAGGGTGACAAGGGGTCGACGACGGCGGCGGGTGGGGGGAGCGTGAAGAGAGGTGAGAAGGAGAGGGAGAGGGAGACGCCGCAGCAGCAGCAGCAGCAGCAGCAGGCGTCGAGTAGTGGGAAGGACAAGGCGTGATGGTCTTTCCTACTCATGTTGTAGTGTTTACATCGAGGATACGTGTGTGGTGTGGTATGGCAGGCCGCAGTTGGAAAGAATAAATATTATGATACCCCCCCCTTTTCCCATTCCCGCCTCTTTCGAACCCTTTGAAACTAGAGTTATATACGTTTTAGTAGATATGATTAGGGTAAGAAGAATTTAAAAATCGAGACAATTTAAGCGTCGATCTTTCAAAGTGCATGTGCACGTCACCGGTGCTTCACTACCTTTTGTTTCTCTCCATGAGTTGCTTGGTATCACGATTCATTTTTCTATCATATGCTTCTACTATTGTAGGGGGTAGAGGGTCATGTAACTATGCCCGCATATAACTCCACGCGGGGTCCCCGCCATTCTCCAAATTCATCAAATCGGACAGACTCCACGGAAAAGCGTCTGGATGGAACCCGGCACCGGTGTCAATGACTCCAAAATTGAGGTTAGCAAAACCGGGGTCGCCCTGGAAATTGTCTTCGTTCGGTTCGCCTCCTCCTGGGACAGCAGGGTGGTGGAAGGTTTGGCGAATGACTCCGGCGGCCTGATCCTGATGGTCCGACTGAAGAAACGTCCCTGTTCCGTTTCCATCATCGCTCGGATGATGAGCCTGATGATCAACCCTTCCTTCTCCATTTTGCCGCTCGACCGATGGGCTAACATTAGATGCGAGAGTTACACTTGTCAGTGGGGTTCGTTCCTCCAGATCTCTAGGCCGGCCGATGGAAGAACCGTTCGGTTTCCACATGGCTAGACGTCGCCGAATGGTGTCGAGACTTCGGCTTATGCCTGGAGTGTGTCTGGTCTCGTGACGGAGGACTCGCATGGCGGCACTGAGGCGCTGGGCAGCTTCGTTGGCAACATCTAAGCTCGCAGCCTTCATTACGTACGCCTCGACCGTCGCAGCAGTGAAGATGCAATAGCTGATCTGATACGTCATCAGCCGGTATAGGAACGTTTTCCCGTATATAGAGAACATGTCGTGAATGCTTCTCGCGTGAAAGATGCATATCTCCATTGCAGAAGATGCATCAAGAAGACCGGGGGACGAAAGCGCCGGGCGATAGAGGAGAATTCGGACGGCGTGGTAGAGAACGCTGTTCACTTGTTACAAACAACATATTCGTTTGTCTTCTGGAAAGGAGTCGTACTTCAGTGACACAATATGTGGTGGTGGGCTTTGTGTGAGGCTCGCGGTATCCTCTATCCGCAATTGTGGCGAGAGATTGGCATACCAATTGGTGAATTTTGCATCTAGTGTCTTGATATCCGAGGTATAGCTGGCCACACTGGATGTGTTGGAGAAAAGCAGCATCATCTCGGTTGTGATCTAGTACTTTTGAGCCTCCACGTAAGAAATGTGCAAGGAATTCACAAACCTCGTGAAGTTGGCTATGCGCGCAGAACGTCGAGGTGTTGTAGGAGAGTTCTGGTACATAAGGATCTTCTAACTCGGGAGTGTGCGATGGTTTCCACTCCTGTAAGTCGTCGCAGTGATCCACTGATAGTTTACGGTAAGTATAGTGAATTGAGAGTCGTGTTTAGGGGAAACGGACGTATGTTCTCGGGCGGGTGCGGTTTTCTCGTTAGCGAAGGAGAACGACCAAGAGCGAGGCTGATGGTCTTGTCCCATATGAACGCTGAATTGTATAGCCGCTTGCGAGTCTCAAGTTCGATGGGCGTGAGATGTTCAAGTTCAACAAGTTTGGAATCGTCCATATGTAAATGAAGGCCAATATCTTCTAACATTCGCAGCGCCTAGATAAACCAATGAGCATTCGTAAAAATTCGAGAAGCCTTGTTATATTCAGCTCACCATTCCGGTATACAGCCAGCCTTCAGAGCTTAGCCCCATGGCGCATTGTCGGCCTCCTAAGATAAGTAGGCCTTGTATCGTGGGGATGCGCGGCTTTGTAGCTGTCATTTCAACAATTAGGATTTCTCTAGCTCGTGCCAAAAATCGCTCTCCTTTGCCTATCTCTTTGAACTTCTGGTCCTGTTCAGAGAGATGTCTGGCCGAGAGTGAGAAGATGGTTAGAAGTAGAAAATCCGAATAACCGGGACCTCCAAAGGCCATATCAATCAAAAAATCTGTACAATATGTCAGGATGTGATACGTGTTTTACCAGGGTCAAGTAGCTTACTTGGGCGGTAGACACAATTGTGTAGTGGCTGAAGCCATGTCCAGTAAATGTCCAACAATGCTATACACGTATCTCCATCCAGGCCAAGGTCCTTGAGTTGCGGACTACTCTCGACCAGCGAAGGATAGACACTGTCGAGGAGACGATATTGAGATTGCAACGCCTCAATGTGACTTGCCCGTCTTGCTTGTGATAGAGCTGGTGGTGTTTGAGGACGCACGAAGCGCTGCTGCAGGCTATTGACCGCACTCTCCTCTAGTGGACCGACATGGAAACGACTTGTTGGACCGTTGTAGGTCACAGTGCCATCATCGCCAACTCCCACCTGAGACCAGAGGGAAGCGCCCGAAGCCTGGGCTGCTCTGCTGGCTGGAGAGAGAACGTCATTCGTTGGCGAAAGCCCAGAACCATCAGAAGTAGATGCCAAATTGCCTGATGCTGGAGCAGATCTTTCTTGAAGGGCCCTCTCAAGTTCTTGTATACGTGTGTTTGCTTGCTGTAATTGAGCATTTGCTGGAGGATTTGGCCACGTGCATTCTATTCCCGACCGACGGCATGCGCTGCATGAGGGCTGTTCCCCACTACATTTGGTTTTTCGAGACTTGCAATTGCTGCATGCAAAATTGTAGCGTCGCGCATCTGCTCGACGTCGTGATCTCGAGGGCTGAGGTGATTCTGTGGAGGTGGCAACCGCCTGGTAGCCTTCTTCGGAACCCATGGAAACCGTATTTTCGATGCCGTCGTTCTCCATTTGCATATTGTCCATGGCGGGTATAATTTGCTTACATTTTAATCCTGAGAGTCGGTATTTCTGTAATCCAAAATTGCTATGGAGGGGAGTAGATTGGTAGTCAAGTGAAGTAGATGGGGAACAAAACGTGTGGTGTAAATAGCGCGAAAACCAACTCACGTGTGACGTCGTTCTGGTTAGGACAACTGAACTCACCTCATGACACTTTAAGAATCTATCGAGTAAGAATATATGACTATAGTATAATGAGTTCTTCATACGAAAACTAACTACTCGTCCCCGCAATTCCTACTGCTGGGCTGCAACAAATCATATGTCAGGTAAATACATAGTGACCAATACGTAGCATCGGGGTGGCATAGGAACGGTCCAACAAAGTTATAGATGATCTTGTCCTAGTCAATAAAAACAGGGACATAATGGGGTTGAAAAGGTGGAATCAAAGTTTTCTGATCTAATTGAAACAATATGCAGATAATAGTTTACAAACAGATATGTAGCATTCACACCTGACTTTGATAGTCCATAATTGTCTAATCTCCTTCTATCCCAAATATGAATCTACGGTCTGCTCTACGGGAATTGAATCACGATAGCCATGCAGCGACATCACTGCCTAGTGGTTTTGGCATGACCTCCCAACCAACCGGACAACCCTCAATGCTTGCACTGTGCCGAACAGCTTGCAACAAACCAAAGGCACTTTCGCGCGATTCCAGATATTCTTCAACGTCTTCTGTCTTCTCATAATCCTGGCAGTCGAATCCTGACCTTCCGGGATACTGCCCTAAGCTGCGTAGGTATTTCATGCACCCAGCTAGAGAAACATCAACCTGCCAGGATCCTCCTTCCATGGCCCGGTGACACAATGCTCCGATGATCCCAGCGGCAAGCAAATAGCCACCTGCATGATCCAGAGCCTGACATGGCGTAGGTCTTGCTGGTTCCCCAGTGCCATGATGCTCAGCTTCTGACACATTCATGCCACTACAGGTTTGGACCAGTGAATCAAATCCCCGTCGACCACGCCACGGCCCGTTAGGGCCAAATGCGGACATGTTGGCATATATGATTCCCGGGTTCAACTTGATTACATCTTGCGGGGACAACCCACGTGCTGCTAATGATTCTGGACGGAACCCCTGTATGAAGACATCCGCCGTTTTTATCAAAGCTTTGAGTTGCTCAAGCTCATCCGGCTTATTGATGTCCAATTGAATCGTTCGTTTTCCACGGCCAAAGTCCCGGTCCATTGTTGGCAAGTCTGGAAGATTTGGCGATGTGACCCAAAGAACATCAGCACCGTGCGCTGCCAACGTCTTTCCGGCGAGTGGAGCAGCGATCACTCGACTCATCTCCACTACACGGAGACCGCGAAGACATTTGTCATTGTTCCCACCTAATCTAGGAGGTATTCCTTTGGGTGCAGCTCCGATCGCCTTGATCATTATCGGTAGGTTGCCTATCGCACGAGCTTGTGGCAATTTATCCCACTGCTGATAGCTTCGGAGGGCATAAATAGCGACGCGCTGCTCGATTACACCTACAGATTCAAGATCGATACTTGCCCATTCTGCTGTGCGTGCTGATACATCTTTTCGAGATGCCTTATGTGACAGACCTAGTAGATCTAGTGAACCGTCTTTGTGATTTGGGAATGAATCGTGGATGCGGACATAGCCGTCAGATGTCCTGTGCAAACCCCCGATGTCCCCCCAAGGATTTGGAGCTGGTTGCCCAGCTAGCTTGTAGAGTCGTTCTGATTTGAATTCTATTGCAGAGTGTTTCCGATCAACAGTCACTCCAGGGACGGCGGTACCATTGCGTAGTGCGTGAAACTGGGCAGCTGCGAGCGCTGAAATAGCTATAGAGCTTTGGGATAGATGGCCTATTTTGTATGATGATGGCAGTGCAGGTGGGCCGTTTCCATCATCTCCAGGGAGCGATACTGATTGGATGGCTGTACTTGGTAGTTCCATACCAGCCCACACCTCACTAACTATATCGATTGCTCGATGTTGCGTCCTATCGAGATATTGTGCGGATGAGCCCAATGGCATGTTGCCTGATTGAATCTTGTCAGGTGCGGAAGTAATCGATCTGTTACCGTTTGGTAGTGGCGCACGATCGATACCATTTTTAATATCTTCGTTGGGTGTGCCGTTGATCTGAGTGCCTAGGCCGGTGTTGCTATTCGCTGGAATCTGTATACCAAGCAGTGGTGCATGCTGCTGTGTACCAAGTGTGTCCCGTTCCCCAACACTTCCTTGAGCCCAGGGACGCTTAATGGTACATTTCCATGCCATAGCTGGATCAAAGTACATGTTGGTGATGATTTGATCCTCAGAGACTCGATACAGCTGTTTGATCGTATCGTTTGTGAGAACATTCGCAACTTTGACTCGTTGGTAGGCCTCTTGATTGTCGAACATGACATCCAGCGTAAGCTCAAAAGGACCAGAGTTCTTTGATCGAATGATCTTCGCAAACTGGCTCAGCTCTCCGGAGCCTGTTGGGATTTCTTTGATCGAAAGAGGAACAAGGCTTCCATTTTGAAGTGCGTGCAGCTTCTCACCTGCTAAAGGCTTATGTGCTTGGGGAGTCGTTGTGGAACTGACATGGTGGTAAGTGACGGGAAACAAGGATTTTTCTTCGCCATCTTCCAAATCTACTAGATGATAAAGGCTGAATTTGAATACTGCACCAGCTTCTTGCTCATGTGGCGAAAGAGGGCTAGCAAAGTTTCCGGTAGTTGCCATCTGTCCAGGATATGCAAAGTGCAGAATCGATGCACGCGCATTGTTGGCAATGGTATGTGATAGTTCTTGCGATGGTGCGATCACCTCGCCCAGTACAGCTATCTCATGTGGGGTTGCTTGTACCGGCTCCAACAGACCCATCACTCCATTCTTACCATACACATGATATATCAAACGGCATTGTTCAGACTGGTCCAGTTCAGGAAAGAGGCCTTTTGTGTATTCTCGCACGCGTTCGAGAAAATCGTCGATCTGAGCGATTAGGATTGGATCACGTATACCACCAATGAAGATAGTCCTGAATCCCAAGTGTTCTACGCCTTCCAGCTTTATCTGATAGGGAGTCTTGACGAACTGGGCTCCAGAAACGCGGCAGGTCTTTTCCGTGATTTGCTCGTATTGTGCCTTATCGAGATTGAGTATTCCGCCAGGACCTGGCAGTCGATCGGGTCGAGTTTTTTCATACAGTGTATGCGATGCAACCGAGAGTGGGGTGCATCGTTCTCCTGGAGCCAGTGGCGTCAAATCAAAGGAGTCATATCTGACCGTGGCAATCATTGATCGTCCTTTCGGCACCGCGCAGATGCCGCCACATTCCATAATTTTGCCCATGTGCCATGCCACACCGTCTTGTACGCCACGGGAGATACAGAAGCCCGCAAAAGGCGCGGGATCGTAGGATCGCCCTCCTAGAATAATATCAGGTTCTCCTTTCAGTGCTTCGATGTATCTTCGATGGTCAGCGGTACTTCTTCTTAAGAGGTCTGGAAAACAGCTTACGGTTCAGCGCCCATCTGGGCAACGACATCGACGGCGGCATCGACATCCTCTGTACGAAGGGGATCAACGGGACCACAGGGGCTGACAGCTCCATCTTTTATGCGACTCTTGATCAGATCCCGACTGATTCCAGCATCGATTGTTGCAATCTTGAAGTGATAACCCTTTTCTTTAGCGATTGTCGAAACGATTTCCAACATCTCAGCAACATGCTTAGTGCTGCCATCGCCACCCACTGATGATATCAAGACCTTTACCTTGGCATGAAAGCAAGCAGCGAGAATGGGCTCAAGATCTCGAACATATGAGCCCCGGCCACACGTCATCTTATTCATACCAAGTTTGTACGGTCCTCCATCTGTAGACCCACTGTCCACGATGATTGCTGCTGGATGATAATGCTGTATTCCATACCAAAAATGGTCGACATTGTAACCATAGCCAAGCATAGCATTAGGAGTCAGGATTCTGAACTCGGAGCTAGACTGCGTTGCGTTGAGTGTTATGGAACCCATGGCGATAGGTGATAGATCCACAAGGGCATCGGCGGCGTAAATGATGGTGAGAGGGAATGATTAGAATTTGTGCCGTTCGACCGGGTCATTTATGCATGTGAGCATTGGTTGAATGAAGTAAGGGGATTTGGTGGGGAGACGGGGTAAGGCAATGTTCGTTGGAGATTCCGAGAGATTTCGGCATCATTCCGGCACCTTCCTGACTAGATACCGAGCATCAACCCTCGATCTCCTAGCACACTGGGACTAGGAATCGGATTCTATACCGTTCCCCGCACACATGCCGAGTGCCATCTATCCCCACAACATCTGGGGTCTCCACTGATCAATGCTTTCTGGAGTTCTTTATATAAGTCAAATTGCCTGCTTCACCATGTTCATCCAGGCCTGACAGTCATCCTCTCACCCTCTTCCTTAGTTCTTAAGTCAATATGCCAGAGGTTCACATGCCCGAAAAACCCGAAGTCATGCACAATGAAACTTCTCAAAACAAGTCTCCAATTGATGGAGATCAACTTTCAATCGAAAAGGGGCATGGAGCGACCAATGAAACGACGTGGACTCCTGAAGAAGAAAAGCTAGCTCTCAAGAAGCTCGATTGGAACCTTATTCCGCTGTATGTTTTTCCAAATTTTCCATATCTGCTGTCTGACCAAAGTCAAGTCTTGGTGTCCTGTATCTTGTCTCCTACATTGACCGTGGTAATGTCGGGAATGCATATACAGCGGGAATGGGTAAGGCATGGGGGATCACGTCTGATCAGTATTCATGGATCGTCACTATCCTCTACATTGGATATATTGTGTTCCACTGGGTAAGGAGGTCGTTTTTCGAGGGATCTTACAATTCTGACTTAAACAGTTGATCCTCGTTTGGACCTTCGTTCCACTGCCTCTTTGGACTGCCCTGATGGCACTAGGTTGGGGCTCCATGAGTATGATACAGGCTGCTACAACAAGCTTTGAGGGTATTATGGCCTTGCGATTCCTCATTGGCGCATTTGAAGCTGGCTATGTGCCTGCCGTTGCCCTTTATCTGACCTTTTTCTATCATCGACAAGAGATGGGTCTCCGATACGGATTGTTCATTTCATTCTCGCCTCTCGCCAGTTGCTTTGCTTCTGCACTTGCGTATGGTTTGACACATGCGAAGACTTCCATAGAAAATTGGCAGTTACTTTTCCTCGTTGGTAAGCATCATTCTGGAACCCACCGTTTATTTCGCTGATTCGGTTATAGAGGGTGCTCCCACCATCTTCCTTGCTGTCGTCGCCTACTTCTATTTGCCAGCTGCGCCGTCCATGTGCAGATTTCTCACTGCACGCGAGAACGAAATTATCAGCCAACGAGCTATTAAAGGCAGAGGAGAGAAGCGCGACGGCAAACTTCACTTCAAGCAAGTATTTGCGGCTTTCTACGACTACAAGAACTACCTACAGGCCATGATCATATTCTGTCTTAATACTGCCTTCGGCTCACTACCTGCCTACCTTCCTACGATCCTTACGTCCATGGGTTACACTTCCATAAATGCCCAAGGTCTCTCGGCTTGTCCATACCTTACCGCATACGTCATTTGCGTATCTGCCAGCTTCCTATCAGATAAGCTCAGAATGCGCGGTCCATTGATCGTCTTCTTCTGCTCTGCTGGCGCTGTTGGCTACATCCTCCTCGCCACAATCCATACTACAGGGGTTCGATACTTCGCAACCTTCTTGGTCTGCGCTGGAGTTTTCCCTGCTGTCGCCCTGACTTTCACCTGGGTGACTGACAATCAAGGATCAGCATCCAAGAGAGGTGCCGGCCTAGCCATCTTCGGCATGTTTGGACAGTGCGGGCCCATTCTAGGAGCACGCTTATTCCCCAAAAAGGACGGGCCGTGGTATTCGAAGGGCATGTGGGTTTGCGCCGGAATTCTCTTCGCTGCCGCAGGAGTTGCTTGTATCTTGAGCCTCTGCTTAAGAATGCAGAACAAGCGCCGCGATCGCAAACATGGAAAGAGCGATCTGGATTACGTACCAGCAGAGGTTCATGATCTTGGTGATGCACACCCAATGTACCGCTACGTGCTTTGAGAAGTTTCGAGTCGGCGAAGAAAAGGAACCATGCTGGATCGTCAAACAGTAGTTAGGAGAGAGAAGAGAGATCCTGTAGTAATTCTGAGCATCCATGTATTTCAGTTTTCGAGTTCTTTGACCCTAAATATGCGTTGTGGCATATAAGGAGAGGAAAAAGAATTGTATGCAGACAACATGTGCGAAGAAAAGCGCAATAGGCGGAGAATAAAGGATCAAATAAGGAGCCATGACAAACTTCAAGGAGTCATACACCAACCACCCAAGGTGAACTGACGGGCCTCTTGGCTTTCTATCCCGTCTGTTCACAAACAGTAGACCATGGCAATGACATCACTACTATAGAGTTTTTCTGCGCATCAAGATGGTGTTTCTAGAGCCTAAGATTTTCCTATGGATAAAACTGTTGCCCCGAGATGTAATATGTAATATCCCATTTGCTTGTGAAATTCACAATCAGACCGTTCAAAGAGTGCCACATCGCATACCTGTGAAATGCTTGATACCCAATGACTGAAACCAGATGATGAACATGGACAATAGGAATTGCGTTACGAGAATGTTTACCTCAATGAAATCCTTGAAGTAGATAGGCCCCTTACCAAACTCCGTGAAGTTTACTGTTTCCCAATGTTATTATACTTGTGGCACCGAATCGCCTAGGAATATCTATTGCCGCCAGGAGTGGACAGGTTATCCGTATAACCCCAGATGGAAGCCAAATCCCATTCTATATGGTCTAGGTTGCATAAAGTGGGGGAAGCCCAAACGGTTCTGACTGTCGGTCAGTCTTACGAAAGTCGGGCAGTGGTTCGGCATCTTTCCGGAACCAGTGCCTTTCTCTTTTTTGTGGTCCGGATTCCAGGCCGCGGAATAATAGAATGTTGTTCGACTAACGGACGATACCAGAGTTGACATCGACCATACAAATAAGGACATATGAGAGACGGATAAATCGAGCAATCAGACTTATGACCACCGCTCTAACTACGCCTTATCGTCACGTTATCCAGGATGCAGGTCCATCATCAATTGTCTGCCCGAACATGCCGTCTAGAGACATCTTTCGAAGACTTGCCATTGCATCCCGATCACCCTGTCGTCTCAGCATGGGGTATTTGGGGCGACGAAGACGAACTGGGCACGCTAAACTTGCTAGACGATGCGACAACTAAAGCGGCCGCTCAAGGGATTAAAGAGGGACTGACAATACCACTGAAGTATGGCTTCGTTCTTTTGGTAATCTGTGGTTGGTGATTTTCCGCTGAATGTCTTAGTTTACCCCTAGATTCATTCCCCCAGCCTATGAATCCTGTTAGAAAGTCATGTACCCACCATATCATTGCTAAAGGGCATGCCAATGACGATGAAGTAAGGTCACTCCTTCAAACTACTAGAAACATGCATATTGTTTGGAACTCTGCTGAATGCAACATAGCTTCACATAAATACACAAGGATCGAGCCACTGGGATGGGCTACGACACTACCCATACCAGCAAACTCTACAGTATTACAATGGTGTGACTCAAGAGGATATATCTGGTGAAAGAGCAAATGAGCGAATCGGTGTGCACAGTATGTTAGCACAATATCTTTCGCACAATGAGTTCAATAGAAACTTCGAGAGATATTCAATGAAAATTCCCTACCATGCATTTATCCGAAAGCTGACTTGACCAAGACCAGGCCTCGAAGACCATTACAGGACGAGCAGTGCTCCTCGACTGGGCAGCATGGGCAGCCTCCCAAAATATATCGTATGATCCCTTTTCAATTCATGCTATACCTCTTGCACAATTGCAAGCAGTTGCAACGTCTCAAAAGGTGGAGTTCAAAGCCAGCGATATCCTTCTCATCCGTACTGGCTGGCTTGCGGCATTCAAAGCCTTATCGCCGGAACAGCAGAGAGAACTTCCTCGTCGACAAGTGAGATCTAGCATGGGAGTAGAGGCGAGTGAGGAATCCCTGAAATGGCACTGGAATAATGCCTTTGCAGCAGTTGCGAGTGATACCGTTGCTTATGAAAGCTGGCCCAGTTCGAAGCCTAATCGCTTCGGTGTTAGCATGCATGAGGTCTTTTTGAGTGGATGGGGTATGCCGATTGGCGAAAGCTTTGATCTCGAGGTGCTGAGCAAGAAATGCAGAGAGCTAGGGAAGTGGAGCTTTTTCTTTGCCAGTGTACCATTGTATATCAAGGGCGGCGTAGCCAGTCCTCCGAATGCTGTGGCAATTCTGTAATGAATGTAGAATAGAACTAGATGAAATCGAAAACCTTGGGATTCTATCAACTCTCTCTCCTCTCTCTCTCCTCTCTCTCTCCTCTCTCTCTCCTCTCCTCTCTCTCCTCTCTCTCACAACACTCTTACAACACTCTTACAACACTCTTATAACACTCTTACAACACTCTTATAACACTCTTATAACACTCTTATAACACTCTTATAACATGCTCTCTCTCCCCTCTCTTACAACACTCTTACAACACTCTTATAATACTCTCTCCCCTCTCTTATAACACGCTCTCTCTCCCCTCTCTTATAACACTCTCCCCTCTCTCACAACACTCTCATAACACTCTTATAACACGCTCTCTCTCCCCTCTCTTACAACACTCTCACAACACTCTCACAACACGCTCTCTCTCCCCTCTCTTACAACACTCTCACAACACTCTCA